GTACATGCAAAACGTTCAATCCGGACTTCAAGATGAGATCAACTTCTGCAGAACTCGTGCTGACTCTCTCAGAGGAGAATACACCAAGGTTTGTGTGAACAATTGAACTATTTTAGCGCTACGAACCAATAATATCGAAACATTATAATATTTCAGCTCGAATCTTTCCGCTCTGCCGAAAAGCGTGAGAAGCGTCAAGCCTATCAATGCTGCTCTTGCGGAATCGGACAAGCTGGACCAGTTGGAAACCCAGGACAAGACGGAGCACCAGGAAGCGATGGACGTCCAGGAGCTCCAGGACAGCCAGGACCTGATGCCACCAACGATCACGTTCAACCAAGACCAGAAGACTTCTGCTTCGAATGCCCAATCGGACCCGCCGGACCACCAGGAACCCCAGGACCAAAGGGACAATCAGGAAACCCAGGAAGCCGTGGAGAGCCAGGACCAAACGGACGCCCAGGAACTCCAGGAGCCACTGGACCACAAGGACCACCAGGACAAGCCGGAAACGATGGACAGCCAGGACAGCCAGGAGCTCCAGGACAAGTTCGTACCGTCCCAGCCCCACCAGGCCAACCAGGACAACCAGGAGAGCCAGGACAACAAGGACCTCAAGGACCAGAAGGACGCCCAGGACAAAACGGACAAAACGGACCTCCAGGACCACAAGGAGACGCTGGACAAGATGGAGCCCCAGGAAACCCAGGAGCACCAGGAGAGTCTGGAGCCCCAGGACGCGATGGAGCCAAGGGATCCTGCGATCACTGCCCACCACCAAGAACCGCCCCAGGTTATTAAACCATTTCACAACTCAACATCGAAGACCTCAACGGCCAGCTGTCGTTGTCGACCAAGCATCTCAGAACATAACTTATTTTATTTTAATGTATTTCATTCTTCCGTTCTTAGTGTTAGGCACGACAGTAGATTTTGTACCATACCAACTATCTGTACGAAAATAAAGAGTTTATTATTTAATACTTCTTTCACTTTCATTTTTTCGGTCCCCAGCTTAATCTCTTGATTGCAATCAGTGTGACTGACGGGAATGCAGACATCACCAGGTTTTTTCTCAAACATGTGAAAAAAATCAGTTTTTTGGCCGCATTCGAATCATTGGACCGGAAAATTAATAATACCACCCTAACGTTTAATGAAAAACGCTAAGATTCAAGAAATCAGAACATTTCATTACTAGTGAATTAGTTTCAAGTCCTAGTTCCTTCCCAATGAACCAGGTATGCCCACAAAGCACGCGCATGCACTCTCACCACCTTCGCTCACACAATTAACATCCAAGACCCCCTCCCACGCTAATTGACAACATTATATAATTTTCGACATGGAAGAATGCAACCGTTTTGTATGTAGAGAAACAGATAACAATAACAACTTTATTCATAATAACCAATTTAGATCTTGCCCAATTCCTTGGCTCTAGTTCTTTCGAGCTTTTGTTGCTTGGCTTGAGAGCGGTTGGACATGATTCCACCTCCCCAGTGCTTTCTGATTTCTTCGTATCTCTCGTTGAAGTTGTTGTTGACGGTCTCAACGATCTTTCCGAGGTTAGCTTTGTCTTCTCTGAAGGAAACCAATAAAAACTATTAGACGAAGACGAAGAACTTACGGGTTCACATCGACAACAGCGAGGCAAGTAGCAGTCTTTCTGCGGACAACACGTCCAAGAGCAGCTTTTCCCTTGACGATGGCATAAGGTACATCGAATTTGCGGCAGAGAGCTGGGAGGAAAAGAACGATTTCAACTGGGTCAACATCGTGAGCGATGAGGACCAATTGAGCTTTCTTGGTCTCAATGAGACGGGTGACAGTGTTAACTCCTTGACGGACAACTGGAGGTCTCTTGGTGATTTCTTCCTTTTGTCCAGAAGCACGAGCCTCAGCACGAGCTCTAAGACGCTCCTTCTTTTGGAGCTTAGACTCAGGTCTGTACTTGTCCAAAAGCTTGAAAACTTGGGAAGCTGAAAACATATAATAAGACCACGAGAAACACCATAAAATGGAATAATACTGATTCGCCTGAGAACAAACCTGGTTCTTCAGAACGCATGCATCATTGCACTTTCGTGCTTATTACATAAAAGTTCTGACAATTAAATCCAAAAAAAAGTACCAGTTTGCTTATCAAGTCCGGTGCGGAACTGATTGATGGTTGGTGGGATCTTCAGTCTCTTCTGGAGAACGGCTCTTTGGCGTTGAAGTCTGATGTACTTGGGCCATCTGACGAAACGAGTGAGATCTCTCTTTGGGACAATATCACCTCCTATAAAAAAAAAATTTTAAAAAAAAATAAGCATGAACTAACCGATGTGGAAGCTTCTTGGTCTCTTCTCAAAGAGTGGGTTCTTCTTTACTTGCTTTTCAGCATTGGCTGCTCTGATGTGGGTTGGTGGGGCAGCAACCTTTTTCTTGAGAACCTTCTTTGATGGCTAAATAAACACATTTTTTAAAAATAACAAAACTACAAATAATTATGAAAAACTTTAACTAACTCACCATCGTTAGACGCGTTGAAGATATATAATACTGACAGAAAGTTTTTCCCGGCGACCTAAAAATTTGGTTGGCTGAGTATTCAACGCGCTTGGCTCTCACCACGAATATTTTGGCTGCGGCGGTAGTTTAAACATACATTTTGCAATGTTGAGGTCACATTTACTGAGCGAAGAAAATTTACAGGTTTTTTTTAATATTTTGTTATTTGTTTTAACAAGCAAATTGTTTTGGATTGGATGATATGTCCCGTTTCTTACAGAAATGGGTAACGGCTTATATTTTGAAAAAAAAGTAAAAACAGTAAAGAGAAAAATAGAAATTTATTCAAAGATATAACGAATAATAGAAAGTTATGCATTTATCACTAGTTACCCGTATGAAAAGATTATTATATGATAAAGACTATATATCATCTGTCAAACTTTTCTAAAAATGAAAAGATTCTCTTGTTTCCAAACATGGAAAGTCAAAAAGGTGTTAATGTTAAAACATTGTTTGCTAGGACATAGCTTCTTCAAACTTTGACTGGTTCTCCTACAGTGCTGCTCACATCGAAAACTTTATAACCAGTGCCGTCAGTATTAGTAGCAACTTTTTTGTTTTTCCTCATCATCGAGGCGATTATTTGATGAGTTTGACGGCCTCTAGTTTCAGGAAGGTAAAGGTATAGATAAATCAAACTGAACGTAGAGGGGATGACGAAAACCAAAATGAAAGACAGTCCACCAATGTGCTGCAAACAGTAATATTAGTATATGTGACTAGTATTTCTCTTACTTTGAATAGTGGGATAATAATGAAATCCGTGATTGAGATCAAAATATTGCTGATTGCAAATGAAGCAGCGAAAACTGTTGCTTTGTGACGCTGACTAACCATTTCCGGAGCGATAAACCAAGTAATAGGTCCCATCACAAGGCTGTAATTAGCAATGTCAAGGAGTATATAAAAAAAAACATACCCATGTGAAATGCAGAACGCAATGATGCACCCAACAGCGAAGAATTTGACCCAGTCCGCCATTTCAGTGCACATTGAGCTGATTGCAAAACATAAAAGGAAAACCTATAAGATGTATAATGAAGAAGGTCCCTAGTTATGTTGAAGAACCGTGGAGATTGTTCCGAACACAATAATGAGAAGACGTCTTGGAAATTTGTCCACGAAAGAGGCTCCAGCAACGCATGCAATTGTAAAAACGACTAGGAGAATTGTAGTAGATAGTTCAGCATGATTTCTAAAGTAAAATATAGAAACAGTGTAAGTCAACGTGAAATTCATGTGAAGTCTTTTTCTATTTCTTAAAATGCAGACGACGACAGCGGTTGTTCAAAGTTCAGAAAGTTGTTCATAACGAACCTGCTTATGCCACATTCGAAAAAGAAGAATGTTGAAGATTGAAGAATTGGGAAGAAAGCGAGTGATAGCACAGAAACGGCAGTTGTGATGTAGATAGCTTCACGTAAGTGCCAGGTTGTGAATACTTCCTGTACAACATAACAGTATAATGGAGACTAAGATTCAGTAACGTTACTTTGAACGAAGATCTCTTTTTGTTAACATTGTCCAACTCTTTCTCTTTTTCATATTCGTCTAAAATAAGTTCATTGTCTTCTTGTTTCCCTTGGAAGAATTCCAAAGATCGCTCTGCAGAACGACGGTCGCCCCTGGAGAGAATACCGATGAGATAAGATGAAGATGAAGAACATACTTGGTTATCAATAAGTACTTTGGAGTCTCCGGGATGAAGAACAAGAAAACTAGAGAGAGAGCTTCAGGAATGGCAGCAATTAAAATAAGAAGTGCAAAATCATATCCTAAGACGTTTCTCATTCCGAGAACCTGAAAAAATAGATGAACAAGAGTCGATAAGCACAAGAACAAGAACGAAAACGAGAACAAAAAACAAAATATAAAGACTTACTCCGCCTAAAGCACACATGGCACCATATCCAATCTCGCAGAAAAAGGAAGCCATTCCTCGCAAATGAATTGGAGAGGTTTCCTAAAGCTTTCAGTTTTAACTTTAGGTACATCAACTGAATAAACCTGCATGTAAAGCATCAAGCTAGTGTCAGCGATTGGACTAGAAAGAGCTGCGATGGTTCTTCCCACAATCAACATTTCTGGATATTTGTAGAGGATCGAAAAGTATTGAACTGCGGTCGCTATCAATGTCATTAATACAGCAATCATGTATCCCTCTGAATGTTTGATTATTGAAGGCTTAAAAACAAAGACTCACTTCTCCTGCCTAGCCTATCCATAACCCATGGAGTGTAGAGAGACCCGAACACTTGAGCTACAAACCAGCAGTTCATAACAGCCGACTGAAATTTAATAATGAGCATGGACCAATTCCAGATACAACCTGTACAAAGAGCATTTGAGCTGCTGATAGGTTAATACCTCGGTGTATGTAGGAGTCATTGATGAAGCTGTAAGAATAAACAGTTTTTTTTTAGAAAAAAAGTAGAGAGAGCTTGATTTGCAAAAAATAAAAAGGTCATAAATCTATAATTTTATTGGTAGGGCTATAACGCAGGGATCGTTCAGACAAGGTCAAAATCGTCGAAATTTTTGTCATCCAATGTTTTTTGGACGTCTTTTGATTAAAACTTTTCTCATGCCATTCCTCTAGTAAGGAGTTTTGAGAATCATTTTGGGGTGTAATGATCATACGTTACTTCTAACATACTGTAATCTAAGTATTAAAAATATTTTTTTCAACACAAGTCCTTATGATAATGATTTTGATCCAGCTATTACAAATGTGTATTTTAGATCAATCATACATGCTATCAAAAGTTCATAAGTTTAAAAGTGCAATCTGATCCACTCAAAGAAAACATTAAAGAGAAATGGATCAACTAGTATCAAATGGTTGTATGATGATAGTTAGAAATAACATACCTCCTCAGCTGAGAAATAGCAGTGTTTACTGTAGAGTTCGTGAATCCGGATGGAAAATTAGTGATAAAAGTGAGGATGGCATAGATTGACACTAGGAAGTATACGTTCGCCATCTCTGAAAAAATGTTGAGTATATTAGCGACCAAGAAAATGTTCGAACTGATTGTGGAGGTTGAGGTAAGACGGGCACGAATCGGATGGAAAGATATCGATCGAAATCAGACTAACAAATTGACGAAAAAAAAACTACGAAAAAAAGGAAAAGAATTCTCTCTTCTTTTCTTTATTAGCGAATATTGGGTATCCGAAGGATTCCATGCAGCATGCCCAATGTACGCATCATAACCTTATATAGAGAAAATGAAAACAAGGCAAAGCTCCGCCTAGGAAACGATAGGGGAGAAAACAACATATCGTAATTGGTTGATCGTAGACACGTAAATGTTTAAAGGAGAAATATAACAATGTGCCATGGGCGTCAGAAATAGATGAGAACAGTCACAATATAGAAATTCGAAGTTGCTTCTATTTAGAGGATGACCAATGTGATCGAGCAAAAATTGAAAAATCTATGCAACAGGCCTGGTAGCGTAAAGAAATAAAGTTTTTAAGTAACAAAGAACAACTTAGAGAGAGAATGTGGTTCAACACAGATATTAAATTTTTAACAAAAAAAACAGGAAATACCGGCGTCAGAACAATCCTTACTGGAGTCATAGTACGAAATCGCGGAACACAGTATTCTTTTTGCGGGATATCTATCTATGCTCAACCGTTCATATTGATTTTATGAGTTGAATTCAGACTCAAGTTGCATGATTTGATTAGAGTAGTAAACCCTTAACTTCCATGACAGTCCCCAAACACTGAACAAGCGAGGTTTGCAGAATTGCAATATCCAACCAAGACCATTTTGCCACAGGAAAAGATATAGCAACCGCTCAGCGAGTTGGAAATCTAGAAAATGACGTGATCTTTTTCTCATTGCTGGCATGTAGAACACGTGGATGACGTGACTTTTTCGAATTTACTGTAAAAAATTTAAGAAATTAGCTTCCTCCCGTTACTTCTGTTTTGTTATTACAGTTCAGATGTACCCAATGTTTGGGTTCAGGGTATGCCACAATTTCCCAAACTTTGAGATCTTCACCTTGAACTTACACATCGTTCAAAGATGAGAACATTCCAATTTTTCAAAAGCCTGCTATGATTTCATTTTCAAAAGAATATCCGTCTACCTCTCTATACCCAATTGGTGCAAAATCAGGATAAACCATGAACAGTTACAGATTTAAAGACAGGACTTAGATGGTTTGTGAAAAAAAAGTCAAAGTCAAGTTGAGTAGATAAGGGAGAGAAGTTCCGAGTAAGAATCACTACAGCAATGACACATCAACTTGTTACAGTTATTTCGGGTGTGCGATGTCATAATAGGCCAGAAAGCATTTCAGTTATTCCGTTGTACTAAATTAGTTACAAATGGAGATTGGAATGACAGGAAGGGTGTATTACAAACAAACATTTTCATTAGCAAGTACAATAACGATGAAGAATCGTAAATCAGTAGTTTAATAACTAGGAAAACATCAACCACTCTCAAGCCGAATACTTTCGGAGGCTATGTCAGAGAAGCACGTGTTGCGAGAATATCGAAGCTTCCAAGAAAAAAAAACATAGCTCGACGTTTGCTGGAAAGGATATGACGCTATCCCGGATTCACATAGTTGCTTCGTCGAATGGTACTGGGTGTCTGGCTATCACAAGAAGATGACGTTGCGAGGACAGATGAGTTCATCTGTTCACGTTGATAGCGATCATGGGAATCGCATCCAAAACTGTGCCAATTGATATGAACTTGTGAGAGACAGCTATCTTCTTTTGAAGAAGGATTGTTGACGTTTTCAATGGAAAGTTGAAAAGCTTTAAAACATGTTCATTCAAAAAACCAGAATGAAAAAAACAACAAACAATGACAAAATCAAAAAGAACAAAAAGCTATTTCCGGGCGTTTAGCATATCCATATAAGCAACTGTCAGCAGATCTTCGTCCGAGACTTCCAACAATTTCTGAATATGCTTGGCGGTCTTGTCACCATCTTCCACCGTTTGGTTTTCATTCAAAACTACCTGTAAGAGAAACTTTCAAATGTTGGAAGAACAAGTTCTTTGGCAGGGAGCATTTGCAAAAACGCGGCATCGGAAAGGCTGAGACAAAACGACATCGTGAGGATAACAACGCAGTTGTTTTTAACAAAAGAGAACTCTGGGAAAGATGGAGACACAAAGAGCATCGAATCCTGTTTCAGCGTTAACGTTTGTTGCAGGTAGAAATTGTAAAAAAAAGGAAAGAATTTCATACTTCCAATTCCATGAAATCTCCGAGTCCTTCAACGGTATCAATGTGAATTCTTGTTTGTTCATAAATGAACAGGGTGCGAGATTTCTTGACCTCTCCTTTAATACCCATAGAGAGAGCCAAAGAGATTTTCAAGCTCTCCAAAGTTGCTTCATCTAACTCGGTTTTATTATATTCGCTCAACTTGGGCCCAGATTGGTCTGGTCTGTTGTACCAGATTAACTCGGACTTTTTCTACAATATGAATCATGAACTAATAGGGAATAGCTGTTACATTACCACTCCATTTACAGTGAAGGATCTCATCTTCAGACGACCATTCGGGGAATTGTAGAAAATATCATGCTGAAGAAGTTCAGCTGGCTCCTATTACAGTATGATGATAAAACACAAAAGAAAATGATATCATACTTCTCCGACTAACTTCTGGGCTAGATTGACGATTTTCGTTCTATCGTGAACTCGGGCTTTAATCTCAACGTTTCGCATATTTTTCCTGCTGAACATAAAAGAGAATTTTCGAAAAGCAAACCATAAGATATTGATAGTAACTCGCAACTGGTACGAACCGTTGGAACCCTTCGAATGGAACATTCATTATTAGGAGACAGACATATTTAACAATTACTGGATAGAAAAATCTAATTTACAGGGATCATAAAGTACAAAGGAAGTATTATTAGAGAAGGAAACACTTATAAAACATGCCTAAAGTGCAAAGAAAACAATGAAGTCAACAAACATCCAACAAGGATTTTCTAAAAAAGAAAATCCTTTTGGAATAAAACTAAAATTAACTTCTCTAGATAGACTAGTCAACTAACCGTTTGAAATCGGAGAGAAGATCGACTGAGTGCAAAATACCTGTAAACTATTTTGGAATAAAAAATAAAAAAAAAAATAAAAATAAAAGGAGACCGGGATAACTACATGTTATAATAGGGGGGACTGTTGAGATGTCTCAATCTATACGAAATTCTTTGACTTCGGCTTGTATCTTTCTTTAATTTGACGGATGTTTCTCAGACGATTTACTCCAGCGGATATGTAAGACTCCTCTCCATGCCTCGCTACATTTACAGATAGGAGTGAACGAACTATTAATTTCCGAAGAAGACGGGCAGCACTACTGTAATAAGATTATCAGTGATGTCACTTACCGTAAGCATAAGAAGCCTTGGCAAAATCGTGGAAGAGAAAAAAAACTCACGCATCGCTGAGTAGGACTCGTTTCATGGCAAGCCAACATGAAATGTCTTGTTTAGCGTGGACCGTGATTAGCAGGCTCTTCGAATCAGATGGCACTACTTCAATACAAACAGAAGCGAATTGTCCACAGACAGTTCCCAATTTATATGTTTTTCCGCTTTCATTGAAAATCACGGAAACGAAGTTGTTGGCAATGAGTTTCTTCTTAGAATTGCAGTTCGGATCGTTAGGCTGATTGGGCATCAAAGTAGAAATAAGGAAAATCTGCAATATAGAATTCTGAAGAAGCGGTTATTAGGCAAAACTAACTATACGACTAAGCTCATCTCTATGCTCATACGTATAACTTCCATGTAATGGGGACTCTAATCCGCCCGGTCTTTCATCCAAAGTAATAGGCTCGCCGAGCAGTTTCACAAACCGAGCGTAACGATCCGAGCCGTATGTGTTTGACAAAATTTCCACTTCTGTTTCTTGCAAAGGAGCAATGAATAGAACTCCTACAGCATGTAGTTCAACGCCTGGATGCTGTAAAAGGCAATTAGGCCAGCAAAGATTAGAGCAAACATACAGTGTCCAATACTCTAATTGAACGCTCAACGTCTTCGTCTTTTTTTGCCAATCGAGTGATGCCATTTGATGGAAGAAGATGGTTCAGCAAGTTGACAACCAACCAAGGGAACGAAGGTGCTGCAAATATACTGATAAAATGGAAAAATGCAATCGAAAGTACAAAGAAGGAAATCTTCAGGCCATTCTTCGAAAGTTCTCATCAGCCAGGAAGTTCTTCCGTACATGTGGCGTACATTCAAATGAATGAATGTGGTAGAACGTACTGTAATAACAGATCATTTGTAAATCATGGAAAATTCTGGAAAACCTTTTTCCTTTCTTCTCCCTTGCTGATGGGGACCCCCAAAAGCATAAAGATCATCCAAAGCCTTCGGCTTCTGGCTTAAAGATTCGGCATGCCCTCTAGTGGCTCGTCGTTCCTGGATCGCTGACTGATGACGTCTTCTCTTGAATCACAGGAAATTAAAACTACTGGAAAAATTGAAAAAAACCGTTTCGGCAAAGTTTTCAACAGGGGGCGAATTGGCAACTTCACTTGAAGTAGTGAAAACATCATTATCACTGTCTGAAACGCTTTTATCGTGACAACGAATTATTACGAATAAAAAGATAAGATCAACGTAACTCCCGCGTTTACGTTTTTTTCGTAATTGGCAAAGATCCAGCAAAACCAAGAAAACTTACCATCTTCTTTATCAACCAAAGTTCGAACAGAAACAATGCAATCATTCACATAGAAATGCTCGACACTGGCTTCAAATAAATGATCGGGCGGCTGCAAATAAATTCGTTCAGACAAAGAAAACAATTTTTTTTCACCGCTGCCGAACCAATGACATCATCCAAACGACCTAAACGTATAAAACAGTCAAGGGCACGGAGTATCTCTTCACTGATCTGAAAGCGAACTTTTTTCCTTTAACAATGACCTAGATATTTTACATTATCAGGCTTTTTCTCCTCCCTGAATGAACCCATACCATCCATGGGGGGTGGTGTAGCTGGATCTCCTCCGAGTAAAAATAAATTACCCGGCACCTTAGAACAAGATTATAATGGAAAGTCTCACATTGCCTTCTCTCTACCTGCCGTCCATCTCCACTGTGTTGTCTTGGAATTCCTTCGGATATGCAGATGGAAGATTTCGTATACAGATCATTAACCGATTTCAGAATATGCCTGATGAAAAGTTATACGTACGCTCTCCTGAAGTATCACTTACTCTCCTATTTCAAAGCGAATGTAATCTGGAGCTCGAACGAACCAACGCATTAAAACTCTATGAATACAAGCGACAATATAAGTACTAAACTCTCTAGCATCTGCATAGGGAACTAGTATATCTACAATTTTTTTGTAATAGTCAGCCTAAAACAAGGAGTCAAATAAAATCTCAACGCAGAATAAACTTTAAACAGCTGTTGAAACTCCGGAATATCGGCTGAATCACTCAAAAGCTCAATAACAGGGATGGCTCTTTTCGAAGTTGGTTTAAGCTTTAATAATTCTTCAATCAAAGTATGAGCATTTGAACTCATTCTCTCTGGGACTAATTGTATAGCGATATCACAAGCCATTACAGCCTTTAAATAATAATAAAACTTTTATACTATTTAGCGGGACTGACCTCTACTTGCTCATACTTCACACAATCTGTCAGCACTCGACAAACTTCTTGGCTCTTGTTCTCCTGAGTCATTGTATAATTAATCTAAACAGATGGATCAACTGTTATTCAAAGCGAAATGATCACCAAGGTTGCCAGTACAGGGGGGAGATATTTGGACAAGGGCTCTACAGGGAAGCTCGTCTTTTTTTCTTCGTTCCTTTTATAAAGAGAGACAAGAGTTTGAGTTAGCAATTCAACTTCTTGTGGAGTCGCAGTCAGAACTAATTCAATGTGTTCTAACACTCGTCCTAATTTTTCAAGACATTCTTGAATTACATTCCAGCTATAAAAAGAATTGTAAGAGATATATGCTGTCACCAACGTTACCTGGTATCATGATCCAAAACTCTTGTGACTATTGTACATATTTTAGACCAAGTAAACCCATTTTCAAAGCCGGAATGTTTTCGTTGAATAAACACGTTAGTTTGAGGCTCATTATCATCTCTTCCAAAACGCTCTTCAATTCCAAAACGTTCATGAGAGTGAGATATGAAACTTACGGATCCTGTTGGTGATGGGACAGCAGTGTATAGATAGAAGTGTTGTCAAAACAGATATTCTTATCTTCAAAACAAAACATCATCTTTGAAAAGAGAAAGAAAAAACTAACGTCACAACCCAATTCATTGTTCCAACCTATACTATACTGCATTTCAATATGCTCCACTAATGTGTCTATAAATGAGCTTTGGAGACTTCTTTTTACCCATAACACTACCTATCAGAATATTTAAAAGTTTTGGACTCAATGACATCCATCTCTCCACTAACACTTCATCAATCAGAGTCGATAAGACGCATAAATTATCCATTGTGATTCCTGAACATTCAAGTTATTTTCATGGCTTGGATAATCTAATTTGTTTTTGACTGTTTAGAATAAGAAAACGGGTGAATTTTAGTGTTTTCTTACAGTTTTCTTACAGTTTTCTCTTGATTGTTCATCCCAGAAAATAAGAATCTTACCGTTTTCTGATATGACTGGTTCGGAATGCTCCATGAAATCCAACTCATCCGCAGGAGTGCTAGCTGTACAATCAGTATAAACTTCAAATCGGGATCGTTCACTTACATTTCATAGTGTTGTTGAACAATTTACGAATCAAACTGATCACTGACTCGAATAGTTTACAGTCATCACGTATGGAAACGGTTTTCGCAACGTCCAAGAGAATATTAATCATTTGATACTGAAATGGATTGGTTTCTGATAATGGATCCCAAGAGTTCACCAACTTGAATTCGTGAATCTTTCTCTTGATGAACTTTCTCACTTAATGGGAGTATGACCTGAGTGACAATCTCAGGTTCATACAACAGTTTGAACCTGGTGTATATCGAATGCATGGCATACAAAACTTTGCTTCTCCTTTCTTTAGCTTGACTTTCGTGCGAATATGTTTTCACGAATTTTATGAAATGTTCAATCCAATCAGGTGTAGATGGTGATATATTCTGGAATGTTCCGTAGTGAGAACTATAATTCAGAAACACTACCTCTGCACGGTATTCGATGAGTGCTATGATAGAACTATTCGGTCGATGATTTGCACAACGTTCGATCAAATCGAACAAGAGATCGGGACTAGCATTCAGGAGCCCATCCCTTTAATGATTGTATTAGGGATGCTGAAATCATTACTATACCTATAAAGTTGTTCAGTGAGGAGCAACAAGTCATGAACAGCCTTGCACTTTTCCTGATACTCAGGACGCTGAATATGTGTTTGTATTGGCATTTTGAGAAAAAGCAAACCTCATCACATAAGGCGAGAAGAGTTTCGAAAAGATGAATCAAAGCTGCCCAAGTCATTTGTTGGAGATCACGCCCATTTCTTTGAATCAATCGACGGAGAGCTGTTAGGACATCTAGCAAGAGAACTTAAATACAAATCTGAGGAAGCAACAAACCTATACAAACGTTGACATCAGCTGCCATGGCTTTCTCGAAATAAGGAATAGCAGCAGCAGGACTCCAAACAAACATGTCAATTTTCTAAATGAAACACTCACTAAGAAAGGAGAAAGAAAAAATTTTACATGTGTTCCCCAAATAGCATCTGTTAAACAGAAAACTGCTCCTCGAACCACTTTGATGAAGTCCGAATTCGTATCTTTCTTTAACATCTCACTGTCTTGTAGAATATTTTGTAAATGGCTACGTGCTCTGAACCATATATGAATGAACAAAGAAACTAAAACTTGAAATGCTACCTGTGCCCGAGATGTGAATTTAGTAACTTCCTAGTTAAACTCCAAGCTTGCCTCCGGAACGTGTCGTCGCAAACTTGAATGCAGAGGACAGCAACGACATTGTAAAGTTTGTCACTTGGTAACTCACTTGAACGAAATAACTTTTGGAGGAACAAAACTTCTACTAACCTGAATATCATAATGCAATCTATGCTTTTAAGACATTCCTGCGTTAGTGAATCATTTCTTTTACAACCCCTCTCACAAATACATTTCAATAAAGTATTAATACTGTCTCGGCAAATGAAGGCTGAGTTATGTCTAAAGCAACGCATGAAACAAGAAAACAAAAGCTGAGAGAACCTGATGAATTGTTGAGCAAGTTGTAATACATTTATTGCTTGAGGATGATCATACTCGGCCAAAGTCTTCTCTACCCACTCAGCCATGAGATAATCCATATCCTGAACAACTATCATGAAAAAACAGCACAAATGAAAGGAGTTTCTAACCTTTTCGAAGCCATTCACATCTTCTCCTTTATTACTCAAGGCGTTCAACCATTTAACAGTCAGCTCTTCAACTCCAATTGTTTTTATAGCCTAGACGAATCGCAGCATGGAATGTCGTGAAACATAAAACCTTACATCGAAAAAGGTATGACGAAGAGCTAGACCCAGTTGCTTCCTCTGAGCTTCTGTTAGTTCAATTATCAAGCGTAGCGCAGGATCCTTGGTATCTGGATCACTGAGCATATCTTTGGTGTCGTGATATAAACCTTCAAGCGTTGACACTTGTAAACTTCTATTTTTGACGACCTGCAGGATACAAATTGAATTTTCTTGCAAAGCTTAATCAGTGAGTGGGTGCACATATTCATGCATATCATACAGAAAGCTACAAAGGAAATTACTTACAACAGAACCAAAGTGGGAAAAATCCGACAGCAGGCGTCTCAGGAAAGAAGGCGGAGTTCGGGTAGGGATTTCTAGGGTTGTTGGTAGCATAACACCGGGATATACTGCCTCCACAACCAAAAAAGTGCGAAAGGTTAAAAAGCAAGCAGGAAACATTAAGTGATAGAACAGAACATGCAAAACATTTTGTGCACACCACTTCGAACATATCACAAAGCACCTATTCACCTCATGTAATTGTTGCAGGGTTTCTATTCGTTTTTCTGATCCTGGCGAAAGCCCATCCCATGTGCCTTGGCGAATCGAACCGTCGTTCGATATTAAAGCTGCTAGCTTACGAGCATTTTCCTCAAAATGTCATATGTCAGTGATGAATATGAAGAATGACTTCTACCTTCTCTCTCTGAGCCGAAGAGTGGCCGAAGATCTTCTTGATGCTCAAGTTGGACATGAAAGAACTACCCGTTCTTCTAGGTGAAGCGTTGGCTGTTATAGCATTTATATTGTTAATAGAGGAAGAAGATCTTGGTCCCGCAAAATCTATGTTTGTGGTTGGTTCCGAGCCTGAATTAATTCCAATTTTGACGATTTATGCTAGTTTACCTGGAGAAGCATTAGTGCTTGGCGCATTACTAGCACTTGGCACTTGACCAGTTTGGCCACTCATCGGCCCGATTGTTTCAGTGACGCTCAGAAATTGAAAATTAACAATGCTCCTGTTTGAATATTCAAAAAGTAAAGTCGAATTAAAATTAAGATAGAAAGACTTGTAAAAGAAGATCGTTTTTGTGAGACAGTAAAAGAGTGTACAAATTGGAGAGAGTACAGAGAATTTTTTAAAAATTACAGAACGCTAAATTGCGTAAATGCAACTATTATTTTCTGAGCTTCTGGAAACACAGTCACTTCGACGTCTCTCATCATCTCTTCTATATTCTGTATGGGTTTTCATGAAAAGAAGTCTTGTGAAAGCCTATCATTCAAAAAGGAGTTGATAGACGTGAAGCGCCTTATTCTCTAGAAGCTTTTTGGCTTTTTGTGATCTCAAAAGTGATTTCAATTTTGTTATAATATTCTGATGTGTTTTTTTTGTTAGATAGAGTTATTCTGTTTGTATTCGTTTCTCAGTGTCTAATGTCAAATTGTTATCGATTTCCATTATTAATGCTTGATTTCTCTCTCTGAGCGTTCAGTTTCTCTCGTTTCTATGGATACGAGAATACTACTTTCCTTAAGGCTTATCAAGCACTCAAGCTCCTTTATTCAGACTAAACGAATGTTTCACAACACATTCCAAAGTGGACTATTATCTATCCTATATAGTATTGGTAGCAAACCCTTGCAACTCTGGGACAAACAGGTTTTTAAAATTTTATTTTCTTGCTTTCAAAGCTAATTTTTGCAGGTTAAAAATGGTCATATTAAACGAATAACAGACGAGGAAATTCAATCATTTGTTTTAGAAATTTTCGGAGCTAACGTTAGGTTTGGATGTTAAAACTTCTTTTTCTAAGCTTTCGTTCCAGCACTTGCTTTGTGTCATGTCCACTCGACCCTAAAGCAACCTTAGGTATTAAGCTTCCATATTTTGTGATGATCGTTAAGAATATGAAGAAATATTTTACTTTTGAAGTTCAGGTACTAAGTTATTTTTGTACTAGCTAACTTTCATTTGAAGGTTTTGGATGATAAAGGGGTTAAACGACGGTTCCGAGCTTCTAACTATCAATCGAGCACAAGGGTGAAGCCTTTCATTTGTACAATGCCTCTTCGTCTGGACGAGGGCTGGAATCAGATCCAGTTCAACCTTGCTGATTTCACTAAGAGAGCTTACGGAACAAACTACGCTGAAACACTACGTGTACAAGTAATCATGCCAAATTAAGAAACATTTTTTATATTACCCATAGATTCATGCCAATTGCCGGCTGCGGAGAGTTTACTTCGCTGACCGTTTGTATAATGAGGATGAACTGCCAGCCGAATTCAAGCTCTATTTGCCAATCAGAGGATCATCCTCGTCTGTCCCCGTGACGGGCACAAGTGTTACCGAATAATTTTAATTTCGATAATTTGACAGAAAAATCAGAAGTAAAGTGCTGATCTCACTGGTTTGACTTAGTCTCAAATATCATCTCAATCACTCTCCGATTTATGGCTGGCTCTTCATATCTGCCTACTATTTGACTTCCTTTTATCATATTTGGAATTTCTAAACAAAAATATTGTTGACAACTAAAATAAATTTATTTTTCCAATCCTTTTCTGTAATTTAGAGCACGTTCTTCTGCTTATCCTCACTTGAATCTTCAGTCGTTTCAAACGCTTCATTCACGTGCTGTGTCGGAGTGACAACTTCCTGAAATGATGTGATAGCGTAAAAACCCTCGGACACTTCACATACGACTATGTCATTCTCCACTTTATATTTTCCGATGACTTTGTCGTCTATACTTTCGTTTCCACAGTATTTACGGCGAAATTTGAGTATTAGCCACAAGATGATCAATGGCTTATCTGTAGAAATCATTATGGCAAAGAGAATTGTTAGCGAAATATCAACTTCTGGCTCGGGTAATGACCAGATCATAAGAATTGTGGCGATTCCTATCATAATATGTTTGTATGAACGATTCTGATCGCTTAAGGTACCTATGTTCTGCACTCCAGTTTCGATCGCAATCGTTATTTTATTTTGATAAGACTGCCCACATACCCAAGCTGCAGTGTAGGCGATGAAATAACCGGCCCAAGGTAAGAGGCATCCGATTATTGCCGTTTTCCATGTAAATAACAAGAACACATACCTAATTGGAGAGAATTTGAAATCTTAATCTTGGAAGATAACCAACCAATTAGCCCAAATGGCAAAAGCCGTGAAAAAAACTGTAGCGAACCACGTGCATCTCTCAAATTATATTAATTTGGAAGGCAATTATCATTTTGTTATTGAATTTTGCAAGAAAGGATCCAATAAGCTTTTTTTCTTACTTTTATTTGTTTTTCTACTCTCTTAACGAGATGTGGCCGACGATGGATGAAATACATTCCAGCTGAAGATGGTATCATCAGAACTAGTAAACCTTCAATGATCGCGAAAAAAGGTATTTCAATACGCTTGGTTGTGAATCGTTTCCCTAATGTGTACAGCCAGAATGGCATCATAACTGCAACAAAAGCTCTTTCGAATCAATAACGTAAGATGAAAGTTTACAGATTGCAGATATGGTTTGCGTGAAAGTCATGGCGACCGAGAGATCCAAGTTCCCTCCATAAATAATCGTCCAGAACGAGCTTTTTCCTCCGCCTGGACATGTTGAAGCTGCAAAAAGAGCCAGTTTCAGAACTGTTTCGTCCTCATTGAATCCAAATTCTGCCAAGCAAAATCCAAACTACAAAGATTTCAATTGAAAAGTGAGTTGTAGAAGTACCAAAGGCATCAACACAAATTGACAAACAAATCCTATGGCTGGCCCAACTGGTTTCTGCATGACGGATCTTCAAAGAGGCAAATGTGAAAGGGAATATGGAAATTTGAGAAAAACCTAATTTTTGCCCATTCTAATTGAGTTCCCATCATGAAAGTAACAATAATGATGAAAGTTCCGATAAATGCTGTAAACACGGTGGTGAGGTAAACATAAAAGGCAGCGCGCATAACTCGAATGACGTAATCATCACTCAGAACTCTTGAAAGGCTATCATTAATCCCAGTTTTTTTCTCAAAACAAACGTTTCATTATCGTAGAGACTGAAATCGAGCTGAGTTATCCCGAGGAATATAGCCTCGATCGTTACATTGTAGACATGAAGCATAGTCTTATTCTCATATTCTGTGAAAATGTTTTCGATGGAACGGACTTCGCATATCTTCTGATCCTGGCATTGGATTATAGGTTGTTGGATTAAAGACGACTCATTTCTGCTTATCTTCTCAAAGATTGTAACAGTAACGTTACTATAAAACATGAATAGGCAGTCTTCTCAAAGCAACTAACCGTATTTGGCCAGTGCGGAATTCATTCAATTCCGGTGGAGTGATTTTGATTTTTATCAAAGAAAACACCGAACTGATACAGCTACTGAGCAGAATACAGAAGGATAGGTTGAAGACGATCATCTGATCATCTGGAAGTTCAAATCGAAGTTTTATACCGAGGTGCCAAGGAAAGTCCGATCAGTGATATGTAAAAGGAAGAGGTCGTGCGAACTAAATAAAACTGAATCATCTGTGTTTTCGAATCCTCTTTTGTAGTTTCATATGATACTAGGATGTTTGATTGGATAATTCCTCATTATGTGAGAGAGAGCGGGAAAAAGGAGAGAGCAAAAGAGACGGAGAGTGAGACAAGGAAACGAAGAAAGAGAAGTAAAATAATAATAAAAATAATGAAACTACACTAGGGATTTACTGAGGTGACACCAAGTTGAATGCAACTACGACTGATCTTGTATAGACACACCAACCATAATGAAGATAGATTATGAATTTGGAAAGATACGCAGAATACGAGAGAATGAGCAGATGGGAATACAGAGAACATGTTAGGTGGAATGCCGCTCATGCAGAGAGACAGGTTGATCAAGAAGACAAAAAAATTAAAAACAATTATACAATGACTGCTGTAAGTTGCTTCCTTCAAAAAGCTCTTACAAACCAGTTTGTCATTAAACTTTTTTTTCTTTTTAAACTCAAAAAACTCTTCTAGAGATGAGGGCTTATATGCAAACAATCCAACGGATATTCTATGATTTATTGGCTTTTTACGATATTTTTGAACAAATCAAGGGATTATGATAGAATGCCAAAAACATTTTTATTTCCAAACGAATTGAGAGCTCAACAGAAATTCTCATGAATAAATTCAAAAATTGAACTTTGCAAAGTATTTCCCGTACCTCGAACACAACAAATATGTTGGTGCAACAGAGAAAAACAAAAAAATCAGATGGGATCGCAAGAAAAACAGATCTCCGATTGTCTCTCATAGTGTTACCTATCAGAAAGTTACTTATTCCATTCTTCAATATGTCTTTTTACAAAAATCATTAGTGAAACGTTTCCAAATATGATATTCGAGAGATTTTTCATAGAGCGTTTTTCAATTCCAAAAGTTCGAGGAACCGATAGGGATGAATCATCAACAGATTCAACTAAGCGCAAATATGTATTTTGTGTGACAATAGGTGTAAAAACTACTAATTTAGATTAAAACATTACACATATCATCTTATCCAATCGCATGTGATCTGAGCTAATCCAGACGTATTATATATGGATCAAATGCGCGAAACTAGCTCAGAGTTTATTCGATGCTTAAATGACTTCTTAAGTTGGAAAAAAAGTGATGAGATATGAGACACGCGATAAGCTATATAATTGCTTATTGCGAATCATGAGTTATGCTAATGGGAACTGTCAGACGCGTGATAACGGCTTCGTGGCAGCGCAATCATTCAGAAAAAAAGAAGGCCATCAGAACGGTTGTAGTGTATGTGAGTAAAGTTCGTGGAATAATCATAAAAGTATGTTAGTATTAATATTTATATTTTCAAGGATAACCGGTTGTGAATGAGTTAATACTTAACAGAAACAACGAAGTTCTCGATCATGTAGTGAACTATGTTAAAGAAATAAACACTGCTAGATGTTCGTTTGACATACCCTGACAAAGGATGAGATTTCTATGAGTTGTAGTTTGTTGTTAACGGCGCGTGCTATGAGGTTCTCTTCTGTTTTAGCCTTTAATGAAAGCAAAGTAATTCAATTAACCAATAACGGAATATCAATTCATTCAATTATCCAAATATCATCTTATTCATTTTCCGAAAGATTACCGCCATTGTTCTAGAAAGCAATTGAAATTAAAAATATGGATAAAGAAGGAGGAGATAACAACAGTTAAGCTTACATCTATCCATCTTTCATCTCCCTCATGGAGTTACAGAAAACCTTGCGGCAGAGGATTTTATTATCACTTCAAATAACTATCAGTTATTGTTGGAGATTCATTCACTTTGCAGTATTTGGTAATTCCCCTGACTGTTGGTGAGCTAATACAGCTGTCAATATTATAATTTGAGGCTGGTGTCTCCTAATTCATTTCAGTGAAGGCAGTTTGCCACTGTCAAGATGACATCGCTGTTAGATTTGGGTTTCGTTATTCCGACGACATATGGAGTTATCATGATCTTTGGATCCTTATTCATTGCCATCGTGATTTGTCGAAATTGGAAATGCTTCCAGTCTTCTTTTTTCAAAATTTACCTTTATTCAACTTTTCTGGTTTGCTTTGACGTCATGCTCTAAGAGAATTCAAAGTTTTTTTTATAGAACTTATATTCCTTTATAAACCAATTTATCGCATTCCGACTTCCACAATCAACGTGTGCCAAATGTCTTTTGGCACCTTTCTTCGAAAATAGATCCTTTTGGGGTTTTCAGTGGGTAACATTTATGTACGTCCATTCAACTATGCTGCAATACAATATCATCTTAATTACTTCAATCAATCGACTTACTATGGTCTTATATCCATTCAGTTATGAAAATGTTGGTTTTCAGTTCTTCTTGAGAGAGTTTTCTGAATTACGCTGGAAGATATACTGGGAACTTTGCTTGAAATTTCTTCAGATATGGAAAAAAATGTTCTGGCCTCTAGCATTAGTATTACCATTCGTTCCTGTCTTCAGTGACTATACTATCTTAACAGGAGAATCCTACTACATGTTCGTTTCTCACTTAGATACGTTCCAAATGAGATCAACAGCTGTAAGATATCTTATCAAACAAAATAACCAGCAAAACATCTTGCAGTATGCAGATGAGATGTTCTATATGTTGGTTGGTTACGATGTTGCAGTAACTGTAATAAGCCTTATAATAAACATTGTCACCTTATTTTTCCTCTCCAAAGTTTGTTTTTCTGCTTTCCTCGATTGCCAAATAGTTAGCTTGTTATTGCAGTGTTTTCTTTCAGCATAACGCTACCGAAATCAAAAAATCAGAACTTAATCTCTGCCTTATGACAGCAGCCTGCGTTGTGATACAAATTCTAGATTGCACCAGATATGTAAGTGAAGACTCCATCGAACGATCTTCTTTAGCTTCAATTTCAAGGTATTACAAATTATGTTCGGAGATCACGAATCTCGAGAATCTGCTGGAAGTGTTCTCGTAATGAAATTAGAACCTTACATGTTGGATGCTATGACTCTTCTTTCTCCTCTCTTCCTCTACTTGTTCTCGAGCAAAGTGCGAAAAGCAGTGAATACCAGTTTCTGTTGCAAATCTACCGTTCTTCCATTGATATCTGAGGATTTCCCTTCCATAAGATTTGCCAGTCAGAAGTTTCGTTGAAAATGACTGCATTTTCTTGCCAACATGTCGTTCGTATCAAAAACTGACTTAATAATCTTCATAATCAGATTTTATCAAATCACATGAACGTTTTCCGTTTGCGTGTTACCATAAAAGTCCATAACCCTCGTTGGACTGATTAGCAACTTCATAAATTTGATAAAATATTGTTTTTTTTTCTCCAAAATGAACAACTGTGTTAACATAGAAACAGAAAAACAGATGAATCTTTGGAAGTTTAACATGGCTATAAGAGAGCCTAACAAACGCATTAAAGGACTGTAAAGCCATCTGTAGAAGACTAATTATCAACTAATCACCATATTAAGTGATCAGAGATGGTAATAATTACAGTTATTAAAATAGAAATTGACTTTAATAATGTTATCAATTTTGAATATATTTTATTTGATCAGACGATTCTATCAGCCAATTATTCATTCTCGAACTGTTCTCAAAGGTCGTGTTCTCGGCCAAAAAGCAAACAAACCAATGTTATAGTCGTAGTCTTGCAAATCTTTACAGAATATACCAACTGGATGGCTATCTGATAAAAAATGAAATGAAAAAATATGATGAAATGATTTATCTTATCATAAACTATACACAATCTCTTCCGAGTGTTTCTCCGGAAATGCAACCGATTTTCAGCTTTTCACAACTTCAAATGACTTCTCACTTCATCGAAATCGTTGCCACGTGCAAGCGGAGCGCCAATCATCATAGCATTATGCTAATTAGAGGAACTTAATCTATTCTCTTCCACGTCATTTTTTCAGTTCGCATAAGAAAGATTCCTTTCTTCCAAGAACAATCATAGGTGATTGTTAGATCCATCGTTCTACCTTCTGGTATAAAAAGAATTAACTCAGCTTCATGCGAGTTAGTTCAATTATGACGTTTTGATCTAAATTACTTTGGCGTTAAGCTCGGAACTCATACTTTTCCTCTGTTTATGAAAAAAATGAAATTATTCAGTGATTATCTCATCTTCCTTCGTCAACGATCGGAACCAAGAAACTGAAGGCTCATTTTTCTCCGTTCTGCATTCATAGCAACTCATCTCGTTATTCAATGTACTTTAGAATCTTGTATATTTACAATTGTTTATTATTTCTTTATTTTTGAAAACTACTGCTTGGTCTTGAGATTTCAAGGCTGACTTAGCATTGTCCCTTGCAGCAATCGCTGATAGCCTTCCAGTATCCAGCGGTGGAGGAACTGTGGCATCCACGTGGTCCTCCATTGTGGTTACGGGACATGACTTCGCAAGGGCTTTGTCCAGTTCCGGTACATTGACCAGCGTAACGGTCGTAGTAGGCCTTAAAAGAGTGTATGAATGAAAAAATAGTGATATGCTCATATTCGATTACTAGAAGATTCATTTATGAAGATGCACAGAAGCAATTATGGTTTGCTGGAGGCAGCTACGAAATGTTACAAACAAATTTCTATTCTCTCCAACCTTTCCCTCTTTTCATTTCATCATGTGATCTCAAGAGAACTTTGACTCAACTAAGTGATCTGGGAATAAAGAATTGTTTTGTGGAATGTGTTCTTTAACCAATTCCGCAATCAATTACTTTCTCTCTCTCAATTTTAACGTTTTCAAGAATGTGAGAGCTGTTTTCTTTTCCCATATATTTGAATATGAAGAATGACTTTTCACTTACTTTGACGCAGTTAGTGGAGCAGGTAAGATCATTAGCGCATCTCTTCCAGGCGGTGTTGATGTCTTCTCCTTTCTGTCTTCCGATTTGTCCACAGTCTTGGTAGTATGGGAGCTTGATTTGGTAGTATCCACAGGAGAGGGATCCTACGTCCATATTGCAACCGATGGCTTTGCATCCGGATTCGTGAAGGCAAATGCAGTGAGTGCAAGTGGTGGATGGCATAGTCGCATCATTGATGATGGCGACAGCAGAGACAGAGACTGCAGAACGGAAAAAGCAACATAACTGTCACGAAAATAATCAGAAACTTACGGGCAAGTGCGGCAAAGATGGCGAGCTTGTACATGGTTGAGCACGTCTGCTGCAAATTCCCCTCATGTTCCTTAAGTAGTACCCTACTACTGATAACAGCCATGTGCTGCTGATTGTACATCCTGCTCAAGCACCTCCCTCATTAGGTAATATACCAGGAATATCAAATTTATATGAACATTTCTGATAAACGCATCCTATGTTGCTGATCATTAAATGATTACCCGAAAGAAAAGCAATGCTAATAGAATCGTTAGAATGATCGTAATGTATACGTAACAACATTCCATGTAAGAACAGCTCAAAAAAGTTCAAAGGGATGAAGTTCCTTGTTTCCTTATTGTATTACAATAAACGACTGGAAGAAGGTTACCTACTTGTTATGATCAAATCTGTTTATAGTCTTATGAGAAAGACGGCAGGTTATATATCTGCTTTGTTTAACTTCTCCTTCCGTTTTTCGAATTCTGTAGAGGGCGGGAAAATTCCAGGCGTGAGAACTTTTCTGACCTTTTTCTGATATTTTTCAGCTAGAATTATCAAAGATTGAATGAATATATCAAAAGATTGGTAAACATTTGGCAATTCCATCTGTCGAGTTTAGTTCAGTAGCTGGCAAAGCACCGGTGAACTTCGGTGCTGCTGTATGTTGCCGTAGCTCTCCTCACAACTACTTTTGTGCCTTTCTCCAATGAGTTATCACTAACTCAATAATGTTGTGATCTTCCGTAGTTTGTTGCTTTATTGTTTACAAATTGACTAACTTGGCATATTTGTTCTTTTGTATATTATCAATCAAAAAGTGCATTTATTTTAAAAATTTTATGAGTGCCTTCTGATAACGAAGTTCGATGCTTAAGGATGTGAGATGTATGAGTTTGATATATAGCAGAAGAAAGAATGACATAATATGAGAGCAATAAAGTTGTTCAAGTAAAACGAGCCAACCGTTCTGTTCGCTCATTGGTTGAGAATTAATTGAGCATAAAGAAGAGTGACGCGTTCACGTGTCTTTCAAGATTATGCTGCTAATCATGTGAAATATTAGTATCTCAAGAGACAAATTATGAATCTTTTAAAGTTGAACGACGTATGTTACAGTCACATAGACTTGATGAGTATGGAGTATGACTCATCCACTTGCTGCAAGATAATGCAAATGAATGACGAGGTAGACGATGTAAATGACGAGCAAAGCAATTATATCATCCGTGTTTGTGAATGTTTTTCGTTCAGTGATGACCACGTCGTTTTATTTAAATCAAAAATCATTCTAGCAAGTTCTGTCTTCCTCTTTCAATATATCTTATTTTATAAATAGACTTGTCAAATTTGTATTTTATTTAATCCCTCTCTCATTTCTAAAAACTTGGGAATAACTAATGAGATGAAAGATGAATAAGGTTCCCTACTTGGTTTTACTTCTCTCTCACTTCAGCTTCATTATGCTTTATTCTTTCATTTGTCTCAATTAATAATATCCAATTATGAATTTCATCATTTACTTTATTTTCGTTTTAAGCTTTTTTTGCGACTTCAACATACACTCGCCTCACGCCTCTGGCAAAGAGAGTTGTTTCATCGCTGCGGTGAGTTTGCATGATTGTAGTGGTTTGGAAACTAAAACGTTTTTTTTAAACTTGTAAGAAATTTCTCCCACCCTCCCTCTCAATCCTACTTTCTCTTGGAGGCGTGAGCTCTGTTTTTTCTTTCTTTTTTTTTGTATAAAGATATATATGTTTTTCAACAAAAACAAATGTGATGAAGAAAGTTTCAGCATTGAAGGAGAAGATATCTAATGCCTCTTACATCTCTCTCATTTATCATTCCACTATCATACGGATCCATATTCATTCTCGGCTATATATGGCTAGCAATCCTAATAATGAGGAACTGGAAAGTTTTTCATGGCTCTTTCTATCGTTTATATCTTTGTACAACAGTTATGGTGATTATTAAAATATTAAAATAAATTCAAATTATACCTTTTTTCAGAATGTTTTTGGCTACTTGAATATTTACGTGATTTTCCGTTTACCTCAAAATACATGTAAAGACTGTGTCTTAGCTCCAATTTTCGAACAAAAGCACTTTTGGGGATTAGAAATTCTGAATTACTTGTACGTCCATATGAATACTCTGCGCCACATGATGTCACTCATCGTATCATTCAACCGATTTACCATGGTCTTCCTTCCGTTCAGCTTTGAAAAAGTAACAGCATCCCCGAGTAAGAGGAAGAAAAATTCTTTTTAAGTTGTGGATAGACTGGTGGATTTACATTTTGGTTATTGGCTTTTTGGTTCCTTTCTCTGTTAATCATCCTGTTCTACTGGGTGTTTCAACATATCAGTATGTGAAAGATCTGGATGTTTTCCAAACGAGATCAACCAATGTAAGCATTCATTGAAGTGCCGGTCAAAAGAACTTTTTTAAGTACGTAACGCAGATGTTTACGAACATTATAATATTGAATTCTGCCATAACACTAATCAACCTTGTACTCACAATTGCCACATGTGTGAGGCTCTATACCGTACGTTTTACCTTATTTCACATGTTTCATTTCCCTTCTGTTCTCTCCTGCAACTAGCATCTGTCTTTCCTTCCTATATATCTAACCTCGGCTGGTTTAATTTCCTTTATTGACTATAGGTTCAGATGAGAAATCGGAGTGTTATTCGCAGAACAGAGTTAAATCTTTTTATGATGTCTGTTGCTACGTTTGCCGTCCACATGCTTGATATCATTCGCGTTGTAAGCTTCATTTGCTTTTGTTGTTTCTGAAAACTTTCTTTTTAAGACTATTAATAATATTCTCGGTGATCACATTAATCGTTCAACGACAATGAGTGTGATTCTAATGGTTGTTGAGCCCTACTTTGCCGATGCCATGACTTTACTGTCTCCACTTTTTCTGATAATCTGTAGTTCAGCTGTTCGACAGCAGGCTTTCCAACGCAAGCAAACTGTTTCCATCTTGACAAACTCAGTCAATCAGAAGACAGTTTATAATTAGAAATGATCTTCTGATCATTCAATAGATATCAAATTATCCCTGTTCTCCTGTTCTAACCTTTCCAGAAAACCCCATAATTAAGGAATCTCAAAAAATAATGAGCATAATCAGTAACTTATCTTTGATCTCTTCTCTCATTCCGACTGCCTTAATAATCTATTGATCTTCTGAATTCATAATATTTTTGAAGCATAATCACATTCTTCGTATGATCTCAAGCGTTTCTGCACACTTCTCTTGGCCCATAAAAGGTACTTAGCAAACGAATTAGAAAAAATGTTGAAAGGATTCGCAAGAATCAATTAAATATTTGACGTCAATAATCACTTGATAAAGTTTTTTTTACATTTCAACCAAATATGTACAACAGAAGGAGACCAACTGATCTCAAACATACAATCAAGAGGAAGTGACAAAAGTGAAAGATAATAAAGAAAACAAAACAGGCACAATTAACTCGTAATGTAGCTAGAAGCTATTTTTGTCCAAAAACATCAAGAAATTCTACACCTCAAGCTTCGACTTCTGTTTCAGTCTTCTTCTTGTCTTCGAGATCAGTTGACAAAGCCTTTATACCCGATTCTACATTGATCTATAACACATAACAATTAGATACTGGAAAAAACAGACGATCACCTGTGCAATTTTGTCTTTTCGTCGGATTTTCGAGATTAGTTTTCCAATGAGCCATATAACCATCAATGGTTTGTCCGTCATGATAGCGACAACGAAAATAATTGTTACCGATATATCAGACTCTGGCTCTGGTAAACACCACATCATTAGCAGCATTGCAATTCCTAAATAGGCGAACGTTCGAAAACATTTAGCATAATGAAACAACGATTTCGAAAGTTCAAAATATTTTTTGATAGCCGTTTATTAAGATAGAAAAGGGTAACTCACCAATGTTCTGAATACCCGTTTCAATTGCGATTGTTACACAATCTTTGAAAGATTGCCGAAAGATTGCAGCAAATGAGAAAGCCGTGATGTATCTGGAGCAAAAATATTCATAATTACTATTTGAATGCAAAAAAAGTACCCGAGCCATGGCAAAGCACATCCACACAAAACAATAGGCCAAGTTAATAAGTAGATCATATACCAATTAGTATAGATAGCGAAGAATGATATGACTATCATTGCCATCCAAGAGCATCTTTTGATCCATTTGTGTATGATTTCAGTAAGATGAGGTTTATAATATCGGAAGATCATTCCCGCAATGGTGGGAATCATGATGCCAATTAAGCCCTGAAACCTCGTCGTCACAACTTTTCTCAGAGTCGTTGGCCATTCGGATGATCAACAAAAATATTTGTTACCTGAACAATCCTGGCGAAGGGGATCGTAATATTCTTATCTGTGAACTGGTGTCCAAGAGTTGACATCCATATTGGCATCATAACTGGAATAACAACAGTTCTTCGTTCTCGACCGTGACTTCAATGCTTACTTAAAGCTGCGATAGTTTGAGTGAATGTCATGGAAATCGATAAATCTAAGTTCCCTCCAAAAATAATCGTCCAAAAAGAACTTTTTCCGCCACCTGGACATGTTGAAACAGCGAACAAAGCCAGTTTGATCGAAATATTATCATGAGGAAGACAATATTCAGCCAAGAGATATCCAATCTTGAAATATTCCAATACAAATTCATTATAAGTTAAATAATAGATTAATATGCAAGAACGACGCGACGAGAGCAACGAGCGTGTACTTGCCGCGTGATTTCTGCTACCAGATTTTTCATATCGTTTCACGTCGTTGGAGAATGGTTGTGTAGTTTTGTGCCTTACCGTTGGCATTAGGCCAAACTGACAGAGAAATCCAATTACTGGTCCAATCGGCGCTTTCACTATGTTAGTGATTCGTTCGCTCTATAGATTATCATAAGACATAGGTGTGTAACCAAATAAAACCTCGAGTTGTGTCCCCATCATTAAAGATATAACAACGACAAAAATTGAAATGAAAATGGTGAATGCCAATTGTAGTTTATGTCCTGAATTTGAACGTAAAATTCGTAAATCATAGGGTTGCAGAGATCTGAAAATACTTTTCTTAAAGGAATCGCATCATCATCATCCACCTACTCAGCATTCATCTTTACTTGTAGTTGAGTGACACCAAGGAAAGTACCTTTTATGGTAATATTGAAAGTTGTCTGATATTGATTATCTTTAGTTAGCGCTATTTCTGAAGGAGCGTCTTCAATCTAAGTTGTTTCGTTGATGTTTGAATCATAGTGCAGAGATCCTACCTTACACAGAAAGTCATCTCCACATCGTACTTGTAGACTTCTCGCCCCATCGTATAGTTCAGCTTCTTCTGTCTCTCGAATTGTTATGGTGAGTACTCTGTATTTAAAAAATTGAATATATTATTATGTAAAAAGTGTGAACCTGCTCTCGTCTGTTCGGAATTTATCTAAAATTTCAGGAAAGTAGGTAATATTAGCAGAATATCCTAATGAAAACAATGATATAAGCAACAGCCAGAAAGTAGAGTTTAACATTGTTCCTGGAAGATGTATTTATGAAAACGAACGACGTATAGCAAATTGAAAGATTTAAATACTTTTTCTCATATTCTTTATAGGGGGAAGTGATAATAACGAAAATTAAAAGACCAAGGTATTTAGCGAAAACAAGCAATTCTTTTCAAAAGATAGAAATGATGGATAGATGGAACTATTCGGCTGACTGTATAGTCAATCTATTCTTGATCTAGAACATAACTAAAGATTTAATTCTTTAGAGATCTTGGACTACAGCCTGACTACGCTATTCTCTACCTGATGTCAGATGTTGGATGTCTTTTAAAGACTTTAATTATTGACACGTACTATTCAATAAGGAAAACAATGAATGAAGATGTAGTTTGATTGATTCAGCTTCACATATGAAGCTATATAACAGAATACAAATGATCAATTATGAAAAGACATCCAAATCAATCATGAGAAGTATAGAAGACATGAACCATCAAATCTACAAAACTGTAAAGCACTACTCAGGAAGTTACAAATGAACATAAGGAAAATTGAATGAAAGTATAACAGCGTCCAGTGTTTAAAGTGAAGCCTAAGTATCTCAAAAGGAAGCAGCAAATTCAGTTTTAGCAAAGGTTTTTTTCAAACTTTTCAAGTTGAATTTTTCAAGAGTTTGAAAGTGAAAAACAAGGATTATAATGGGCGTAGGCCTATGTACAGAAGTCTTTTTAGGTAGAATTAGAGACAGCGTGAAGAAAGAAAGACTCCCTCACTAATCGAAATCATACTATTGATACCGCAAAGCAAATGATGAGAGAAACACCACATCAAACTGTATAGACGTCGGACATAACGTAACATCGCCGCAGGCAACAAACATCATAAACAAAGAAAACTGATGAACATCTTCCACTCAAAACCGACTACTACACGTCATAGATAGTCGAGTGTGCTTTGAAGAGATGAACTCTCTGGTCAGTTTGCATTACAGAAAAGGACTTTTGTCTCACCAAGCCTTTTTCCCTAATAAGCATATGACTCAGCATTTGTCACTATTTTAATCGAAAACTGGCTTGAATCTGTCAAATCCAAGTACTATGCAAACCTACATCAATTAAACTACGTCCAGCGCTAATATACAAAATCCACCGTCGATGATTATCCGATGACGTAATTAGCATAGGTTATCCGATTCACGTCTCTCTCAATTGCATTTCAATTTTAAAAACGTTCCGAGCGGTTGCATCCGATCACGCAGACAAAAGTTTCATGAAGTTCAACTAGGAAACCTTCCGAAACATGATTTATAGTTACAGCTCGCACAAAAAAACTCACTCAGTAGAAGATTTTCATTGGAAAGAAAGGTCTTATTATTGATATGCTCGCATTAATGTATAAATACTAATTATTCTTTTTATATACAATCTCCTTCAGTCTGAATCAGACGAAGTTCCATAATCTGCGACTAACCCAGACGTGGCGTTTGTCGAACGCTTCGCTTCATCTTCTCCTTCAACAACTTCTTGTTTAACAATGTCTGCGCAAAGCGTCGTAGGGCCAGGCGTGTCTTAAAAGAAACATTCACTTATCGCAATATCTCAACTATTAGTGCAGCTACATCAGTGCCAAAAACAACGTCTATTACTCACCAGGCTTCACTTCTTTTTTGATGCTTCTTACGATTCCTAAACTCAAATTTGGTTTCTTTGTGGAAGGACCAGAATCAAACTAAAGAGAAGTAAACTTATGGTGTGCGCATTCAGAAGAACAACTGACGTCATGAATAATTTTTTTGTCTCTGTTATGTTTTAGACTCTGCTTCAACCAATCAGCTGAGTTTGTAGGATCGGAACTTGTAGAGGGTTTAGAAGAAAATATTCGGCGATTGTTGATACTACTCCTTTCGTCTTCAGCTCTCTCATCAAACGCTGTAAAAAAGAAGAACATGTACTGACTGTTACTTTTTTAACGGATACTTTTAACAGACTTGTATCTGGTAATCATGGCTGCAACTGATTGATCATTCGGGTCTTCAGGAGCCAATGGAATGCTCAAAGATGCTCGTGTCAGCAGATCATCATCCTTAGCTCTTTGTTCTGTTAAGAATTTTTTCCCTTTCCGAAATTGGCTTCTCAGAGCCTGATTCGCTGCATAGTCATCTTTGAACCTTTCCTGCATCCATTCGATTTTCTCTAGTCGTTCACCTTCTAAGTCAGCAGTTGTTTTATCCTACACAATACGGATGTTTCAGCGTATTTCTATGAATTTTTCCTTACTGTATGTTCATGTTCTGCTTTGAACATAGAATCTGCAGCCAACTTCTGATTGAATGTTCGATCTACAGCTCCAAGTTGATCTATTGTAGATGGATCATAACGCTTCTCCTGTCTGCTACACCCTTCAACCAATTCGTAGTCAAAATTCTAGAACTGGTTTTGGAAGATATATGGAGTAACAGAAGAAAACCTTAGGATCTGTTCTTATCACATAGTAATTGTCACATAAATGGCATTTCATACGAAACTCATAAAGGGGAGTTGTATAATACATTCCAATCTGGAAACCTTCATGAAAAGACATAAGACCTTCTCAAAAACCTTTTTCTTCTCGGCGTTGTAACGAACTCCCATACCCACATGATTATGACATCCCAAGCACCATATATTGAATGGCATTTCAAATCTTAAGGGGCAGTTATTTTCTGATTCACTTCAAAAAAACCTTATAATGAGAATTCCTTCCGTCTTTAATTTACTAGCTCTCTCTCTGAGAGCATGAGTTCCATGGTATCTATTAAGAGATCCATGAGTTTTGTAATTGAAATCCGGAGGATAATAGAAGTTCTGTCCTTTACGCTCTCCCATGATGAAAACTTAAAACAGAGTTAATAGAAAACATTGCATAGGTTCAAGAAATAGGCAGAAGTTCTAACTTCTTCTTAGATCAAAGAGCATAAGAATATAAAACGCTTTATGTTATAGTAAGTAAGAAGGCAAGAAAACAAAACGTAGTATGCAAGGAAGATAGATATTCACCCGTACTGTATATTCAAAAAAATGCATAACTGAATTCAAAAATTATGAAACTATTTACAATACCCGTCTTAATTCTATTCCAGTCCTAAAGCTTCAGCTTCCAAAGATTCAAAATCAGCTGTTTTATGATTACCAACCCTTTCAATATCTGTTTTACTTAATTTGGCTTTTTCCGTCCGTGTATGCCAGACGTATACTTTTGTGCATTTCTGTGCTTTTGGTTCCAATTCCCATCGTTTGACTCCCAGACTTGTCAAAAATTGAGATTCCTCAAAAAGACAGAATATACACTGAGCTAATGAAAAACCATACCTGATACCCACGTGGTACATCGTACTTGAACCCCGCAGAAGGGTTTTGAGTTATTAGAGTCAAATTGACAGCAAAGGCAGCCATATCAATTGGAAATGGTCTTTCAGGCTTCCAGACAGCATTGAAACCGACAACACTACCTAAAAAAAAGTAAATTGGAAATTATATGGAGAAAGCGATCTACCATTAGACGCTAATGTTGGAGCTTCTACTATGAGTCCTCCTACTATACCGACAGGAACAATTCCAGCTTTTTTGATGGATCTAAGTTCTTCAAACAGCCTCAGATCATAGGTGTTATCATCGTCTCCAAAGTATACAACTCCTTGCTTCGCTGAGATCAATTGAGTTCTTCATTCTACACAGTTATTCAAGAAATTTAATCAAATTAAACCTCAGCCAGGAGAGTGCAGCGTTCCTCTGATCAACTCCACGAGGTAGATACCAATTGGGATCAGAATATTTCATTTTTTTCTCTTTAGGAGTCTCAACATTCATGTGAGCATACGGTAAATGACTTCTAGAAACATAAATATGAAGAAAGCTAGGATCGTTTAACAACCTTCTAATAATTTCCGCAACTGTGTTAGACTTGGAAGAAGAATCTTCGACTACAATCCAAAATAGATTTGGCACATGTGATAAAGTATAAGACAATCTTGTTAAATCAGCTTTTTGGCCGGTGCGAAAATTGGTCGGAGTAACAAAATAGATGACGGGATCAGTTTTTCTACCAGAAGGAAGTAAATTTACTCTATCTCTAAGTCTATAAGAAATGTGTGATAATGAGATGAATAGCTATGTGCTTACAGGTTCTCAAGCCTCGATTCTTCTTTATTCATTCGAGCTAGAGTGCGTTGCTTAGTCATTATATCCATATTAAGCGTGTCTTTTTTCCGCTCTAAACTTTCTACCTAAACCAATCAAAGTATAGAGTGTGACGAGTTAGCTCACCTCAGCTTTCAAATACATTTTATCTTCTTCAAACGTTTGAACTTTAGCGAATGTTAAGAACAGTTGACATAAAAAAAATAGCATCGATGCTGCAAATATTTTGAACCATAGTCGGTCCCAAACATTTTCTCGAGCCATATAGATGACTGATTAGCTGCTTGCAGACCTTAAATCCTCGACTTTGCATAAAACCCTAGATATTGCGTTGTACGTGCGGTCATATTTTCGATGTGACGACGGGTTGTGGCATTTAGTTGTTAGATATGAACCATTATCATAACAACCTCATCCAAAACCCTATACAGACGGAAGAATTAGAACTGAAACTATTGAAGAAGAGAAAACCAACTACTTATGCATTCATCGAACATATAATGATCACACACGGAATATTGCAGGATGTGGAAATCACGTGCAGTAGCATATAGGGCAAATTGAAGTAAAATTCATTTCAACGATGAGATAACAAGAACAAATAGAAGTAACATAACAAATAACAAAAAGTTTTTTGAAAACTTAGGCAGAAAAATGAATACCAGCTTTGTTGAAAGCCAATAGGAGAGCTAAGAAACTTTCGATGGACATTTTCCTGCAATCAGATAACTATAGGTTAAATCAGGGATCTTCATACCGTGCTCTTTTCTCGGCAAAACCAGAATCTTGTAACGTTTTTTCTATCAATGCTTTCATATCTAAATCTGCTGGAACTGGCTGAAAATAATAGGTAAATGACGATGCTGACTGAAGTACTACCTTATTCGTCAAACTACATAACTTTCTATAATTCTTTTCTATCAACTCCACAACATTTTTCAATCTGAAGATACCCAACAAGGTTTTGTTCTTACGTAGGAAGCATAGCCGTAATAAGCCTTCCCATTCCTGAAACGTAAAGCATAGTCTCAAACAATCATAACTACTCACCTCGAAATTTATGGGTGGAGGTGGATTCTTGGGCGCAATACGTACAACTGATGAATCTACTTTCGGTGGAGGACGGAATTCTGTTCTTTTAACTTTCATTAAATGCTCTACCTTAACGAGCAAGAATAGAAGCAATAATAGAAGGACTCAATTGCTTACTTTGGCTAGCAGCTGGACATTCACCGATAAACGACAATAATCTTTATCTCCTGGTTTGGCTACTAATCTATCAGCAAACTCTTTCTGGAACATGAGTACGGCGTATCTGAAGAAACACTGAAAAAAGTTATCGATATTTGATACCTAGGTAGAGGTCGTTGTAATAAAAGTTTGAACACAAAAGGTGAAGAAATCTATAAGTAACTGTCGGATAAGAAGACTAGAAAACCATATTAGTAACCTGATAAGGTAAGTTAGCCACGCACACATCGAAGAACGGCCATTCAGTTTTCATAACATCTCCTTGCTTAACTTCAAGCTTATTTTGTAGTGGTCTACAAACTCCATGTTAACAAAATTCAAAAATCAAACCCATACGTTCCCATCACTCTCTTTTTCACTTCAGCAACCATTCTAGGATCAATTTCAAAAGCAATGACTTTCTTAGCTGCTTCAAGCATTTTCACTGTTAAATTACCGGTACCAGGACCAACTTCAACAATTGTATCTGTTGATTTTAGAGCAGCCTGCAAAATGAAGGATTATACTCAATTGAGAACCATTCCCCATACTTTTTCGATGATTGCATTGACTATTCCAGGATTTTTGAGAATATGCTGACCTCTGTCGGTGTTAAAAGGGAGAGCTGACAAGGAATATGAATATTGAATGAAAGGTTATAACTTTACATTGCTTAGCTCCTGAAGCAGCCTTGGTTGTTTGTTTTACTTTCCCCATTTTTGATTTGCAATCCTAAAACAATTAAAAGAGTAGTAATATATGCGACATAATTTAAGCAAAATTCTGTAATGTTATACGCAAAAGTACGCATTAATTCGTCAAACTGAAAATAACTTTTTCCTGGGTGGGAAGTTTTAAAAAGACAATTTATGCAATGCAGTACAAGGAAGAGTTATATCATCAGTTTTGTTCTAAAGTTAGATGATCTGGAAAAGGAATTGTTTAAATCTTGCGTTTGTGTCAATTTTTGAAATTGCAACCGCTCTGGGAGTAGCCAATTTACAACCATTCTGTGATTCAAACAACTTTCGAATGATGTCGTGAAACTCGTGGCTTACTCAAAAAATATGCTAATGAGGTTGACCACTTTTTTCGTTTCTGTTCAATAAGATCTTCTCATCCTGCTATAACTGTTAATATCTATTTTCGATCTTCAAGTTTCTTCCGAAGGGAATGGTCTTTCGAAGCTACAGTATATTTATTGGTTTTAAGTTTTTCTTGAAAACTTTATACACATAAGGAATAATAGTTGAGTAATGTTTTGTTGTCGATATGCGTTGACCGGTATCCCAAGAATCTATACTATTCAGACCGTGTTGCACTGATGTTCTGATGTATTAGAAACAGAACGAAGCTTTGTTTATTTTTTCTTTATTAAAGATTTTATTTACATGAATAGTTAGTAAAAAAAGATACAAAAAACTATGTTAAGTATCCTTATGATCACACCGGTGGAGAGGAATCACTGGCTAAGCTTGTGTAGAATGGAAAGGAAAGGGAAAAATGGATTGTAATCCTATAAGAGTAGTTAAAGTCAAAAACATGATTTGACATGATATGTAGCTATTGAAAGTTATTAAAATAGGAAGGAATATAGATCTATGTTTCAAAAAACGTAAAGAAAAAAGAAAAAGTTATTAGATTGTTGAAAGGCTCTGCCAGAATGTTGAGTAGAAAGGAAAATACTATTTAACAAGATTTGTAAACATTACAATGATCGATGTTGGATTGAGGGCAAGGAAGAAAGAATAAAATTCTTTCATAAAGCTCCAAGAATTTTATTAATCTCTTTGAAGAACATTATACTCATGTATTCAACAGAGCATCGATGGAAAATGAGTTTCCGTGGCTGTTTGGGGGAGTAGGTGAGGGCGAAAGTTTTAAGTCAAGATTTGTTAAATCAAGGGATGCTCCACAAGCGTTCAACAACTGTGGAACAATTAGCATGAAAGGATTGAAGAATGAGAGTTGATCGGCTGTAGAAGCAGCCATTGGACTATTAGAAGAGGAGGTTAAAGCGGGTGGAGGGCTTGATGTTGATGTTGATGTTATTGTAGGTAAATTGGCAAAAGAAGCTGAGGCTGATGATGTCGCTGTGGCCAACCAGGAGAGTGATGGGAAAAACGGTAGCTTTGATGAGGGCAAATCATCATCAGAAACCTCTTCCCGAACCTGAAACTGAAAAACAACAGTCACACGAGTACAAGAAAAGAATCCAATCAGTATAGCTATATTTCTGCTTAGCAAGGTTAAGAGTTATACTGTGGTTAAAATAATGTCTCGGAGAAGAGAGAGAAAAAGAGAGAGATTACCTTAAATCGTTTTCTTCTTCTTAGACAACTTCCATTTTCAAACATTCCCAATGCATTCGGGTGAACAGCCCAATACGATCCCTTCAAAGAGAATGAACTATTTTAGAGAAGAAAGGCTGTCACTAACCTTTCCGGGTCTGTCTGGTCTTCTCGGGATTTTGATGAAACAATCATTAAACGATAAGTTATGACGTAGAGAGTTCTGCCATCTGAAACAGGTCATTTAGAAGAACAGAAATTATCAAATGAGAAATAAAAATTCTTTTTATTTCATAAATTAATAATTAAGTTGTAATATCCATAAGAGCTTCTACGGGTGGTCTGAGTGAGTTGACGAATATGGTTTTTGAAAAGAATTTGTAAAAACATGAGCAAATTAATTAGATTAATGTGTAATTTCCATAAAAAAATTTCATTTTTTATTAAAAATAAAGTCGGAAATGAAAACTTTTTCTTTCAAACTTGTTTTGAATAAAAAGATAATTGACCATATAAGTTTCTTCTCCCATTCCAACTTGTTTTTGAAACAAAAAAAGTTTTTAAGTCAACACCTACGAACCTTTGTGTATTCTTACGGTAAAATGGAAATTTATCCATAATGAACTTATAGATATCCGTTAAAGGTAGCATTTTCTCATCAGAGTTCTGGATTGCCATGTAAGTCAACCAGATGTACGAGTACGGTGGTTTCTGCAAATCATTTGTCTCAAAATAATAATACAAGCTTGCCAGACTCTGGCTCTTATGCTCACGGTGAATTACGTATGACTGAAACGTTTGTCATACGCACATGCACGGATTATTCATGAAGTGTCTTAAACTTACTTGCTCATCATATGAATCCTTACCGGGACGAGGCATTTAGACGTTCGTGCAATATTTAGAATTTATTAAAATTAGAAAAATACCAATCAAATTCGACAGTCTTCCGTTTCGATACGAGAAGATCGACAAATTCGTCGCTTTTCGGCAATTTGCAGCACCTCTAGGCTGATGTAAAAAGCAAAAGGGGCGTGTCTAGCCAATTACAGACTTCAACCGCGTGCCGCCCATACACTAAGATACGCCCCCTCTCTTCTCCAACTAACTTTTGGAAATTAGAACGAAAATAGAGAAAGTAACAATAGATATAACTTAACACTACTCATTAACACAAATTATACTCAGATTATTGATTTTGTCTTCGTTACTTCGCAAGTCTACAGTATGCTCTCTGCAATTCACCTCATTCCCTTGTTCCAGTTATACTCTCATCACAGTGAAACTGTTTTTTTGAGCAGCAAGTGTGAAGATTAAGACTTATGAAGCTTAAGCTCCATAATTCAAACTTCATTCATGAGAATCACTTTTTTCCGTCATCAAACCCCAGTTGAAATCAATTCACTTCTAAATTGACAGTAATCCGCTCACTTCCTGCAAGACGTCTCGCTCAATATTTAGTTTTAGCACTATTCTAACAACCCTTGAACATTTGAGTATCTAAACTACAGTTCTATTAAAGAAAAAACGGGTTCTAGGCTGTTCATCCTGAACTCTTAACTGAGTGAAAACAGATGGAATAAAGTATGAAAGTCGTTCATCATAATTCAGTTACTCAACCCTTGTATTCTTGGTCGTACGGTATTAAATGTTTGAGATCACTTTTTTTCCATCACCACTCTTTTACACAAAATGGAAAAAAACGAAAAACGAAGTTTACGGTATCCTGGGACATCCTATTTTTTTCGCCCAAAAAATAATGACAAGAATTATAAAAAGCGCTCATTCACTGGCTGATCTACTCATGCTTAATAAAATATTTCGAAAAAAACGTAGCTGACACCCAGAATTGAAAAAGTTCGGAATAAGTTCGCGAAAGTATTGAAAGTTCTTCTGGTACCTAAGACATGCAACCGTTCATCTCAATATTATCTGGTAAAATGAACTTAAATACGCGCCAAATGGTATTTTGAAACTGTAAACTTGTAAATACCGGGCTTACAGAATCATTGAGTTCTGTATGTCTGTCTACTCTCTGCTCTCTGAACCTTCCACTTATTGTATATATTCACATGTAGATCTAATAGCGATATATGACAAAAAATGTTCATCATTCCGTGTAGATGAACACTCTTTCATCTAAGCTATGTAAGAAAGAATTTCTAATCATTAATAGTTAAATAAGAAAGTGCTTGAACGGATCGGCTCACTTTGCTGTCATTCAGATTCTTTTTTTTCATCCGAATCATTAACACTTCATGATGACCATTAAGATTCAGCAGCAACAGTTTCATTATGTGTCGATATGGTAGAAATTATATTTGTTACCTTCGTCGGCTTAGACCACACAGAAGACATGAAGACGCCATTTGTAGTCAAATGGAGCGGAAGGCTGAAGTTCTTCATCTTCTCACACCCGGCAACATAGATCGGCCGAAACAGTATGTTCATGTACGGTTGGCTGGATATGGCTTTCCCTTAATTTGGTCATCATATCCATTTCTTTCCGTTAAATAGCAGCCTCAGCTACATTATATACTTTTTTGTGTGCGACCCATTAGACCTTCTGAACATTACAGCAAAGGGATTGTAGAATTACATTCTCATTTTCTCATTTGACGTTTCTTTTTCTTCTTGCGTTGTTGTTCTCCTAGCTTCTAATCAACATGAGCCTCTTTTATGGCTCAGTTGCCTAACATGTTTATCGCACTTGACCTAATATTTGGGCTTCCTCACTCATTTTAATCGCTTGAAGGTCTTACGGTAGTTCATATCATTTGTTCGGTGTGGCGATAGAAGAATACAGAGAAATAACCTTACTCAATCCGTCTGAATGAATTTTTCTTGTTTTTGCTATTTAGGTTCTTCGTCTAAGACAAAGGAAATATGAGTCGATTGTTTTGAAAATTCTTCAACTCTTCAAAAGTGAAGACGTTCAAACGCCTCAAGTAAGATGACGAGAGTAAAGCTTCATGTCTACTGTAACTTAATTAAGAACTTTATTAGCAAAATAACATGAATAGCATGCTGTACATTGCACAAACAGCAACTGCTAGCTGCTCCTTCTTTCTCGTTTTCACCCGACCTGATAAAGCATTGTAAGGGATCACTTAAGAGTGATATCTTCCTGTTCCAGGATTTAATGGATCTGGATTGTCCCTGAAAAAAATCAGTACAGTAAAGTCATTGGCAAAACTATTCGGGGACGCAGAAAATCTAGCAAATGCTTACTTCGTCAGTTCCGCAAGCGCCCGGCGAGGGTTGGGGAACCCTACATCGACCGCATTGTAAATACCGTGAACACCAACGAAAGGTACATCCCATGTAGTTCCAGTACTGACTTTTCCTGTAAGCGAATTCAATTGAAACAACATTTCCATATGGTTTTAACCTTCGGGCCAATCGACCAGGACTGTATTCGTACCACGCCAGAAAGAAACTCCATGGTCTCGTGGACGATCGAAAACACGATGGTTCCCTCAAAAATTGCATTTCAAATTGAAGCAGACGTGAGTTACCTGCTCCATCGTAACCGTAGAAAATTCCTCTAACAATTGGTGGTGGGGCCATGGGTCCGTAGAGTTGTCGATCAAGAGGAGTATAATCTGGTAACGGTTTCCAGATAGCTCGGCATTTAGCTGCCCATCTGGAATAGGACATCATGGAAGAAGTTCTTGGTTAATAATCGTTGAACTTTATCTACTTTGTTTTTAAACTGGAAGTTAATTAAAAGAGGAATTATGACCATATTTGTTCTTGCTGTTGTTGCAAACTGCCGTACCTCTATTGTTGGTTAGTAAGCCTCCGGGGAGGATTAGGAGAAAAGACGAGGTTAAATAGGAATGAATTGCAAACAATTACCCCAAACCTTATAAGGCGTGTAAAGATGAAGCCCATGTAAAGCCATTTTAGATTGTTTGTTCGCGAATGCCTAATATGTAATGTGGCTCTGTGTTAATTAGTTAGTTCCCCATTGGATTAGGGAAGAGGAACTATTCAACATCAACCAACAATGTTGAGTCAAGGGTAAAAAATTGAATAAAACCTTGAATTTGCAAATTATTTTGGATACAAACTGTCATGAATCCATAGCTGAATATTAATTACTCATAAAAATATGATAAAAATGTCGATATAATGAAGTAATTGCAATTATTCAGAAAGGGTTCATTATTTGGCTTTTCTATCCGTCGCCTCTCTCATCAATGTGCTATTTCGGGTTGTCGCAACAGATGGGTGGATGTCATTTCTTAAGGTGTCTATGACCATAAAAGACCGAGGGGATGAATGAAAAGTTGAGTAATTGCAACAATATGACTTCAAGCAAGCGGCAGAAGCAGTTTAGATGACCAAATATGGACATATGTTATTCCAATGAGGTTCCGTGATGGCTTTTCATTTCAAGAAACTTCAAGAAACAAATAACTAACGGAAACGGGAGTTTCTTTATATTTTAGTATTTGAAGAAATGAACCTCTGGCAATTCGGTCCTGAAGGAGCCGTCATTGTGGGATTGCAAAAGCTCTCCATAGTCCATTGCAGGTGAATACATTCACATGCATTGATGCAACTATAAAAAAAGATAGTTTATTAAAATTAATTTATACTTACACTGGATCAGTTTCTTTGCATCTCGAATAGCACGACGTAAGCGCATTAATGGCTGACTGAGGTAATCCCGACTGTTTCCAATAGTTAGTTTGACGTCTGATCTTTAAAACATAAATCGTAAAAGCAGAGTTTTGAAAGAGTAACGCGAAAACTAGATAATATCAAGGAAGTTGTTTAGCTCACAAATATTTGAAAAATGCTCGTTGAGACGCAAAGGGTACGAGATGTTCTCATTATGTAAAATTAGTCGGCACAGGGCGGTTGCATTTTAAACGTTCTTCAAAAATTAAATTCTTACATGGTTGACGGATGGGTACACTCTATCTGAACAGTAAGTTCTGTATCTTTCACAAATTATCCGAACTTCTTCATTATATGTGGCAATGTTGGATGTGCGACAATAATATCTAAATTTATAGTTACGTACTCAATATATAAATAGCTAGTTTTCATGTTTTTTTGAGATACCTGTAGTGATTGATGAATCTTTTGCACTGTTCATTTAAAGTTGTCACCTCTTTCGTGTCCTTCTCTAACTCCTTCAATGGAACATCAAACGGCTCGAGGTCTTCACCAGGAATCTCCACTAGAACATTATGACATCATGCACGTATTGTAAATATTTGAATCTTAAAACTAACATGGGGCACCATCCTGTGCTTTGCTGAATGGAGCAGATAAGGTTAAGAGAAGCAACCAAAGAAGCATCCAATATTTTGAAGAGTGGAATTAAACAGTTGAAAAGCTGAAATTTAATGTCCTAGAGAGTCAACCGGTTTTTTTGAACCTGTCTCTGTCCACAGGTCACTTGATTAAATCTTATCCGCTTGATAAGCCTGTATATCTTCTTCCAGTTATGAGTCTTCGGCTTATTTAGTTTTCGTTGATAGCATCATGTCAAGAAGTCACTATCGAATATATTCATTGTTTATAATAGTCACAAAATTGATAGAATATTTGGGACATACACTGGTTACCGCTGAGAGTAAGTTGGGGAGAAAGTTAACTTAATTAACTCGAATTCAAATAGTCAAATACATGATTGGGAGTTTCGTCACTTTCCTCATAAACACGATCATTTATTATGGGACATGCACAGTTGGAAACTACATTGAGGAGCCCTGCTGTGAACTAGGATTACTGTATGCGGTAGATCTCACTGCTAAAACACGACCTAACAAAGGAATATTAATTAAAACAACGCGTTTCCAAGTAAACTCAACAACACAAGTTAGAGACACGAAGAGCAATAACAAGATAATATATGAAATAACAACAACAATTGGATTGTTCTGATTAAAATTACTTAGGTTTCCAGTACGAACGCTACATCGGCAGCGGAGTTACAAATATAAAGAAGCAGCAAACACAATATCTCTTTTAATTTTAGTTCTGGCGATTTCAAGTTTATCTTCGAGCTCCTTATTGGCCATTGCTTTGGAAGCATTGATCATTTCACGTAGAACCTCTTCAAGACGTCTTAAGCAACGGATGATTGAGCCTGGAAAAATATTATATCAGATTTTATGCTCTTACATCAAAACGTTAGCGTAAAGATTAGCGAACTACATGCCAATCAGAAGGATCAGCTCTGATTGAGAGACACACGAAACAGTTTGTTAATTCATCAATGTCTCGGTTCAATTCTCAGAAAAACGCCCCAGGAAGCCTGACTGTCTAAGAGTTGCCGCATCGGCAGCCAACGCAAGGTTCGTCAGTAAGTCAATCTGTCTACTAGAAATCGGCAACGCTTGATTGACATCGGAATACTGTCGTCTTTTATCCGATTAGTCAACTATATCTTACTTAGCGTCAATAAGAGAGGCCAAACTATACTAATGTGACTATCGCTCATGGAAATAAGTTAGGGATCCAATTTCACAAACCTTCAAAAACATCTGTTGTCTTAACAATTTCAGCAAAGGACATTCCATTAGCCCAATTATACACAACATCCATCAAACCTGCCTATAATGAAGAAAGGATGAACTAAAAGTTTAACGATAAACCTACTTTGAAAGAGTCCACGTATTTATCCTCAATGATTTCCAATTTACATTCATTCGAAATCTTAGCGATTCTGCGAGCATATTCCTAAGAGAAGTAGGTGAAGCTTGAAGACATTACAAAAATCTTACATGAAGACTTCGCAAACATCCCGACAGTTCCTCAGCTAATTTGGGTGCCTGAGCATTTTCCTATAACAATGTTATAACGTGGGCCAGGGCAGATACACTTACTTGGAAAACAAAACAAGAGAGAAGAGCTACAAGATGTCCGGGTGCCAAAGTATTAAATACACCTCCATACAACATTTCAGTTAACATCAATTCGTCTGTAGCTGAGAGTTCACAAGCAACTCGTCCCTGAAGCGAAATTTGAATTACAAACTTCATAATATTCCTACCTTCTGTTCAATGGTAACATCTTGAGAGCAGTATTGCAATCTACGGAGTACACGTTTACGATTTTCGAGCTCAACTTGACCAATGAGTTCATTCGTTTCTTTCAAACGATCTCTTAACACCTGAAGTTCTTGTCGCTTGATTTCCTAAATCATCTATTACATTAAATCGAGCGCGAGTTTCCCACCTTAGTCTCAAATGATTTTCTCAAGTCGTCATAGTCTTTACGTTTACGCAAGGGGTGTTCGTCATAACGACTCTTCAACTGCTTTTCCTTCTCGATAGAATGCTCCAGAATTTCTTCTTTGATTTTCATATCGTTTACTGGATGAAGAAGCGGTAAGCTATTATTGAATCTTCTTTTAGCCTCCTTGAATTGAAAATGATCTTTCAGTTATAAAAAATTACTTACGACAATCATTTGTTCAACAACTTTTCGGCTTTCCACAGGTTTTAAGTTCTGAAGAAGTTTGATGCGAATGGCACTTATCTCATCTATACAATCAAGAGTCATGGGGACAACTTCCCACACAGACTGAAACAATGTTTAACACGATCATAACATTCACAATTCTTACTGGCTCTCCATCCTTAGGAGGCCGGATACTTCCAGCGCTTTTTTCACCAGCGGAAGCTGGAGAAACTCCTACCAAAACCTAAATGAAGATGATAATTTTCTAACAAGATTTGTGAGCGAGACCTCTATAATGAAGATTAATTGAGAGCTATCATCAGGATTTGACTTTCGGGCAAAGTTTACTAACGTTCCCCAACCAAAGTCATGTGGGCCTGCTTTGATCTAAAAAGCATTCAGCTGTCGAAAGATTAACTTGAAACAAACATGTAATAAGCGACCAGCATGCAAAAATGGTACCAAGTACTTGGGTTGAGTGACTATTTTTTTAACAGCTTCAGTCAATGCTTTCATCTGTAAAATATTAATGGAAAACCCAGATAATAAAACCAAAGCTACTTGTTTCTCCATATCAACAAGAGCTTGAATTTCCGATTCTTTTTCGACAACAATTCTTCGAATCTCTTGTTCCTTCTCTTTTAGTTCTAGGAAAACAAATTTAATTCATTGAAAACTTGAACAGTCAACCTTCTGTGAGTTTAGGTGTTTCGCATAAAGCTTGGAATCTTCGGAAACTGTGTCTCATCATTGTTTCAGGATTAAAACCTTCTACCCTAATTAAATTCAGAACCATGTTGTATGTCAAACGGAACTGGGAATTCAAGGGATCTGTTTTACCCTGAAAGCTAAAACTATCAAAGCATTCCAGGTGTAACAAGCCTTGATGATTTGTTTGGCATCTTCGCTGCTCATTTTTGAATCGACCATTAAAATAACAAGTCCTCGATCGTCTTTACCACGTCTACCTGCACGTCCTGACATTTGAATATATTCTCCAGAAGTGATCCATCTAATCGAAAGTTCGAAAACAGATTGGGAGCATTCGCAAACCTATGATCGACACCATCGTATTTACGTGCTGATGTGAAGAGAACAGTTCTGGCAGGCATGTTCAGACCCATTGAGAACGTTTCAGTAGCGAAAAGAGTCTGAAAATCGAATAATAACTTTGTCATCAGAATATTCAACATACTTTAAGTAGACCTTCTCCGAAAAGAATCTCAATCACTTCTTTCAACAATGGCAGGAGACCTGAGTGATGAACACCGATACCACGCTTCAGTAGAGGTAGAATCTGAATAAATGGTCATCCATAAACTTCCGAAAAATTCAAAAAACTTGGGCTATTTGCGGTAGTTTCTTGTCGGAATCAGACAAGAGGTCAACAGCGCTGTGGTAGATCTCTTCAACCATTTTCTTCTCATCATCTATGAGTACACAATTAGTTGACGAATGATTATAAAAACACCTTTGTTGAAATCCATATCTTTCAAAGAAATAGCGTATGCTTCGCACTCTTTTCTACTGAATGAGAAGATGATACATGGTAGCATGTCTCTCTCTTTGATGGTTCGAATAATTTTGACAACATTCGAATCTTCTGAACATAACAATAATAACAATCAGACACCGGTGAATATTGGTAACATACGTTGAATTCCTCCTTTTCTTCCTCTTTGAAGACCTTTAGCCTTGTCACCAATTTCGGCCAACCCATTCATGGCTTGATTGAACTTGTCTTCACGGAAAGTTCCCTAAGCAAACAGAATGTTTCTCAAAGCTTATGTATAGAAATTACCTGCATGTTCACTACTTCATACAAACCATCTCCTCCGCAAGGGAAAATGAAATGCTGCAAAGGAGTAGGACGGTACTCGGTGTAAATGACATGGCATGGAACATTTTTCAAGTAAGCGATCCATACTATAACAACAGAAATTAATTAATGAAATAACAATAGATCTTACATGCAAACTGTTCAGCGTTAGGAATTGTAGCTGATAAGAAAACGTAGTGAATTTTTGGACTCATCAAAATGATTGTTTCTTCCCAAACGACACCTCTTTCTGAAATAAATGATTAAGTAAAGGATCAACGAGCAGACCAATGTATCTACCTTTATCACGCATGTAATGGATTTCATCAAAAATCACATAACCCACTTCTTTCATCATCTCGGACCCTCTATATAACATAGATCTAAGAATCTCAGTGGTCATTACTATACAAGAAGCATCAGGATTAAGTGTAACGTCACCTGAGAAAAAAATAACAATTCAGTTGAATAATATAGAAAATGTACCAGTCATCAACCCAACGTCTCCGAACTCTTCTTCAAGATCACGATACTTTTGATTAGACAAAGCTTTGATGGGAGATGTATATATAACTCTCTGCTTATCACGAAGGCATTGAGCAATAGCATATCTTGAAGAAAAGGTTTGAATTAAATAATAAAATTTTCACTAACAGAGCAACTACAGTTTTACCAGCAGAAGTATGGGCAGAAACAAGTACAGACTGATTATTTTCAATACAAACAATAGCTTCTTTTTGGAAAGAATCAAGTCGGAATGGATACTGTTTAGCTGGAGGAGTGTTGCGATCAATCAAAGGTTGGAACTCATAATTAACAGGTAGGCACACCTGAATTCTTACTAGAATCATGAGGATACGTGTATTATACCTGGTGAGTACAGTTTTCATTTCCTGTTTCAAGAGTAATGGTTTTCATTCTGTTGACGTCCGCTTCATTACCGAAAGTTTCCACATCATCTTGCTCTGTTTCCTCTTCAACTCTTGCCTTGAGAGAATAAGATCATAGCGCTTTTTTCTTTCAGAATTCCTTACTCTTTTAGTAACTGGAGCATCTATGTTTGAGCCCATATTACCCTGTTGTAACTGTTGCAGCAAGTTATTAGCCAGTTCACGAGATCTATCTTCTTTCTCCTGCTCAAGCTTAATTGATAAACAGTAGAAAGAATTGTTGTCGCTGTCGAACCCTTCTCATCGTGTCAGAGCTAGTTGACGGCTTTTCACCTTCATTTCCATCCCCGAAGCTGTCAAACAGTTCATCAACATCCATTTCTGAAATTTAACTTTGTAACTATAAGAGGTTTTACAAACAAATTGAAAAAAAAACGGTATGATAATATATTTCGAAAACTGCATTTGAATGCCTAGGGATTGCAACTGGAGCGCCTAATTCGCTATATAGCAACTCTTCTCTTGTTTCAAAGTGTGAAACTTTCACACTTAAATCTAGAGCAACCAAGTAAGACAATATTAAATAATTGTTTTCACACCAACATTACTCAATCTTATTAAGCAAGAATGTATCGTAGTCACAGTAAGTTCATTTGTCCAGTTTCTTTTGAGGAGAAGAACAGTTTTTTTGTTAGAATGAAATACTGGACATTGACTTTAACATTTTCTCCAGAAAATCATGAACAATTTTTCAAAAAATGTTAAGATAGAAAATCATCTTGTTTTGTTTTTTTCTTTTCACGTCGTTTGAGAATTTTTTCACGTAAGTGACACGTATGAGCATGCTCATTTCTAAAAGCGTTTTCTAATCAAGCGGTTGATAAAATGACCGAATTCGCTCTTACTCTCGACCCTTGCGAAAAAATAGTGTTCAGCAGTAAAGCTTTGGGAGAAGAATCTGTTTCGACAACCCTCAACGTTACCAACTCACTTCCGGAGCGTGTTGCTGTCAAAGTAAGCTCACAACATCTTTCAGCTAGAACGCACAGTGTCTTCAGGTGAAATGTACCTCGAACGAATTATTCCGTATCCGTCCTCCGGTATTTTGTTTGAATGCAAATGAAAATACTGTTGTTAATGTAAATGATGGATTATTAATTTTCTAATATTCTCTTCGTTTTAGCTTTCTTTCAATGGCGGTAAACAGATACCAGATAATGGCAAACATTACTTTGCCATATATTACATAAAGGTATCTTTGAAACTTGTCCAGCGCAATCTTTAATATAATACAGCCTACTGGAGAATATCTCTTTCCTCGCAAAACTTGGGCTGAGCACACTGGAGAACCTCAGGGAACCAAGCGTATTTATGTTGACTTCAAAAAGGTAGCTCATTATAACCAATTGTTTTTGGAACTATGTTTCGTAGGAAGGCGATGAGGAGAAAAAAGAGAATGATGATAAGGAAGAGCCAAAGGAAGAACCAAAGGAAGAGCCAAAGGAGGAGCCCAAGGAGGGCAAGAGAGAAGCGAAAATAGAAGAGAAAAAAGAAGAAAAAAAGGAAGACAAAAAAGAAGAGAAAAAGGAAGACAAAAAAGAAGAAAAAAAGGAGGATAGGAAGAAGGAAGACAATGAAGAGAAAAAGGATGATAAGAAGGAGGATAAGGAAGAAGAGAGAGTTAATGAAAAAGAAGACAAAAAAGATGATAAGGATGACCAGGATGGCTCTAAAAAGGTTGGTCGGTGTCTGATCAGCTGTCTAATGAATTTACTTTTGCAGGAAAAGGTTAGTAATAATCTCTGAAAAACCTCATTTTTTTTCTAATTTGATAACCAAGCCATTATACTGTAATTCCGTTCTTGTTTTCAGAACTCTGAATAGCATTCTGTTCGATCATCTGAGAATAAAATCTTTTTTCACTTATGAAAGCATTCAATCGTTTAAGCAAAAGCACTTAATCCTTTCATAGATATTTTGGGATACCACTATCTAAGCATGAATAGTTTGAATTTTGTAACATCTTTGCACTTGCGCCAAGATGACCAACGTCATGTTCTTGTCATAATCATGTTTGGGAAGCTTTTATAATATCTTGTCTGAATTCTACTTGTGCTTTCCCCTAAAAGATCGGCATCAATCAAGGCTGACTGTCAGACAAGTTTTGAAAAGGCCCCTTCCCTCAGGCGATTAAATGTTAGAATAGGAGCCGTATATTAAGTGCCCGTATCCACTTATTAATGAATAGACGAACAAATGAGAAACTGATGAAAAGCTCCTCCTCTACATTCCGTTAGAGAAACAAAAGTCAGTTGCCCCTCCTGCTTTAATACATTGTCGTTTATTGCTTCAGATTCCTCGTGAGCTCTCACAAGGTCAGATAGTTTCTTCAGCTAGTGCCGTGCACGCATCTACTGGCTTGCTTGTTATATTGCTATTAGCCTTAATCTATTCCAGAACTTTGCGACATAAACTCTATAATCGAATTATCATAAAATCTTGAAAAATACAGCGTTAACTTACTTTTTGCGATTATTTTTTTTTTGCAGAAAAAGAAATGAAGTTTCTGCTGTTTTTGATTCTCTTGCAATCCAGCCTCTTCTCGTTTTGCCTCAAGTATCCAAATGAAATTGTCGATATTCCAATAGTGCTGTGTGAACCAGAAAGAATCATAATTAAGGTCAGGAACCATAATTCAACTTTTTTTATTTTTTTCATCTACTAATGCGTAAAAACATATTTTCATCAAAACAGTTTAGATACGGACAACTTCTTCTAACCCCTCTCACATATATGCAGACGACTTTCCTGATGATCATAATTGCTCTGCTAGAAATATGAACAAGATTACCATAAAGCATGGACAGTGTGGAATGAATGCTGAAACTACAGTAATTTCATGGTTATATTGATTCTACATATAGTTGTTCTAGGATAATCCAGCTGGTGTTATTCAGCGTGTTTGCATCAATGTGCAGCTTCATCCTCTTTTTGTGACAGAGTCCGATAGAAGCTACTGTGCCCAATGTGTTTATGTTAAAAGTCATGTATTGGATGACTTTGAACAGTCCCTTGATATAAGGTAGAACAACTCACCTGTAAGTGCTCACATTTGATTGTAGTGAGGCTCCTCCAACGGAATTGACTCCTCAGTTTGATGTATCAAGTCCACCGAAATGCACTTATTCGATTCGTAAGGGTTCATCCACTGGCCCCGAAGTGTACTATGCAACTATCGGAGAAAGCGTTTTTCATGTATGGAAATGTGAAGGAGGTTTTTTGAACAGTCATTTTATCACTGATTCTTTTAACTTTTCAGAAAATACTGGCATTCTTGTTCAAAACTGTCATGTTGAGGATGGGCAAGGTAACCGTATCATGATTATTGACCAAAATGGGTAAGCGTACCCATTCTACAGCCAGGACAATAACCATTTCATACTACAGATGTGGCGTTGATCATTACGTAATGGCTACGCCAAAGTACACGGATAATCTGTCCACAGCTTTTCAAGTGAGTCAAAAATAAAGGTTATACTCTTCTCACAACGTTCAGGAAACACATGTGTTCAAATTCGCGTCCAAAACTATAACTCGATTCATCTGTCAGATTCGTATTTGTCTCCAAGGTGATGATTGTAAGAAAGTGTCGGTCAGTAGATACTCCGGTATAAAAAAACTTTGTTATTAACAGCCTCCAACCGCTTGCCCTTCATTGGACCAGAGAATTGAGCAAGCAAAGCGATTACGTGAAGCTCCCCAGAAGGGTATAAAAGAAATATTCAAAACTGTTGATGATCCAAGGTAAATTTGGAAAATTTTGAAACTTAATAAGTTTACGGTTCCAGCACTCGCCTTCTTAATAGAGATGAAAGTGTTCTAGCAAATAACGCTCAAACATCTGATGACAATTTGAACGACGCTAAGAACGCCACAATAGGAAGCATTTATTTCGGCTACGGGTTTGTTTTCAAGTGTTCCGAAATCATGCAGTTCATTTCTCTTTAGTTTCAATCCTAAGAGACAACGAAGAGAAATATTAATCGACGCTAGGAATAGCGTTCCAAAATCCAGATTCTCTATGTCTAATGGATATCCAGAGGTTGACTTGGTTGGAGAACTGCGTGTTCTTGAAAATGAGCAAGACGTTCGTTATTATGGTAAGTATCCGGATTAGTTCATCTCTACGAGTCTTTCAGAACAAAAAGCTTCACCACCCCCAGCTGAATGTGATAACCAATCACCTCTTCTTATATTTATAGTTGCTCTATTTATTGCTTCTCTTATCCTATTGATCGTTGTTTTCATTCTCTTATTAAGACCTTCCAATATCAAAAACAAAATTGTTAAATTTGCATATTGAGAACAAGTTTCGAAAGTTGTTTGTAGATAATCAAGCTCTCAATAAGATTATTTGAAATGAACTCCACTTCACTCAACAACGTAACAACACCATAATTTGAATAAACGCAAAAAGCTTACGTGAAGTCAACGTGAACACATTCAAACAAACATCCAATCAAGATCACGGTAAGTTGCAAATGTGGGAAAAGCTCAAAAAAATTAGTTAGAAGAACTTACTACAATCCCTTAATGTCTTGTCAGGATTTCTAATACTTCTAAGCATACCTAAAAACATTTGAATAGATAAGTTTGGCGCGCATGGCAACCATTTGTCGCATAAGGATATCTTTTGGCGCCTCTTTTCGAATCAGTAACCTATCACTAATTTTGGCTTTTTTTTAGTCCTCAAAAATTTGAATTTTGTAGTTTTCACTTTGATCTTTGATTTTATCGATTTATTATTATTTTTTAATTTTTTGTTTACAGGGTGCAATTGTATTGTTGTAGTTTACACTTGCAATATATATATTAAATCAAACCATGTCAGAAACAAGAGAGCATGCTAAAGCTGACGAATTATCAGTTACACCAAGAACATCTAGAATAGGAAGTAGATTATCACACACACATTCGGGGAATAAATATGAGGTAGTTAATAAGAATCTCATAAACGCGAATCGGTGTGAACTGAATTTTGAACATCTTAGGGCCGAAGCCTCAGTTCAAGAATAACAACTTTTTTTCCTGTAAGGAAACAACTGAAGAGAGTATTCAATGCTTGTAAAGATGATGATTGTAGTGATATAGGGTTAGGAAGAATGAACGAAAAAAACAAACCGAAAAAATACTGTTTAGGAAAAGACAAAAACGTGGAAACACTATCGTCGGTGCGAAGTTCAAATCTCCTGTTGAAAAATATCCGGAAACACCTGTTGCTACGGAATATTTCTCTGAAGATGGTACTCAGTCCAAACCATAACTTTAACAGCTTATCATTTTCAGAAGCATCCACTGAAAATGGTGTTATGCTTTGTTGCGAGTCTTTAACAAATGCACTACCGTCAGCTCTGGGTATTTTCGACCAGTTACCACCATCTTTGTTTCTAACAGTCATCGAAAAGTTGTCAGGTACGAAGTAATGTGCGAGATATAAAATCAGTTCCTCTCAGTTCCGAGACTCGTAACCCTGTCATTGTCCTCTCACGAATGGTCCGACAGAATAGTAGCGTACATGGGTACGGAAAGCTACCGTAACAGGCTTACAAGAGAGTACAGAGAGTTTTTGTCAAATAGATCTCTACCATACACATCCCGTGATCCTTTTCATACATTCGGTTCGTTGAAATTTATTTCGCTATCATACAAGCTTTTCAGGTGAGCTTCTTAAGGCCACTTCTGTATGTCAGAGTACAGCTGTTCGTATATCAAAACTTGTAACCTTTATCGAGAAATGTTCTGATACTGTAAATGATTTTCAAGGTTGGGGACGGTTTATCCATACGGTAGGAAATTGTGCTCTTCCCAACAGTCCATTTCTTTTCAGATCTGTACGAAGTGGGCTTTCACTGAATGTGCTAAAGTAGTTAGGGCAGTTCTGCGAATGGATAACTGTAAGATTGAAAAGTTGATTCGCCAGATGATCATTGCTCCATATGGAAGCGATTCACGTTTGGAAATGAAAGTAGGTTTTTGAGACTAACGCTCCTGATCAGATTTTTTGAGGTCCGTAGAATGCTTCGAGGTCTTTTTCTCGATTCCATCATGATTGCTGAAAAACTCTCGGATCATGGAGTTGAGAAAGAAAAATCTTTCTGGTTGTCTGCTCTTTTGAGAACACAGTTATCTGCTAATCATCAGGGACGATTATTCTTAGTATTATTCAATTCTCTGGAGAAAAATGATAACGGCTCAGGTAGCCGAGTTTCTTGATTTGACTTATTTTCAAATATATTTTTTAGAATTCATAAACTGGAGATCTTTAGTAGATATAGCTGTAACATCATGGAGTGATGCAGAAGAGAGATTAAAACCTATGGCTGACGCTTTGTACACCCTTTTAAAGACCAGGAAGTTGAAAGATGGCCTTTTTGGCTGGAACGAGAACGAGGTTTTCAATATGATTGAAGAGATCACAAGTTTAGCCAATGAAAATGTCCGACCATTTTTTTTTCTTTTATAGCGTTTCCTGAGCCATGGTCGTTCGACAATTTTGTAATGCTTCTAACTCACCGTCCTTATCTGATACCCATAAGTGTATGTGCAAGAATCAGGCACGGATATGATGATGAAGCTGGAAGTATAGTGAATTCCATCAAAGTAGTATGTTTAAAGATGAAACTATGAGTGTTCGAATTGAATTTTTTTCAGTTACTGTACAGATGGGGTATAGATATCCAGTCTATTCTCCGGGTACCGCTGATGTATTGCATGAACACTATGAACTTAGAGCAAAGAAGACAACTGTACAAATCAATTTATGCGGCTCATGTTCGGCAGTTTCATGAATACTTGGCTCATTCAGATACTCGAGGTATAGTGAATGATTTTCAATCTGAATGAACAATTATGTATCTTTAGCTGGTCTTGGAAATCTTCAACTAGAGATCAATTCACATGCAGCCCTTACTCCTGTTCTTAGTGAAATGTCTAGCTTGCTCTCACAATAACGTAACTTATTTTTAGATATTGATGTACATAACCCTTTTACCCTGTGTATCTCATTTTGCCTGTGCCATATCCTTGTGAATATTGTTTTTAGAATTTTTTTGTTGCACCCTCATATGTCTGTACTATTACCTGTGATATTAATACTGTTACCATTATTCAATTCTTTTTATCTTTTTTTTCCTTTTTAGGTGAATTGACGTACAAATTAACTTGCATTTTGTACATTAGATTCGTGGCTTGAACTAGCCTGAAAGGTGCCACAATGTCTTTGCTTCATTTTCTTGTGAATCATTCTTGTTCTTCTTGTGAATAGTTGTTACGTTTGTTTTTTATCCTGTTAAATGAAAAGGTCTTGTATACATGCATTATCATATATTCAATCAGAGTAATTTTATGAAAACAACTAAAGCCCAACAATAAAGCTCTAAACCGGGGAGACGGAACGGTAAGTAATCAGACTAGATGTTATATTAACAAGATTAACTGGTGACTAATCTAGGATATAAATATGTAACGAAACAACTAATCGGAGTAAGATATAAGCCATTATGTATGAGTTGATAACTAAGCTACTTATTATACAAGATCTTTTTGTACTTTGAAGGAGGATTGCTGGGAGGCAGGAAAGTGACCAGATGATATTAGAGTAGATCAAGCGAATATCGCTTACTGTAATCATGAAGAGCCATGAACTCATTATACTTTGTGAACGCGTTTGCGAACTATAACATTATAGTGTTTGGGCACGTTTGTCATTCCCTCACTGCGGTCACATGATGGTAGGCCTTTTCCTTCTGAATGAATGAGTTATATTTAATGTCATCCGATTCTAATTTACCTTCTTTTATGAATTCGTAGTTTTGGAGAAGAGTTGTCAAAATCAAGAACAGCTCATAACGTGCAAGTTTTTCTCCAAGGCACGATCGTTTTCCCATTCCGAATGGGTTCAACTCGGCCTTTTTCACGTAACAGCCATCTTGGATGAATCTTCAATTTGCTAGTTTAGAACGATTGTTTCTTTTAGTGTCTTACCTGTCAGGATTAAATTTCTCTGGCTCTGGGAAAACTGTGGGGTCGAACTGGAGAGTTCCATATTGAGGCAGTATCACTGATCCGGCTGGGATGAAGTGGTTTTGAATTTTCACATCAGTTGTGGTACTGGAAAAATAATTATTCAGATAAATTGAAAGAGGTTCTATCTCACCGGTGTGGAATAGCCCAGGGAAGTACATTAGCCAGTCTCAATGTTTCAGAAATCGTAGCTTCAACATAGGGGGCTTGCTTGTGTGCAGAATAAGTAGGAACTTCTGATCCAAAGACCTGAATGTAACCATAAGATGAAGTTTTAATCTTTTCTCTTACCTTCTCAACTTCTTGATAACATCTTTCTTGGACATGAGGATTATGAAGCATATAAACAATTGCCCATCGGAGTGTTGTTACAGTGGTTTCCATTCCTCCAGTCCAAAGATCTCCAGCTGCTAATGCCAAAGAAAGCTCACTGAAGCAATTAGTATGAAACAAAAGGATGAATAAAACACAATACTTGAAATGGGCGTTTCCTTTCTTAGTAGTGACCATTTCACGAAGGTATGATTCGATGAAGTCAACAGATTCACCATCCAAGTTCAGGGTTTTCTTGTGAGTCTCAATAGCATCCAAGAAGTATCTACATATTTGGTAATAATTAATACTATAATCAATTTATTATTACCTTTGTAGGCGGAATCCATTTTCACGATATCTTTTAATAGCTGGAATTGGTAATTTAGCAAGAATTGGATAAGCATTGACAAGTTGAACAGGCTTTGACGCAACCTAAATTAAAGGTTAATAACTAGATTTAATTATATTTAATTCTTTACATCTGCTAATATTTGATCAATCAAGCTCTTGAACTCGAAAAACCGACGATCCCCAATAGCGAAGTAATGACCGAGAACGAAATCTTGAATGATATTTCCAACCACTTGTGATATGATTAACTCCATGTCTACTGTAATGTGCTGGAAGAACTCATAGTTGTGGAATGTTTCGAAAGATGATTTATATTACGTCATGATCCCCGATTAAACCATCCATATATTCAATCATATTTTGAGTTTGGACAAGGACTTTCGATTCCATCAGCTTTTCTCCCATGGCACTTCTGTAAGTAGATCATTCTGTTTGTTATTCAACTCAGAACATTTCATGATTGGCTCGTGTTTTGATGGTTCCTCTTATCCAATTTTATTACTCTTCTATTCGTACTTTTTCAGCACTTACCTGAACATTTTATGAGAAAACTCCCGAAGTTGCTCCCAACGTTCTCCTTGGCATAAGATGATTCCATCACCGTTTTGGTCATTATGAGTGAACATGGACCAGACGTATCCAGTCGGTCGTCCAGTAAAGCTTTGACCTAAAACAAGAAGTGAGAACGTGGTTATAAAGAAAATAAACCTTTCGTTATAAGAGCTTCCTTCAAAACGGAGTGATCTGCCAAGACAATCATTGGTTGAGGTAACCGAACAGTGAAGACTGATCCAAACTCTGCTTTCCATTTAGACATCGTCCGAGCAGGATGGCGGGTATCAATCTGAAGAAATAGGTTTCATTGATTTATGCAGATAATTTTCTGAAGGTTCAACCGTTCATCTTACAGTCAGAGTTAAAAATGATTTTCACTTTCAACTTGTTTGCCACATCATCAACACTCACTTGTAAAGTATTTCCAAGAAGAGGTAAAGCGAATGGTCCTGGAGGCAAGTCTCCAAAGCAGCCGGTATAGAACTTGTAGCACTTATATATGATCCATAAGGTTCCCAAAGCATAAAAAGTACTAGAAGGCTTGATTTTATTTCAAATCAGTCAGATCAAGCTTACCAAACAAAGGAAGTCATAATAATGTAGCCGTAAACTCCAAAGTCGAATTTCAGACCGAACATTTGGAAGCCGTTGGAATTGAAACTTTGAACAGCTTAATAGGAGCAAAGGTTACGAGAAATTAAAAGTGAGAACAGTTACTTTTTGCTGCTCTGCTGAGAATTCCGAAAGCTAGGAAGGAAGGAATAGCAAGCATAAGCACGGTGAGAACCTTCTGTTTCATACGATGTTCGTCTGTAGAAAAGGGGCGTGAAAATTAAAAATTTCCCTTCTCTTATTTGACATTTCACACAAAATTATCTTCTTCAGAGCAATAACATGAAAGTAAAAATGAAAGAAAAAAAGAAACAGAGAAAGTTTGTAGAATGAAATGTGCAAAAAATGGAAGAGAAGCGAAAAGTCAAAAGCTACTGATTGGCAACACAAATTTCTGTTGCCAGCTGGGTACTGTACCAAGGTTGTATTGCTTTGTTTTCACTCACTCGCTATATTTTCATAACCCTTTCATTTTCTCACTTTCTTTCATCTATTTTTTTAAGAGTGCAAGTAAAACTAACTGCTCTTCACCGGAGGATTGAAGAATGAGCCATCCATGATGTCTCGAACCGTTCGCTTGAATGGAAAGTTTGGAGTTATGTTGAGGATGCTCCCTGAAGAAGAATTGTACTGAGATTGAACAACATGAAGTACAGCTAATGCACAAAAACAACATAGGGTAACTGGTGATAAGCTAAGGATTCTACGGAATGTGTGAACTAACTCATGAATCTGTCGAAGATAGTTCCAACGTTCATAATGAAAACTTTTTCCTTCTTTCAGTATAAAAACAAAAAAAGGATGAGATGAAGCTGGTTGAAATAACAAGAATTTCTCAGTTGTACAAGAAATGTAAGCTTGAAGAGATTATGATTTTTTTGAAACAGCTTCACCTTATATAGTCCAAGTAGGCGGAGCGATGACTTCGTTCATATGGGTGGGGAAAGGGGTTGGGCAGAGGCGAAACGGCAATTGTACGTTTGTGACCCTCTTCTAATTTAATTTAACTTCATATTTTAGTTCAAATTTACAAAATTGACGTCAGATATCTCAAGGTCCAAAATCTCAAAATGAAGACGTTGCGTTATTACGATAATTGACAATTAATGAAAGTGTAATGAAGAAGAGGAGGAATGAAAGAGACACAGAGAAGAAGAAGAACATGGAGTGGGGAGGTCTACTTTTGGCAACTTGATGATCTACGCGTGGCTAATATGATATTTGTGAAAAGGTATTTTTAGAGATTTTGAAGGTTTCTTGGCATGGGGAAATCTCTGAAGCTTGCAACATTCTTCTAGAAGTCGATCCGTATGTACTTCATTGGTAGAATGTATCGGATGTATATGTAAATCATTGTCATCAGAAGACTTTCTTCTTTTATCCAGGTAGGCATATCTCTTTTAAAAAGTGCAATGGAGGGAATTACAGATACAGAAAGAAGAACAGATGAGGAGAAGAGAGGGAGAGTTGTTATCATAGATACAATGCATATGATTGGAAAATACTGAAATCTGCATAAACGCACGTTGTTTCATGTCTGAAAACAAAGGGCGGCTTCGTGACAGTCTTCTGGAGCATCAATAATCTGGCACATGAGAGACTTGTTCTGCTATGCTAAGGAGAAAGGATGGGTGCACGGAAGCTTCTCTATCATCCGAGTGGTTCCTTCTCAAATTTAAAAGTGATTCATTAACTTTTCTTTCTCTATTTTCGTCTCCGTTTCAATCAGAACTTTCTCAAATAGTTTTTTGATGTTTTGAATGCGCTCCGAATAATCATTGGAAGGCTAAGGTTTCATGCGTCAGATCATTAGAGTATAAAGGGACGAACTGACAGAAAACGTTCAGATTTCAACTTTTGCAAAGTTCGGAACCGACTTGAATGAAACTGAAATACAAAAAGAAACAGCAATCAAAGAGAGAAAAGGGCATTTTTCATTTTTCTCATTCCGTGCTGCCCCCGGTGTTGATATCATGACGGATAGCCTCCACTCACTTCCACTCACTTCTCCCATACAGTTTCATACAGGGATTTTCGAAAACTATATTTCTCCTTTTTTTTGTTCTTCTCTCTTAAATAGCACATAAATATGTCCTTTTATAAAATTTTCGGTTTTTATGTAGAAACAGACATTGAACCAAAAACTTCTGATGTTAGAAAAAAATTGGAAATCTTTTAATCTTTTCCCCTTTTTTTTCTTCTTCTTCTCCTGTCCCCTACGTCACGGCACAACACGTTGGTTCTAACTTCTTCCCCTTACTGGTTAACTTTCGTTTTTGAGAAGATAAAGCGCTTACAAGGAACACCTATCCCCCCTAAGACAATCAACTTTTGAGATATGAGGATTATTCCTAATATGTACCTGGAAATATAATTTCTTTTAGTAACACTTGATTGTTAGTCTTTTCATTCGGATAATCGGCTTGCCTCTATGAACTTTTCATTTCATTAACACCCGCAAGTAAAGAAAGACATTCGTCTTATCCTTCACATTGCGGTTCAGATAAAAGCTTATTGTAGATTGGCAAGAATAGATTCTTCGAATAGCTTTTCCATTTTATACAGATTTGGTTTTTTATCTCGAAATCCCCCGCATGTGGAGAATCAAACGAACCACTTGCCAAACACAATTTCTTGACCTTTTTATCTCTCAAATTTGCGTCAGAGGAATTTTCTAAGAATTATCAAAAAACACAAGTCGAATGAGAGGAGAGGAAGCTCTGAGAGTATATAGAGAGTAATTTGATTATTTCTTCAAAGATTTATTGTATAATTGAACATATATTTCGAAAGGACATGAAACTGAGCTGTTCATCGGTCAAAATCCATTTTTACTTGAAGATTATTGAAGGCTAATGAGATTGCCATTTCCCCTGTCAATATGATTAACAAAAAATGGAGAAACTTAAGAAAATCCACTTTCATTGATATCATTTAAGCTCTATTTATACGTGAATTAACAAAGAAAACAAAGTGGACGCGAGTATCTTTCCTATATCTGCCTATGGTATACTCATTATCATGCTTACCATATTCCTCCTGAACGGAAGTGTCGATGATAATGAAATTGTCTGACAGTAAGTGGGGGAGAGGGGGCGTTGGAACTAAGATAGATATCATAGACACATGAAGAGAAGAGGAAAAGCTACTTTAAATAATCAGATTGTCTATTTTTTCGACAGTTTGATGTATTTAATAATGAATCGGGTTACGGTATCGTTTGTGCAGATGACTAATTGCCAATGAAAGGAAAGAACAGAAACAAACAACAACCGAGCGGGATAGATTGAGAGAAACGCAAGGAGAAACCCGAGAGAGGAAAAAGTTATTATTCAGACAAGCAAAGAGATAAGAGAAAGTTATTAGGAAATCAGGCGATGCTACATCACGTTTTCGATCATAAGTTCCAAAATTCTGTTTGAAGAATAATCTTTCCCGTTTTAGAAAGTTTAGATGACTTTGATCATTTCAAGGAACTCTCACGTTCTTTGATGATGTGATTCGTCACCATTGCACTATATCTTCCTTTACTCAGCTTTGGATTACTCAAACGCTGATAAGAGATTTATTATTACCAACAAGCATGAAATATTCAGCAGAATCATCATCAACAATATTCGCTCAGCCCTCCCCCTCTTATCATCCAAACAAATTGAGCGGCTCTGACTTAGCAAGGGTTCGTCATTAGGCTGGTTAGCTGTTTCTTGCTATTGCCTAACTTCTGCTCTCTTACCTAATGTACATATTATAGGGAGGAGAATATTTCATCTCTTATTATATTCACAAAAATCACTCCTTACCTTGATATCTCTTACTCACTATCTGCTGCTTCAAATGCAAAAATAAATTTTCGTAAAAGACTTACCTGTCTCCATGAAATCGACCTTATGTCTTCTTCTTTTTCTTATTCGTCTTTTAACTTAGCTGAGGACATAAAAAAATTATTTTTTTATACTTTATTTGTACTTTCTTCCCAGAAAATGAGGGGGATGATGTCACTTTCGTTCATGTTCCGCTATTGACGTTCAGTTCATTCTTCACAATGTTGCTGTTTGAATGAAAATTACTTCAAGTCTTTTTTGCATGGAGGTTTGACTGACCTTTCAATCCCAAGTGAGGAGGGCATGATCGGGCTCCCACTCTTCACTACAAATCTGCAATCCTTTTCTTCAGTACTTTTGAGTACAAAAGTATCCAGTTTTAGAGAGTATTGAACTATTAATATCTTCAAGGTTTCAATCTCAGTTAACTGACATTCCTTCTCAATCCCACCAACAAGCAACATAAATAATCCGAGTACACAAGAGAAAATGATAATAAAGCGTTGCAGAAGACATTAATGGTCATCAATCTTACACATAAAAATCGGAAACATATGCAATCTAATATTTCAGGCTAGCGGTCATAGGAACCTATTCTGATTTCCAGTTTTTAGGGAAGCTTGATATGTACTTTCTCATCAGTAGACAACGTTTACCATCGTCTGAATCGTCTCCACTAGAGCTCAGATACAATTTTCTTTTATTGAATTCAGTATTGTGAATCCAGAACAAACCAGAACAGTGTGTCCTCGAACGAAGAATGCAATCGATCCCGTTCAAGAGTTGTAATTTTCCTAAAATTAAACGTAAAGGGTAAATATCAATAAAATTACGTAGAGAAAATCAAATTTCCTACTTCACTACAATACTCATTTCGCAATCAACTTTCTTACTTCGGAATTTGACATTTGCCATAAGAGGATTACAAAATGTGGAAAGAACAACTGATTCAATTAACCTGTAATTCTGAGGATCAAGATCCAGCTTTACGCACTCCCACTTATCCAACAGAACGACTTAACTCAAGAAATCAAACAGCAAAAAAATGTCTGATTACGACACAAGTGATCATGTCTCGTAACAGTTTTGACGCCAAGTCGATGTAGGAAGGATGGGGGGATCCGAACTCTTTCAACCATGTGCACTCGAGATGCCCTCAAAAACCGAAACTTCTCCGAATTAAAAGATTATTGAACTGATAAGTTTCAATATCGTCAAGGTTGAATCATATATTTTTTTAAAACATATCAAACAGTTTTATCACTAACGGCAACATCTGTAAGAGGTTCCAGAGGATGAGACACGTATGGGAAACGGATAGCCTCTTTTCACATAGCCTCTACTGTTTCTTAATCATTTGATTATACGTAATAACGAGAGAGAGAGAGAGAGAGAGAGAGAGAGAGAGAGAGAGAAAGAGAAAATCTGTTTTTTTCTTCTTTCCTCCGACTGCAGCATGTTCTCTCAATGATGATGATGCCAAATACGGGAAGATATCAAGAGTTGATGGCGTTAACGATAAAACTTCGAAAGTGCATGCTGTCCTCAATATTTTTTTTTTCATCAAAAACTGGAAAATGATAAGTAATTGCTCGAAATAGTCGTTTGTGTTCAACAATTTGAGATACTATGTGCGAATGTTCCATATTTCGATGAACTTATGTTGCACTAACTATCTTCTCTCATAATATTTTATTAAAAACTTATAAAAGTATCTATAGAACGGTTTATCTCTCCGTCTCGCTATTCGCTGAACAAAGGAAAACCGTTTTTTTTCAGAGCTATCTCAGTTCTTCAAAGATAATTATTGGGAACTTTCCCGTATTTTTGAAATATCATCATGACTTTCGTCGAATTACTGCGAAATAGGAAACCGACGGGCGTGCAATCAAAGGAACACAGCTGCGAGCGCCCTAGTCATTTATGAGTTTGTCGTAGTTTCATACTACAATCTCAGGCCTAGTCAATCAGCGTTCCTTCAACTTCGCTTGTGTTCCGTAAAATAAAGAATTGGGGAAGTTGATAGCGTAGCCCTACATAGTACTACGTACTTGCCTTTCTTTAATATGCATACGTTTCTGTAATATTCAAGGATGTTTCAACAGCCTTACCCTAAAGGCGAACTATCCCATAGAAGGTTGAAATAATAAGTAAAACGTTTTATTTCATTATATTAATGATTAAGGCCTATATATAGATCGTCACGTAACAGACATTTGCCTAATCTAATTCAAGTAACATATCTTAATTACTTCCCTTTTTACGTCATAATTGAATTTTTGTCTGCTATTTTAAACTTTGAGTGGAACAATTAGAAGTTTGTATTGTGTGATGCCACGCGGTTACACGAACACTCATTTGAATATTGTGAGAAGCAGCCAAGTATTCATTTCATAGTCTGCAACAACACAGAGCGGTTGGTTCAATTAATGAGATGCACGTTTGAAATTAATGAGACGCTTGATTTTAATTTAATAATTCCATAATTACATGTAATAAGGATTATGGAAATTACTGTGGTAGTGTTTTTACGTACAAATCGAACAAATCTTCTTGTATTTTACGGGGGAGTTTTCTCATAATTTTCTTCATAATTCTATTAGCGAGTTCTTGATCTGGGATTTCCTTTGCTTCTAGCAAATCCAGCACCTTCAATTTGAGTGGGTACAATTAGCATAAATGTTATCTTACTGCGTCACGAACATCAGGCTCCAGATGACTTAGAAACTCCTCAAGTCCAACAATATCTTCTTCCCTTAAAACATCTAAAAACGAAAAGAATGGATATTCCGTAAGCAGAACAAGCCTACCAAGCCGGAAAGGCGTTCCAAGCTGAGCAACATCTATCAAAGCCAAGAACACGAAGAGAGTGACTAAGAAACATAAATTGAAACGCATAGTCACACAAGAGTTTAGAAAATGACAATCGATTCTGTTCGCTTTAGTAGAAGACGACTTTCTTTTACAGCCAAGAATTCGGAATACGGAAAACCTGTCATTTACTACTGCTATTTCTTTCCTCCGACTGGAAAACACCTCATTCCCATTATTCTCGTTTCGACATCTCTATCACCGTTCGCGATGTTTGTAGAAATCCTCGAGCATGAAGCTTTACAGCTTTGAATCTTTTCGGAAGGAAACTGTTTCAATGGCTCCTGTGTAAGATTGTTCGAAAGTATGTTTGCAACGACGAAACGTGTTTTCACGGAAGTTCGTGAACTTATCCTCATTGCCTTTAATTTTTTCACCTTGCATTTCCTCTTAGATTCAAACAAGCTTCTAGCTCAAATACGCAATTACGGTAATTGGACATACATTTGATGCACTGTTACAGAAGACAAAGCTAAAAACCAAGGATTCTAGTTTTGCGCGAGTCATGGAAACATCATCTGCGCATCAATTACTGTCCCGCCCCTTTTACTGCGCGCCAACTGCAAGAATTTGAAAAGAATCATTTATGCAATAAAATATTTCATGTTCTTAAACTAAAAACTCTGTTCTTTAATTTGGTACTTCATATCTTGTCCACACTTATTCTGTGAATTTAGAAATGAGTGATTGGGATTTCCTAGATGAAGTTGATGTGTTAGCTAAGCTCCCAGCTAATTTCGAAGAGTTAAGAGAATCCAAAAAATGGTTAGAGCGAAAAGAAGCTTTAGAACAATTGGCGAATCTGATAGATGCCAATCCTCGTTTGTCTACGAAGGCAAATTATGCTGATATAACAGGCAACTTGAGAACTGTTAGTTTGTTCTAGTTTTCTTAATGAAACCTTCCCATTTCAGATGTTAGCTAAAGATGCAAATATTAATGTATGTGCTGTTTGTGCCAAATGTATTTGTGGACTCGCTAAAGGTCTTAGGCAAAAATTCAGTCCTCTCGCACAATCTGTAAGATGTTGTTCGAAGTAGAGGCATGCTTGATTTTTTTTAGATTTTCCCGGTTATTTTCGAAAAGCTTAAAGAGAAAAAGCCACTTCTCAAGGATCCGCTGGTCGAATGCCTTGATGCTTTAATCGCCACTGTTTGTTTATGATATTTATGTTTATTTTCTGAATATATTCTTTTAGATTCCAACTATTGAAGCTCTTACCGAAGATATCTCTACGTTCATAGTAAAACCGAATCCTCAGATTAAACAACAAATGGCCTTGTTTATATATAGATCTCTCAATACACTAACCACTGATAAAGTAAAGCTGAAATCAAATAAGCTTGTATTAAACAGTTTCTATAGGCGCCCAAACCTTTCATGAAAGCTATCGTCCCACTCATCGGTAAAATCATGGGAGATGCTGATGCTGATGTTCGTGAAGCTGCAACTTTGGCTCTTGGAGGAGTCTACCGGCTTATAGGAGAAAAAGGAGTGCGAACTTTATTGGGAGATGCTGCTACTGAAGATAAAATGAAGAAAGTTAGATATTCATAGATTTTCGTCATTAATGTCTTTGTCCAGATCATTGAGTGCTCAGAAAAAGCTAAGGAGGAACACAATGAATACATGGCCAGTAAGAGCCCCCCTGCTTCTGCTCCAGGTGGTGGAAATGCAGCACAGTCTTCTAGTGCTCCTACTACCGTATCAGCTGCTGCGCCCGTTGTATCTGCTCCCGTACAGGTTTTTTCTATTTTTCTACTTATGTTCCTCATGTTTTCTTCTCAGGAGGCAGATCCTTTTGAATTTTTAACTGCTGTTGATGTCTTGGCTAAGCTACCATCAGATTTCAATGATAACATGGAGAGTAAAAAATGGTCCGAACGTGCTGGTGCTCTACAGGTTGTTCAACATTCAAAGTTGTTGCATTATCATTTGTTCAGGCTTTCTTAGACTTGATGTTGAAAGATCCCAAATTAGATCCTAAAGCTTCTTATGGAACGATGATAGATTTACTTAAAAAAGTCAGGCGACAACTAGAAATAGCAAATTATCATACAAATTTCTATAGGTCCTCGAAAAGGATGCTAACATTAATGTATGTGCTCTTGCTGCAAAGTGTATTAAAGGATTGGCTGATGGACTGAGAAAAAAGGTGCAGGAATCACGTGGAAATATACTAATTGATTAGCTTTGAAGTTTGCTCCTTTCGCTCCGGTGGTTATCCCTAAGATCTTGGAGAAATTCAAAGAGAAGAAGCCCATGCTTAGAGATCCGCTGATTGAATGTATTGACTCAGTTGCTGCTTCAGTTAAGATTCCTGAGCTTACTTTCTTTGACGTTTATTATTAGGTTCCTCTTGATTCAATGCAAGACGATATAATGGCAGCCATGGAGAACAAAAATCCTAACATTAAGATTCAAACAGATCTCTTCCTATATAGGTTCCGTTTTTATATCATCAATTCGTATTATGTTCACGATATATTAGAGTCTTCAAAACCTTCAACGCTACGACTATGCCCAAGAAAACCTTGAAAGCTTTTTCAACTCTTCTGATAAAGGTAAATATTGATAACTTTGTAGTTATTGAAAGTTTGTTATAGCATACCGGTGATTCTGATCCTGAAGTTCGTGATGCCTCTTATGCTGCTCTAGGGTCTGCTATGAGAGCTATAGGAGAAAAGCCTTCCCTGGCTCTTTTATCTGATATCGCTGAAGATAAGCTCAAAATGACTAAAGTTTGTCTCCAATGCAATGCCGAAGCAATCGAGCACTTCAGATCAAAGAATTCTGTCAAAAAGCAGCAGAAGAAGTTGGACCAGAAGTTGTGCAAGCTATGGTACAGTCCGTACACAAAGCCGACGTTAGTTTTCTTGATACTTTTTCTTTGTTTTGTGTTTGTGGTTGTGTTCAACTATCCGTCCCTGTTTCGAGAATATTTTTGCCTTTGTTATTCTGTTGTACTTTCGTTGTGTAGGAACCCGCTCAGCCACCACCACCGACAAAGACAGCTCAACAAGCTCAGAAAAAAGGATCTCTATCGCGCCAAGGCTCCACTAATAATATTCAGGAAGAAGAGGTTCAGTATTTTGTGACAATCCTGGGCTTTTCTTCACTATATATGTTTGCGCCGAAAAGTTTCAGCATTTCAGAATTTGAAGGTTGGAGGAGATGTAACTAAAAAAGTTGTTAAGCCAGCCAAAAAAGAGGAGCCGAAGCCGGTATCAATAAATTGTTTGTATTGACAAAAACATCATCAATTTTCAGGAAGAGCCCGAAGAACCTGCTGCTCCTACTGCTCTTCTAGTTGTAAACTCTGAGAAAGCAATTAGAATCAAGAACGAGAGAACTTTGAAAGTTATCATTCTTTATAGGCATTTGTGTAGCCAATAATTAAGGTTATCAAATGGAACTTTGCAACTCCCGCTTCCGAGCATGTAACTCAACTTCAAGATTTGCTAGGAGCCGTTTCTAAGCCTGCTCTTCATGGACTCCTTTTTCATAAGGACTTCAAACAGCACATAAAGGCTTGTGAGATGTTAACTTCGGTGAGTATTGTTTAAGACAAGGTTTTTGTAAAGAAGGGAAGTCAGATTGGACAAACAACTCCGGAAGCCTTAGTCGCAAATAGCGATCTACTCCTGAAATGGTGTACTCTTCGATTCTTCGAAACGAATCCAGCTGTTCTGATCAAGGCAATAATAAAACTTTTTTTTGTAAATAGGTTCTGTTTAAGGTATTAGATTTAGCTAAGCTTATAATTGAATCAGTTAGAAATGCCGATGAACAAATGTCAGCAGAAGAGGTATTCGTCAATATTTGTGTATCCTTCTTCATAGTAGACTTTCAGCTCTCTGGATTCTTACCTTACCTTTTGTTGAAATCGGGAGAACCAAAAGAAAATGTGCGAGTTGTAGTCAAAGAGATCGTCGATGAATTGACTGAAATCACATCTCCATTGAAAATGACACCTCATATTTTAGGTTAACTGATCCGAAATTCTTTCCTAACTTACATTTTTTCCAGAAGCTTTAAAGTCGAAAAATGCACGTCAAAGAACAGAATGTCTCCAGTATTTAGAAAATTATATCATCAGAGCTGGTGCCTCGACTATTAAAAGCTTGGTTAGTGTTTTGTATTTTGCTTTCATCTCATTTTCACGTTCTCCAGGGCATTCACAAGCTGATTGCAGCTCAAGTCAGTGATAGGGATAATAACGTCAGAAATGCTGCGATAAATGGCTTGGTAGCTTGCTATCGAGAGGAAGGAGATCAGGTATTATTTCTCATTCGGCTAGGCAATAATGACCGTTTTCCAGATGTGGAGAAACGTAGGCAAAATCGCTGATAAAGACAGAGCTCTCGTTGAAGAAAGAATCAAAAGAATGGGAGTTGTTCCTGGATCAGTCGCACCACCTGCTGCTGCAGCTCCCACTCCAAAAGGAAAAGTTGGAAGTGCTAAAATTATTGTTCCCCCTGGTTTAGAAATCCTCCGTTTTCCTTTTGTTTTAACAACTGCTTCAGAGCGTGGCCCTGCTGTTACTCGTCCAGGAAGTATGGATAGGACGTTCTCTCGGAACGAGAACTCTGATGGTAAAAAGACAAACATTTCTTTTGGCTATCGATAAACGAACTATTTAGATACCACTATGGTTACCGAACGGCATATGCCTCGAGCTAGATCGCGGTACGAAATAGATGAAGAGGTATACTAAATTTGTTAGATAACTCTTACCTTATTGCTTCTTAGTTTGTTGAAATGGGTGTACATTCGTTGGATAGTACAAAACAATTAGATCTTCTGGACCAGATGGAAGCTCCTAGTGCTGCTAGTCTCAAACCAAAAATTTCCTCTACTGCACTTAAGTAAGACATTTCTCTACAAAGTGTAGAGACTCGACTTCTTAATGAGAACCACGATCATGAATTGATAATTTGTGAACGTTCCGAAGATGCAATAAGCCTTATGGTTTTATCATCCGCGAATGATTTCGCTATGCAAATGAAGCAAGATTCTTTATTACGATGAAACGAATCAATTGCAGGCGAAGTGGATCATCATCGAGCATCTCATCAATTGATACGTTAGATCATTTCGAGCGTGTGATTCAGAATATTGCATCGGATAGGTATGAGATTGTTAAAGAAGCTCTTGAACAGGTGTGAATTCTATTGTTGTGATATTCTTAAGTACTATTATTCAAGGTTTACTACATGCTTTCTGTTGAGGAACAGAAAGAGTTAGTTGAGCAGCGTATATCATATGTGGTGAAGTATTTTGCTATGCAACTAAATTATATAACTAACGCTTACACTGTTAACTCAGGTCAAGGAAGAGACTTGCTCAAAATGATTTTCAACTTTTTCCATTCTGTAAGATTGCTACCTCTCTCTTAACTTACCACATTTGTTTAGCTTCATGCAAATAATAACCCGATGACTTACCTTAATGAAGAGTCTATGTCGGAGTGGCTATACGCTGCTATTAACTTATTAACAACGACAACAGCTATCGATCCTCCCGAGTTCGAAGAGGTTTGTCTAGTTCTCATGTTTTAATAATTCTTCTTGAAACTTGTAGGGAATTTCCATAAGAAAGTCGATTAATGTTACAATCCTTCGTATTTGTGGAAGAATGGAGCCCACTGTGTTCTTTGCAGCTTGCGCTCAATGTTTAACAAAAGCTCTTCTTCAAGATCCCAATGGCGAATCTGTGGGACTTTTCAGCAAGGTACGGTTTGCAAACATATTGTTCACTTATGTTGTTTCAGTGTATTTATAAATGGCAGGATAACATGACCAAGGCTCCTAAGCCATTAAGACTAAACACATTCCTCAAATATGCTAATGAGTTCTACAATAAGATTATTGATGTGAGTTACTCGTGTGAGTGCGTATCTGAGTTTTACAACGTTCCAGCAACCTCAAAACTTCTTCATCGACGAAGCTATTCGCTGCATGGATATGTGTATACAACAAGCAGTAATGATCATGGGAGATGTGGTCGAAAATACTTTATTATTCAATATTCATAGTTCTCTTTGATAGGTTCTCGACGCAGTGAGAAGAATGCCAAATCCACATGCTCATCTAGTGTCTTATGCCAATTGCTGTCTGCGACAATTTCAGAACGACAACGACAATTGGATGCCTCTCTTACCAGGAAAGGTATCTCATATTTTGTCAATTCCTGCTGACATTGTCAAGCTATTAAGGTTGCTCCTGAACTCCCTCAACCGAGAACTTCACGTTCAGAAAATGTTCCACATCGTAAAGAGGTCTTTGTGCTTGTTGATAACTGTATTCGTGATATGACATCGGTTTTTTTTCTACTCATTTCATAATAATTGATTTTTTTTCAGTTTGAACGACATATTTCAAGTCTTGCGAGCTACATAAAAGAGCACCCAGAAGAGCGTAATGCATTCCGTGATTATACCAACAGAGTATGCTCAAGCTCATCAATAAATTAGTTTCTCTCTCTCTTTAGAATGAATCTGCACGTGCGATCGGTATGGTTGTTGAAGGAAACCAACGTATAGCCGAGGCTGCTTTCCAACCTGTAAGATTGCGTTAGTTTCTCCAAATCATCCGGTAGTTGTAGGATTTGGTTGAAAGTGGCAAGGAAATGTATGAATTCACTCTGAAATTGGAGAATATGTTTGGCCAAAACTGGCAAACTAATCCAGTACATAAAACTAAAGATTTAAGTGATGAAGCTCTAACAAGGTATGAAACTACAGCGAATCTCGCATTCATTCTTATTTTTAGCTCGATTGTTGTTCCGAGTACACTAGCAGCTCGGACACCACCCCAAGAAACAAAAAAACTAACCAAAGCTAGACGTTCCGTCGACCCTGTTACTTTGAAAAGCATTCGATCACGATTAGCTGAGATCGAAGATAACTAACTGTAAATTGCACAGCATTTTGAAAATTCGTATAAGCATGGTAATATATTATCTGATCTCCTTTGAGCACAATTTCAAGTTATACTCGGTTTTTTACTGGTGAATGCAATGAAGTTTTATAATCGTTTTGTTCTGTTTCTGCAGTTGACAGGTTTGGACCTTGAGATAAATCGAAAATCCCATTTAGTATTCAACTATCATCTGCTTGTCTTTAGATGAACGAATGTATAGAAAAAAGAGATGTGGAGTCTTTGAAACAATTCTTCGCTGAGAAAGGGTTTGTTATTTGTTTTGATTGAACTGTTGTGAATTAGTAACGCATATGTTTTTGTATAAAATTTGTTCAGTTTAAGAACGGATGAGGCATTTGTGGGAAAAGTTGAGAGACAAGTTCGTCAAAGGGCACTAGATATTTCATGTCTGCCTGATTCAACATTCGAACAAAGCGCAAAGGAGCATTTTGTTTTCGTTGTTGATTTATGTAAACAAGGTATGTTCTTTGAGTTTCCGCTTAAAGTTTTCTGGTTAAGGATATATTACGAAATCTCTCTCTGTAACGATGCTACAAGATATATTTGAAGTTAGTAAAATTGAAAGATGTGAGCTTCTCTTCAATATTGTCGAGGAGAACATATCCCTCTTGAAGCAGGTAATCTTGCTTTTTCGATATAGTGTCATTGGTTTATCACTTTAAGCCTCCATTAGGCGCCTTGTGTCAAACCTCTGTACTCCGCATGTGTAACGATTTATTGAAAAGACTAAGTAGGACAGTTGATACTTCCTTCTGTGGTAGAATACTGTTCTTCCTGAGCAGGTAACGTACTTGCTTTATAGTCCAAACATAGCATCGTTAAGGTTTTTATCTCTGGCTGAAAAATCTGGAGTTAATTTGATGGGACACTTTAACACTCAAAATACTACTCAATTTGAAACGGTAAGAAACTATTCTCAGCGAATTATTTCATTTTATTGTTAAGAATGAAATTCAAGCAACTGATCTGATGCCAACGTTTACTGTCGTTGAAGAAGAACTAGAAATGGGCGAAATTAAAGAATCCAAGTGAGTTTCTTCGCTTCGTGTACCAAACTGAACTCCTGTGTTCGATATTGAGTTTTTGAGTTGAAAACATTTCCAACTCTGTTGATGAAATTTTTATTAACAATTTTCATGAAAAAACGTGAGATTTACTTGTTTTTTCATTGGGAATTACAAGTCGAAGACTTCTAAATCAGCTGTGCTAATTTGATAATCCTTCGTGAGTTTACAGAGATTCAGCTGTACCCGTCACTCAAGATTTGTATATAATGTTCTGGCAACTACAATCATATTTCTCCAATCCAGTTGATTGCTACGACAAGCAAAAATGGATTAAATTCCAAAAAGTACGATCCGGTAGAACAACCGTTAACTCTAGTTTTAGAACATAACTGAAGTACTGACTACGTTTTCGAATTATAAGTTGGAAAAAAATGGCGATGACGACAAGCATGGAAAGCATGTACGTCGCTAGTTCATTTTTACATTGTCTTATTTTTCATTTTAGCAGAACAAGGAGGTGATACCTGATGCTGAGATGTACTTCGCCAAGTATTTAACAAGCCCTAAGGTAAATCGAAATGATCTTCCATTCTAACATACCGTTACAGCTGCTACAATTGCAATTCAATGATTCTCAGTTCAGACGGTATTTCTTGATTCAATGTGTTATCATTTTTCAATATCTTCTCGCTGATGTGAAGATGAAGCAGTAAGTTTCACACGGGCTTCATGACATATTGAGTATTCTTTGTTCAGAAGAATTTTCTTTCTGTCTGAGGAACAGATTCGTTTTGTTAACGATAACACGGAGAAGTGCTACCGTTTAATGAAGGAAACTCATCCTAAAGGATCATCTTTCGTTGATAGTGTCAAGGTTTGTTCTTCATTGCTATCGGTTTGTTTATGTACCCTTGATTTAGGCAATCCTACAACGAGAAAAAGAATGGTCTGCTTGGAAAAATGCAGGATGCTTAGATATGGAGACCTTAGTCGATAAACAGCCAATGCAGTTGTACAGAAAGTATGTGTCTCTTTTGCCTCCCTCAATACGAATTTTCATCTGCAGACGACCTCGAATTGGGTTTGATAGTAATACTATTGACTTGGGAAGTAATGAATTGAATAAGCTGTGGAACATAGAGCCGGATTTGCTGAAAGCGTGTAGTTCGACAAAGAGGTTTTCCCGCTTATGAAATTGAAAGTTTCAAACTTTTTTTAGAAAGTTTACGCCAGAATTGGAAAAATTTCTCCGAGATCCTCTTGATGAACTGGATCCTGAACAACAAGTAGAAGAGGAGTACAAGTACGTTCTCCCTGTATTGAAAGCTAAACCTCTTTTCATTCAGATCTATCAACAATCCTTCTTATGTTTGGAAAGCTTGTCGCTATCTATTATCTGAAAGTTCTCAATATTTTAATTGCACAGCAGGTTCTCCTACTACCAATATTAAGGTTTTCCTGGAGAAAACAATGATTGACACTGCAAAGAAAATGACTGTAAGTTGAAGAAACAATTAAAGATGCATCAGACTGATATGCTTTTCAAGGCGTTCAAAAACGAGTTAGTTGAAAGAGAGGAACGCGAAGCGAGGAAACTAGCCGAACAGTCAATGCGTAAAAAAGTTAAAACAGAAGGGTAATTGAATTATTTCTTGTCGTGACTTCATTCAATTAGTTTAGTTCGTGCTCTCCTGGTCCTGATCATGAAATTTCAATGGAAACTCGGACGAAACTGGCAGTCTTGTTCAAAGAGAAAACAGATGAATTGATATCTTGCTTGGATCCGTCATTCAAGAAAAAAGAAGAAGAAGATGTGAGATCTCGATTATCAGAAAATTTTTTATAAATGCTTGATTTAAGGTTGGTCAAACCATTCTTGCTCTTCTCAATCGCTGGATTGGCCGTAATGAAAATTCCCTTCGAAAACTTAGAAATGCGTTGTTGATAGGAGAGCTGTTAACAGCAGAAGTAGTTGAAGCTCTCAAAGCTAATTGATACTCAAGATTTTTGTTGTTTTCAATTCATACGGGGATTTTCGTAAACATTTTGATTAAATATTGCTTTTTTGTTATTATTATCGCTCTCTAATGGTCAGTCTGCCATTTTGATTACTTTTCTCGTTTTTTCCTATTCTGTACAGTATCGAATTGGTTTTCAGATGTCGTTTTTCCTGTCGAAAAAAGATTTGAAACTTAAGAGTGAAAAGAATAAGCAAGCACTCAAGAGGGTATGTTTCGTTCAAGCTTCTTGATCATTTTGAATTACTACAGAAACAGAGACAGGGAAAAGATGCTACTGACAATTCAGGAGAATCTCGCAAAAAACGGATATTGGTTGAAACTGTAGTTGAATCAGATGAAGAGTATTCTGATGGAAATAAGAGCGCACCTGAAGGGAGCGATGATGAATATGATAATGTAGAAGAAAGAGAATTCAGAGAAGCCAAAGAATTGCTTGCAAAACTAGAGGTTAGTAGTTCAGTTGTCAGGGTCACATGTTCCGCTGCTACCATTTAAGAAAAACAAGAAAGATGATGAAGACATCGGTGATTTACTGAAAGAAGATGCAGCCCAACGTGCTGGAACGCTTAGAGTCAGTTTAGCAAGTTTAGCAGAATTAAGGGATGAGGAGGAAACTAGTTACAGAGCTCATAGGTTGGTGTCTTTTCAATTCTTAGCCATAAAATTTGTTGAAGGTTTATTTATTTGTGAATATGAATCATTTCAGATTTACACCCCTGTGTGTAGCCATTTCACCATGTTCTAAGTTTATACTGAGTAGTGGGAAAGAATCGAGTATTGTCAAATGTTCGCTTTTATTGTCAACTAAAGAATGCCCCCTACCTTTTTGCAGACAGTCTGACAGAGAAGAAGGTTGTAGGAGTTATTAAACGAACGAAAAAAGGGGACAGTGAACAACACGCTCACTACAGTCACATCTTTGCTGTGGTTATTTCACCTGATGGACGATTCATAGCTAGTGGTGGAGCTGACTGTCTAGTGAAGGTTTTTGCTTTGGTTTGTGTTATCCATTTTATTGAGGTTTTCAGGTATGGGATTTCAAAACTCTGCAGTTCCTACACGAGTTCAAAGGGCATACTGCGCCTATCATGTCCCTCTGTTTCCAAGGACGAACAAATTGTTTATTCAGCGGTGGTAAAGATAGAGCTCTAAGGGTATATCTTCTAAAGCCCTTTCACCATTGATATAATTCTTCAAGGTTTGGGATCTTGATCAAATGGGCCTAGTAGACACTTTGTTTGGACATTCGGATTCTGTTCAATCGATGAGTGCATTGAATAAAGCCAGAGTTGTAACTGCTGGTGCTCAAGATAGATCTTGTAGGCTATGGAAAATTGAGGATGAGAGTCACTTAGTAAGCTCCATACGTACTTCTCATAATATGACTGTATAATGTATAGATTTTCAATGCCAGTGCAAAACATTGTGTTAGCATGGACTGTGTGGCAATGGTCAACGATGAAATATTTGTGTCTGGATCTTCGTCAGGGTGAGCTTTACCATAACACAATTTTCTTTGAGTGGATGTTACAAATGCGAACAATTCAACGAATTTCTTTGTTTTTTGAATCATATGAAAGCAGACATCTTTTTTGTTTTATTTTAAAACATTGTAAAAACGTCTTTTTGCGTCGCAAGCCCGCTCATAATGGCTATAATAAGTGAACGAAGTGAGAGGGTGAGAGAGAGAAGAAAAAAAAAGAAGGAACGAAAGAATGAATCATCGATTCTCTCTTATCAATTGGGCATTTCATTCATGACTACTTCTCTCACTCCTCTATTTACTTCTCCCACTAACAGTTTTACATTTTACATTGTCTTCCCACAATTGCTTAAACTGTTCGACCAAACGATTTTCCCTCTTCATTCTTCTCTCCTGCAGGGCCTATCTCTCTTTTATTTCATCTCTATTGCTCTTCTTCCTGCTCCTTTCTTTGTTCTCGCGTTCTGTCTCCTATGGCTGTTTTTGTCAATTTCTTGATCTCCGAGAAAAGCTCATGTATATGATCTCTATCTTTCCCTCACTGCCTCTCTCTTCTCATTCGTGGCTATGCTAGGCCTCCCTCTTTCTCTAACTTGATCTCCTCATGCGTCTGTCTCCTTCAGGACCAGTTTCACAGCACTTTTTTCTCTTCCGCTCTTTTCTTCCCTCACCAATTGTCCTGATCATGTTTGTTCAGTAGACTGGGCAAGTCATCCACATTGCTGAGCTCTTTGATATTTTCATCAAAAGAAGAGACGATGAGTCTCTTCCTTTTTCCGTATATTCCCTTTGGAACTTCCTATGTTTTCATCTCTGTCCACAGACAGTCTTTTTTCCTATTTTCCACAACTTCCATAAGCCCTCTTTTCGCATTATTGAAATTGAAAGTGACGTTTCTGTTTTGGAACGATTAAAGTCGTCTATTCCGCTTGTACTGCTCTTTGATTGTGCGTGTTGCAATTGATAAGGACTCCCCTTGTATGCAGCCTATATAAACTTTCCTCTACTTTGATTTCTGCTTTTTTCATTATTTCAGTTTGTATAAAATTTCGTTGTTTTTTTCAGAGTTGTTAGCTTATGGACATTGAGGAGGAAAAAGCCAGTTGCTGTACGTGAAGATGCGCATGGCTTGCGTGAAACAGGAGAGCCTCGATGGATAGTTTCTATCGCAGCAGTTCCTTATTCAGGTAGTTTCAATTCCTGTTTATTTTCTCGATTTGGGATAACCGTAATGACGCTATTTGTTTCCAGATTTTTTTGCTACCGGCTCAGATGACGGTCTTCTTAAATTTTGGAAAATAAGTGAAGATCAAAGACGTATTATTCAGGTGTATGAGTATAGCATTGTGAGTTGTTTGATTATTGATCATTGATCCGCATTTGGTTGTAGGATGGATTTATTAATAGTATTGTTTTCTCCACGAATGGAAGACATGTTTGTGTCGGCGCTGGTCAAGAGCATCGCGAAGGCCGGTGGTGGGTATGTTTAGCGGAAATAGGAACGGTTCAAGCTATGGTTTTTCATCCTTTTCAGGTAAATAAGGAAGCCAGAAATCAGGTTGTTGTTCTGCCCATACATTACGGAAATGACGAAGAAGAGACAAAAGAAGTGGAGGAGAGAGCCTTCGAATCAGGATCTGATGACGAAAGTGACGAAAACGAGGAAAACCAGGAGAGCGGAAAGTAGGAGGAGTCCAGCTAAAACGAAAATATGATTAATTCAGTGATTGGTGACCGTTTGCGCACATAGTACTAATTTTAAAAAAAACATTTGTGAAGTTGTTGTTAATTGTTACGAATTGTTTATTGTTGTTGACTTGTCGTTATCTTGTTATGAAGTTCTATGATCATACCTATGACATCATTCACGGGTTTCATATGCCCAGTGCTTTATCTGTCTCATTCACTCGGTTTTCAATATATCATCACATTTTCATTGTAGGAATCCAGCGATGGAACCGAACACGTTGCTTGTACATGGTTTGCCAATCCAACCTCAGTTTGACTCTCATTTTGTTTTTTTCAGTCGTTGGCGCCAAAAGTCTTTATCTAAAGAATCACAGTTCTATTGAAGCTTTGGCAACAATCACCTTACAGGTGAATATCGATTTTTGATAGATTCCACAACAGCTTCTTCCAGGGTAAGGGCTCTACCAAAAGCCGTGTGCAAACAGAGATTGTTCAAACTAATGGCGAAGTGAAATGGGACGAACATTGCGAATTGTGAGTTTTTGATGTTTTCCACCTCACATATTCAAACATTTTTTGTAGTAAATTAACGGATAAATCAACTACACTTGTTGTTGCCGTACAACACAAAGCGAAACTCGGAAGCCCAGGTAAGGGTGTCAATTAGATGAATGCTCAAGAATCACGTTTTGCAGATTTGATTGGAGCATGTGAAATCCCGTTGGAGCAATATCGTTTAGTCACTAAACCTACTTGGTTTTTGCTTAAGAAAAAGAAAAATGATGCGAAATACAGGTTTTGAGTCCCTCCGATCATGCTCAAACTATCATTTCCCTTATTTCTAGAGGAGAGGTTCAAATCCAGCTTCAGTTCACGTACGAGAAATCTAATATGTCAGTTTCTAACCTATCGTTGAACAAGATCGAAAAAGGTTCGCTCATCACTCTATCACTTACTTAATCTCCCTATTCTTAGAAGATATGAGTGTCCTAAGTAGAATGAGAAGGAAGATCAAGAAAGCAAAGCAAAAAACCAGTGATGATACAAGCTCCATCGCGAGTGGATTCAGTATGTATAGCACACACAGCACAAAAAGCAAGAGTAGTTTCTTCAAAGGTCTCAGCAAAAGTTTTGGGGGAGGAAATAAGTGAGTTTTACTATAAGTACCCATTCATATGAAAATTATTCAGATCAACTACCTTGCCTGTAGAAGCCTCTCCAGCATCGAATAGTTACCAAGAACGGGAAGCTGAAGATAACTTTGATGCACCGCAGTTTGTATCTTCATCCCCATATTACAAGTAATCAATGAATTATATTGTATCATTACAAGCAACTTCAGCTCACGACCACTCTCTGCTACGAGCGCAGCGAACGTTTCGAATAATGGTTCATCCCTCTCTCTTGCTCTTCAGGCTGCTCCAGTCGCTCACTCCACACCTATGTACAGTTCCATGTCTCCATCGGTAAAAATTATCATAGTTCTGTTAAACGGGAAGTCATTGCAGCTTTCCAAAGCAGGATCATTTATTAGAGGTAACAGCATAAGAAGCAATGCTTCTTCCGGTTTTGGCTCTGGAAAACAGAATAATTTGGTATGTTTCCACATCACCTCTCATCTATTTATGAATGGGATATTTCAGAAAAATTTGCGTGATGGAGACAATTCTCTATCTCAACGAGATCTCATTGCTGAACTAGATAGTTTAAAACTGGAACTACAAGTGAAAGAAAGCCAGCTTAGAGAATTACAAGAATATTTAGACGTGATTGTGAGTTTATTGTTGTTCAAGATGGGAAAAACAAATGCGTTTGCACAAAAAATGATAACCGTTATACCGATTTTGGCACAGCGAAAAACAACCGCTCTAACCTTTCGCTTGTTTGAAATAAGAATTTGAAACCATGTGATGAAGCGTCCTTTCCATATTTTGATTTCAAGTTCAATTCAACTGAGTATTTGCGCAAATTGTTTTCAATGTTACTTACAGTTGGTTTGTTAATTTTTTATCTTTTTAGTTATCGCGGGCGTTAACCGAATGTCCCGGTATCCTTAAGGGGCCGGTCCTTCAACAGAAATCAAAAAATCGTTTCTTCAACTAATTAATGTTATTTTTCTAAGCTTTACATATTGTATATATTTACATAAGACTCACTGTTTTAGTCAATTTCCCAGTGTCAACTTAACTAATGTGATCTTGTCTTGCTCACCATGCCCATATACGTAAACAATTTCGAATGATCAGGGTCAGAATTATAGTCCGACTAGCCGAATTCGTTAGGATTCTATATTTTTGTTTTTTTATGAAATAAACATACTATTAATAAACTTATGTTTTTCATGAATTTTTCAATTATCACATAGAACCCTCAGAACCTGATGCGTTGCTATTGGTCAGGAAACAATTTCGGAAATGTATAGAAAATAACCAGCCATCATCGTGTGGCCGAATGGTCTAGGGGTATGATTCTCGCTTTGGGTGCGAGAGGTCCCGGGTTCAAATCCCGGTTCGGCCCAAACTTTTGTATATTCTCGCTATTTTTAAAAAGGATTCAGCTGAAAGCAGGCTTAGACTGACAACACAAGCAAGTCATACAAAATCAAACTTCAAAACAATTATACGCATGTCAAATTGAAAACAATACTGTAGAAAGTTCATCTTGTTTTTCTTTTATTTATACATTCTGCAACAGTGCAGCAAATATACAGCAGTAATTTCATACTTGTGTCCATATATTTCAAACATTGAATGATTTCTCAACAATCGTTAAGGCTCGAGGGAGACTATGGAGCAATATTACAAGTCTGGCCGACATGATAGGGTTAGATGAAGAATGAATTTCCGCCGTGAGAATGAAAACAGTGGTCGCAGTATTAATCTTCATGGAACATCTTTCTGAATTCAAATTGTTCATTAAGGTTCTGAGCTTAAATTAATTTAGTGAATTACAGGATGAACTTACAAGCATATCATCTCTCAGTATCATCAGATGATTCAAGCCAGTTATTCGCAGTATCGAAAGTGGAGAGCAGGGATGCAGACCAGAGTAGCTTTTCTATCTTCTACATATTTATTATCAATGCACATTTAAGAGCCGCAATCAGGAAAGTTCTTAGGATTGTATAAGAGTAGATCTATCGAAGCTGAGTTATATGCTCATCCCACAGTTCGTCGTTTGATTGTGGAAATGCATGTTGTGTTCGACGAAGCTCGTAGAAAAAGGCAAATCAGTGGAAAGTTTAATTCAGACAAGTATTGAGAGTCACACTAAATGGAAAACGTACTCTTCATTTCCAGTACACTTTCTCTTTCTCGGAACTATCGGTCAATATTGAGAGGAGCTGCTGATGAGAACAATCCTGATGATACCTACATCCGTGATTTCACTTTGTGGAGTTTGTTCGAGACCATGTTTCTGAAAGGAGGAGGTATGTTAAACTCGTACTACAGCGCCCAATGCTCCTTTGTTTCAGATACGGCGATTGCTTACGATTTGATTCTGTGGGCTCATGATACCTTCACTTTTGTTGATGCACATGTATCTACTGTTTCCGAAGAAATATCTGTGGGTATTGACGCAGGACATGGTTCTTTCTGGAAAGCAGTATGCACTGAATTATGCTTATTCTGTAAAGTGTTTCAATTTTTAGGCTGCTTTATGTCTGGTCGCACTCAAGTTCGATGATTGCATTAGACTATTAGAATACCTGAGATCAGATCGTTCTGCTTGTCTCTTGATGGCTCATCTTGACAAATTCAATCAAGAGTGGCTTCTAGATGTTTCAAAGGTTCTAGATATTTGAATTCTCATCTGATTTTTTTCTTCAAGAAAACTCAATTTGAAACATGGAAGAAGAATTTGTTAAATGACCTAAATGCCAAGGCTTTCGAAGAGAACAGAAACATCAGTTTCTTATGCAGGAGCTTATGTGGAGATGAAACAGTAACCAAGCGAACACTTTTCTAACTTTCTTGTTTTTTTCTCCAGGTTTTGAGTCGTTATGCGGGAAGGATTGTAGACAATTGGTGGGAATTGATGCCGTTGTACGTCTTTGCCAAGTATGCAACAGTGTCATATAACTCTCTCGGGCCTATTGCAGAAGTTTGTTTGTTTTCTCTATTCATGACTTGATGGCTTAATCCTAGGAGTGTCGCAGTTTCTTCGAAGATCTTGATGATAATGTAGAGTTCGATCCATTCATGGCTATCTTCCATTTGGGTGATGTCACGATCTTGCAGGTATATACCCGTGTTTGTTTTAAAGTGCTAAATTAGGACCATATCTGTAGAATATGATAACTAACCCTTGGCTGAGTATTCATTTGGTTGAAACAATGTATTCAAGTGATGACTACGACCAACCAATACAAGAACTCCGTAATTGTTTATTGTTAAAATATGGCTCCAGCTTGGTCACTTTCAGCAGGTTTTATTCAAAATATTATCTAGGTTTGACTCTTCTTTGCAGCTTGTGGGAAATCGGGTTCTCTTACCTGCTGGAATGCGGTGCGGAAGGAAAGCTTAGAATTGAAAGTCACATCTTGCATATGAATATTGACGACGAAGATAAAGCTAATAAGGTGATGAGTGGAAATATATTTCTCCAAACGTTCTTATTCTTTCCATTTTTCAGCTTCTCCGAATCTGTGTAGACAATGATTTAGAAGAATCTCGAAACTGTGTTATAAACACCTTAACCTTTAGGTTTTTTTTCGAAAATTTCCTCATGATTCTATTTTTCTCAGACACTTACGAGCCGGAAATTGGGGATCAGCTCTGAGTTGGGCTTTGAGAGGAGGAAAGAGAAAAACCCTGGACACAGCTGTTCATCAGTATGTCAAACTTTTATTTCTTCAAAAGTTATCACTTTTATAGAATTGTTTGGAATGCCTCCGTCGTGGAAGTGTCCCGTCTGGGCATGTTAGGCCACTTGAACAAGCTTGTGCTTCTGTCACCATCTTTGTCATTTTTATACGGTTACTACCGTTTCCACAAAGCTTTACAAAGTGGAAATATTGAGTTGGCTACTCAGGTAAGACATTATTTTGAAAATCAAGTACCGTAACTTGTCTAGGTGCTTGTCCCTCTGGTACTGTCTGCCGATGTTCCAACTTCTTTCCATAAAGTATTATTCAACCACTTAACTTTCATACTAGGAGAAATCCATGACGTGTGTTCTTGAAGGGAAAAATTGTAAAATTACTTCATTGTTACAGAGAGTCTCCATATCAAAAGAAACGATCGTTCAATTGATTACCTTCTTTAAACGATATAAGTGTAGTTCTGATATGTTATCAGAAGAAAATGACTTGGAAGAGCAAACGGTGAGACAATGAATACAAGCAGTTTTTTTTCAAAGCTATGCTTTCAGATGACAAACATCCAACGCTTATTACTATTGCGACTAGCAAAAGCTAATGTGCTTGGGGAATAAGAGATTTTGCTTTATGTTCTCTTTGATGTATCTCCTGGTTAACAACCTACTACGAAACGTGTACTTTGGAACAATTTCAATTATAAATTATGACATTCTATTGTTCTTTTCCATATTTGGCGTGATAATCGCTTGTGTACTTCTGAGCATTTCTTTTGAAAGAGTGACGGACGATGCCTCTTAGTATTTTGGATAATTTTTCCTAATCCTTCAAGAATTATATCAGCGTTTAGTGATTTTCTTTTTGCGCTTGTATCGTTTAGAGGAAGTTCGATTTCCCAATGATAGTTTCACGATATCTTATCTGATATCTTATCGAAAGTACTAAACTGATGAAAAAATAATGTAAGTGACGATAATTTCATATCGTTGAGCTGATTGCTCGAGCCATTTGTTATGTTTTAATAAAGCTTTTGCTTCTCCTTTCTCCTTTGATTCAAGTTATAGTCACTGCAATACTTGCAAATGAATTTCGCAAAAATACATCATACACATTTAGGATGCTCTCTAGAAGTTTGGTTGGCGTGTCTCGTTTGGGTACAAGATTTGGAAGATCACTTCATAACTATTGTGTCGATCGTAAGCATTGTTCACTTTCAATTCATCGCTAATTTCTTCAGCTTCCATCGGTCTCTCTCCTGATGTTGTCGAGATGCAAAAAGTTGCGAGAGACTTCGCCATGAAGGAAATGTATCCGAAAATGTATGAATGGGATAGAGATGTTAGATTGTAGTTAGATACTTCTCTAATCTCTCTCGCTCAGGAACATCTTCCTTTGGATGTATTGAAAAAAGCCGGAGAATTAGGATTTGGAGGAATTTATACCCGCGATGATATCGGTGGATCAGGCTTATCTCGCCTTCATGCTTCTGTAATTTTTGAGCAGTTGGCAATAGGATGTACTTCAACTGCTGCTTACATGAGTATTCATAACATGTAAGGTTCTCGAATTTCGAATGTTCTAATACCGATTTAGGTGTGCTTGGATGATAGATGTTTTCGGAAATGAGGAACAACGTCAGAAATATGTTCCATCCATGTGCACTTTCGAGGACTTAGGGTCTTACTGTCTGACCGAACCCGATGCCGGTTAGGAAAACTTTCTACTGGTACTTGTACAACAAACTGTTTTCACAGGATCTGATGCTGCTAGTTTACGATGCACGGCCAAGCGAGTAGGAGATTATTATGTTGTGAACGGTTCAAAGGCTTTTATCAGTGGAGCAGGAGATACAAAAAAGTTCGTTTTTATTGAAAAGTTATCGCAGTGATTACGAGTTACAGTTATCTTGTAATGATGAGACACGAAGGACAAGCTGGAGCCAAAGGAATTTTCTGTTTATTAGTAGAAGATGGAACCGAAGGGTTCACTTTGGGGAAAAAAGAGCACAAGTTTGGATGGTGTACTCAGCCAACTAGAATTATTAGCTTCGAGGACTGTAAGGTATGACTTGAATCGAGAGCCTTGAGAATATGAAGCTTTCTTATCTGTTTTAGATTCCTGTAGCCAACCAGATCGGAGGAGACAATGAAGGCTTTTCTATTGCCATGACTGCCATAAATGGCGGAAGAATTAATGTAGCGAGTTGTTCTCTGGGTGCAGCTCAGCAGAGTTTTGACTTGGCTGTTGATCACCTGAAAGTTCGTAAGGCCTTTGGCAAAACTCTGTCCGATTTCCAATGGAATCAGTTCAAGCTGGCAGAGCTTGCCACTAAACTGTACACCAGCAGGTGAGAGACTAAGTTTTAAAAGAAATAAGATTGAGTTTGAGGCTTCTTGTTCGTGACGCAGCAACTCATCTGGATAACAACACAGTACATAAGACTGCTTTGTGTGCCATGGCCAAGCTACATGGAACAGATAACTGCTTTGAGGTTGGATCTCATGTAATTCTGATCAACCATGATCGTTGAAGGTTATTAATGGAGCTATGCAAATGTTCGGTGGTTATGGATTGCTCAAGGATTATCCAATTCAACAGTATATTCGAGATGCCAGAGTTTGTTTTTATTTTTTATTTTCTTGTACCAAATGTTTTTTAGACTCATCAAGTGATTGAAGGAACCAATGAAATGATGAGACTTATAATAGGTCGGGATGTTCTTACAAATATGACAGCCTTGAGTCAATAAACCACAAGAAGTACAATCTTTAGTTCAATATTAGGAGTCTGGTTCAGACACGTGATAAAAAGCCTATCCTAACGTTTGAAACATTTCATATTAAGTGCCATCACATTCTGAGAAAGATATTTGATATATCGCTAGGTTGTTATATTTTTTTTACAAAGATTTATAAAATTTTCTTTTCTTGTTCCTCAATAAAACGCTATCTGATTATTCTTTTTGTCCTGGATCATCAAGACTACCAACGAAATACCAAATGACTTAGCTCATTTGGTTTATTCAAACACAACAGCCCTCCTCTTTCCCTTGCCTTGTTTCACAGGCCCAGAGAGTGCGAAACATTGAAGTGAAAAAAGAGAGTTAGAAGAATGGAATTGCGCGAAGTAGACTCAGTGAAGGAGAGTAGTATTCCAGCGTTATATTGATTTATAGTGCATATTCATACGCCTTAATGCTGAAAAGAAATGCATACGACATTCATCGATTTTCATCCAATTTCAACTCTCCTTTTCCACTTCTTTAGATAAGATGATCATAGACACAGAAGTGTTTTGAAAGAGTATAGTTACACATGATATTCAGTTTAAGTGGTTGTTCTTTGGAGTCTCCGTAAGGTCAATCAGAGAATACCGCACCACATGTGTGTTTATGTGTGCTTAATGTTGAAAATTACGTCCTTTTGTAAAAATATTTCAAACTTTGCTCTTGCCCTTCTTTTAAATAATTCAATTGCTCTTCTCTCAAATCAGTTCCTGCCAAAATGAATCAATAGCCCAACATTAACATATAAAGTAGAACTTGTCAGTGCGTGTTCACGTACAGTCATTACCGCCCGTTGAAAAGTTCGAATGATTTTTCATTTCTTCTCTAGATGATGCACTGCGCGGTTGATGTATGTGTTCCTTATCTCTTCCAGTCTATTTACTCTAACTTTCTTGAGTTCCTTCGAGATGTTCAGTTATTCCACAACTTTTTGAAAAACTGATTGTTCTTTGGATTCAACAATCGTTTTAAAACCTAAAGAACGATCAGATGGATATGAGTGCATAAGAGAAACAACTGCTTTCGCTCCACCCATTTCTTTAGTTTTGTTTTCTGTGTTGAGGAAAGATATGGACTTCCTTGAGCTGCTCTCTCAGCTTCACACTGCTTTTTCAGCTTTCGATTTCTTTCTCTCCCTTTTTCTGAGTTTTTCATTTTCGTTTATCGCGAATGTTTAAGACAGCACGCTTGTGGATTGTAACGTAGTGTTCCAAACAAGTGTTTCTTTTCTATGTTAAAATAAAGTTACTTATCGATAGCTCTATTGAACCGTGGTGATGATTGAAAGGTTTTTTTATCTCTCGGACTTCATTAAGTACGCGTTCCCCTATCTTTATGTGGAAATTGTAAAACATTATTTTTTTTCGATATGAGCTGTTTGATAAAATTGATTTCTCTCATTCCAGTCTACGTTTAGAAACATGTTCAACTTTCTCCATAAATTGTTTCGAACAATGGAGGTTTCTGTTTTTTTCAAACTTGCTGTCCACGTGGCAAATCCCTGCTGCTCCATGGTTAATTCGAACTGTTGCATGTTCTTTTCCTGTTGTGCACCTATTCTTAACATTACTCCCAATTGTTTTTATCAAGCTTTTGTTACATCTAATGGTCTGATCTTCCACTATCTATCTGCAGATGACACGATATATGGCCGCTTGATACGAAACTACTTTTTCATCCATTTTTGTTTATTTTGTCTATTCTGGCAGTGCTAGAGTCGCTCGGAAACCGCCAATTCCGGCTTGTTGCATCTCATTTTCATTCGGTTTGTGGAGAATACACACTATTCAAAACGCTTGAAAATTGAATCAACTGACCACACACTGTTGAGCCATGCTGATGTCGTCGGCTCTGAACTTTTCGTTTTTTGCTCCATCTTATATTTGTTTCAAGTTGTTGAATTTTCCGCTAAGCTCAAATCATTTGTTTCAAATTGAATGTTTCTTCTCTCAATCTTTCTGATTGATACTTGGATTTTTCTGTTGCAGATTATGCTCTCTCGCCTCTCATCCAGGACCTTGTCCACATCCTCAGTTTCCAGGTGAGCTAGATTTTTGCATCTTTGCTTTCTTATTCTATTTTTATCTGATAATTTATCTAAATCTAAATATTACAGACTTTCCTCCATTTTCATAGATAAGTATGAAATTGCTTATCCTATTGCTGGAAAGCAGCCTCAGATTGTTGCCTTGAAGGATGCCTTCAAACAAATCAAATCTGGTAAATTGTTCTGCTAGATTGGAAATCATGCTAGATTTTAAGGTGATAACATCTTTGTACATGGAATCGCTGCTACACCTACCCCTCTCTTGAAAGTTAGTTAAACAGAAACATATGAAACTGTAATTTTCTGCTAAAAATATTTTTCTTAGGGTCTGTGTAATTATGCTACTGAAAATGATGTCACTGGTTTGAAGTTACACCATCTTCATTTGGAAGGACCTGTTCCCTGGACTGAGGAAGGAGTGAATAGTTCGTTTTTTGTCAAGTTATCTTCCTATTTGGCTTTTCAGAGAGAATCCGATCTAATTCTCTGTTCACTGGAGCTAATCTTAGAGCTTCTGTCAACAATGGAATCGCCGATTTCAACTCTTGCTTTCTTCAAGAAGTTCCAATGCTTTTCCGTAAAGGAGCTATCAAGTTGAATGTTGCCCTCATTCAGGTGTTGTCTTTCTGATTCAGATTTATAAGTTTTATGTTGTTTTGCAGGTTTCTCCTCCTGATGCTAACGGCTATTGTTCTTTAGGAACATCTATTGATGCTGCCAGAGCTGCTGTCACCAATGCTGACTTCATCATTGGTAAGCAGTTAATCTCTCAATCTCAGTACCATTTCACAACAATATAGCCATGTCAAATAGTAATATGCCACGTACTTTCGGAGATGGTGTCATCCATTCTTCTCACATTGATGTTCTTGTCGAAGACAACACCCATGAGTTGCATGAACGTCATCTTACAACTCAGAATGATCAAGCATGTTTCTGTAGTTTATATTTCACAAACTTATAATATTTGTAGGAACGTAAAATCGGACAAATTATTGCTGAAAACCTTGTAGACAACGGAGCTACCCTCCAAATGGGAATAGGAGCAGTACCTGATGCTGCTCTTTCAGCTTTGAAAAATCATAAAGATCTTGGAATCCACACTGAAATGTTCTCTGATGGTGTATTGGATCTCATTGAATGCAATGCTATCACTAATAGCAAGAAGGTATTATTCATGTTGGTACATCTGCTCACTCCAGTTTTCTTTCTTAGACTATCCATCCCGGAAAGCTCGTGGTTTCCTTCGTTTACGGCTCCACCAAGCTTTACAAATATCTACATGATAACCCATTGATCCACTTTGGAGATGTTCAATGGCACGTTTTCTTAGAAATAAAAAATCAGTTAATCTACTTTTTAGGGTTAATGATCCAGCTTTCATTCGTCAAAATCCTAAAGTAACGGCCATTAACTCTGCTGTTGAAATTGATCTCACTGGGCAAGGTAATTCACTGAATGGTGTACAATCAAGCTCTTCTTCAATTAGTTGTCTCTGACTCTGTCGGTAAACGTTTCTTGTCTGGCTTCGGAGGACAAGTCGATTTCATTCGAGGAGCTGGCATTGCTGATGATGGGCTTGGCAAGCCAATTATTGCTCTACCCTCCATCTCCAAGAAAGGACAAAGTAAGATTGTGCCATTTATAAATGAGGTGAGAATAAAGGGTTTATCTTCCAACTGGCCAGTATTTAAGGGAGCCGGAGTTGTTACCACTCGTTCTCATGTTCATTATGTTGTTACTGAGTTTGGAATTGCTCAACTTTGGGGTAAGAATATGAGACAAAGAGCATATGAGCTGATAAAGGTAACATTTTCTCGTTCACTATGCAGGTTAAACATTCATTAATAGATTGCCCACCCAAGTCAGAGGGAATCTCTGGAGAAGGCCGCTTTTGCTAGATTGAAGGTAGCGTTCCCGTTTTTGTCAGTTTCAAACTTCAAAGTTACAGGTTATGCCATCTGCTGATTAATTATGTACATTATGTTTTCCAAAAAGTGCGGGCAATGAACACAAACCAAATTTTTTTAAGGAAAGACGAGTGTTTGTTTTCTTTCTTTGTTTTTTAACCAATTTGTTTCTCTTCTCTTTTGGCTCGGATCTTGCCAAGAGACACATTTTCGTTTTGCTCAAATGTCTTTAAGAGTATTCTCGTCTTCTCAATAAATAGATTCTATTTATCATTCTTTTGTTAAAATTGGATATGTTTTTACAGAAATCCAACTGCTAAAGTTAGAGAAAACAGAAATTTACTGTTATTGGTTATCGTCTGATTGTTCAGGTCGACCTTCCTAACCATAGTATGTTAACAGACAAGATAGTGTTAACAGGGAAATACTATATAAACCAAAGAGACAAATTAGACAAGAAAAGAAATTCTTTGATCGATTGTACCATGAACGGAGTAGAAACATCGTCACTTTCTTAGCCACTGTGTAGTCCGATCCGATGGTGTGTTCTGTTTATTTTCCGGATCTTCATACCTTATATTAAGTTGAAAAATCAATTGTCGCCTAGATGTTTTTGAAAGTTGAGATTGTGAAGTCACATCAGAGGAAAGCGTCTCCTTTATCGTTTAGTACGCACGCTTCTTAAGTCTTTTTATCTTATGCTTGTAACTGACTTTTATATTTCATTGAAATGTATTTGATTGTCTGTTATTCTTGAAAAATCAAACACTTGGGAAAGTTGCCAGTTTCAGTGCAGCTCCACAACCTCCGCTACAGTCATATTTACTTTGAACTATTATCTACAACTAACTACTTGTTTTTCATATGATTCTTGGTGGACGGTAACGATTGTTCCCTATTCCGTATCCACAGAAACACTCAAAATTATATTCTCCAGATTAATACCTCTTTCATTCCTGACACTGTTGAACGAATACTTTTTTGTGCAATTCCAACGTCTCTCCTTATCAAATCATCTTCGTCTGGCTTTAGTTTATAAAATAAATATTTTAATTCTTTTTCTTCACCTTCCATTTCTTCTTATCTGAAACATATATCTTACTCTACAATCATCCATGAAATATACGTGAGCTTACTACAAATGTACGAGGACAATTTTACATTTTTTCACACGCGAACGTGCTGAGCGGTTGTTGGTTTCAAATCACTGATCTTGTTGATACCAGCGTTGCATTGTTTGGCTCTTTACAACTTCAGACTCGAATGTAACTCAAAATCATTTTCCTTCTATATATCTTTCCAATTCGTCACGTTTCTTATCAATCTACATGAATTATCCCGGATGTCCTGTAATTTTTTCTTTTATCTTTAGTGTGAATGATCGTCTCTGTTACTTTTTAACTCATTATATATCTGCCGTATCATCATATAAAAACTGTTCAAAATTTTCAACTCTAAGCTCCGCTTTCTTATCAATCCTTGAACCAGAGAAGTCGGCTTTGTCTTGCTCGGTTATCATAAGCTTTCACCGTCACATGGTCAACCTAATAACTTGTATACATTTCGATTTTGGTAAGATCTTTTATGAAAGTACAAAAATAATAAGGACTAGAAAAGAACTGAGTGTTATGTCAGCGGTTGTGAGAGAGAAGGTTTTGAAATTTGAATCTCTTCTATGTTGAACTTATCAAACTTTTTAAAATCATTAGTCTTCTTTCAAGTTCCTTCTTATGACTACATAATTTATAGTCGTTGCCCGGTGTACTTGTTATCTTTGTTCTTCCGATGTTTAAATATTTCAGATTCTCTTTCCAAGCTATTTATCTTTACCTGATTTAAGTCTTATCTACTTCCGACTCCATTTTCTTGCTACCGGCTTGCTATGTTCCGTAAAGCCTGTATGCCTTCATCTTATCAAGAAGTCCTTGTATTCCCAAGTATAAATCTTAGTGATAGTAAGCCTGAACAATTCTTTTGTTCTTTAATCAGTTGACCATCATTTGCGTGCTCTTTGTCGTCTTCTACATCACCTCATTTCTTACTGACTTACGTGTGGATATCGTCTCATTTAGAGTTGGAAACAACATGGCTGGCATGTCAAAGTTGGCGCAAGTGCGCCTTTTGGCATCCACATTAACTTTCCGCCAGTATGGACCAGGATTAGCTGGTCTTTTAGCCTTTTTCGCTTTTGTAAAAATGTACAGCAAAAAAACAGCGTGAGTATTTGGTTTGGTTATATTGTTTATACCCTCTTCAGACCGAAATCTGTTTCGACTCAAGTTGTATCGAAGCAAGTGGCTAAGAAAAGCACAGATAAAGCTCATGTGGACGCTGCCTTCTTCCGGAAGTTGAGAAGGATTCTAAAAATCTTAGTTCCGGGTGTATTCTCATCTGAGGTTTGAGATTTTAAATTACAATACCAATATGTGTTTGTAGTTCTTTTATGCTGTATTGATTGCTTTCTCTCTACTTTGCCGAACTTATGCTGATGTCTGGATGATCACAACTGCCACTAGAATCGAAGCGTTTGTCTCACTCCTTGAATGTTTTGTTATATTCCACTGTTTCAGAGCTATCATTGATCGTAACAAGATCATGTTCTTTGCCAGTTTGGTTCAATATGTGTTGGCCATGCCAGCTATCGGTGTTGTCAACAGTTTCCTTAAGGTGTGATATTATTGTTTAAATCTTCCTCATTCTCCGATTCCAGTTTGGCTTGTCAGAGCTTAAGCTCCGTTTTCGCACTCGCTTAACTAATCATCTCTATGAGAAATATTTGAAGTCAGTGTTTTTTCAGTTTATGCTTCCAACTTTCATTGTTTAGGGGATTCACTTTCTATAAAATGTCAAACTTAGATAACCGCATTCAAAATGCAGATCAATTACTAACTCAAGATGTTGACAAATTCTGTGAAGGAATCGTTGAATTGTATTCTAACTTATCTAAGGTAAACTATATCTTCTTTGAGATTAAAATATACTTTTTCCTATTCCTTTTAGCCTATTGTTGATGTACTATTGTACGTTTCTCGATTGGGAGGTTCACTTGGGTTTGGAGCTCCAGCTTTGTTGTTCACTTACTTACTTGGTTCTGGAGTCTTCTTAACTTATCTTCGTCGACCAGTCAGTCAAAATTTTCGTGCAATCAGTAACGTTCATATTGAAGATTGGTCGTTTAACTGTTCAGGAACAAGCCTTGGAAGGCGAGTTCCGTTTTGTTAACTCAAGGCTCATTATGAATTCGGAAGAAATTGCTTTCTATCAAGGAAATACAAGAGAAAAACAAACGTTAATGCAAACTTTTGGACATTTAGTCGCACATCTTCGAAAGCTCATTCTTTTCCGGTCAGTTTCAGCTTTTCTACAAAAAATCAATCGAGTTCACATTGTTTTCCTACAATCATAACTAATATAACGAAGTGAAAGTTATTTTTTCTCATACACAGCGACCTTCAAGCTTCTCTTTTTAGTTTCTCTATTGGTTTTGTTGATAACATTGTTGCAAAATACTTTGCTACAATCGTTGGGTGGTTCGCTGTTAGTCGAGCCTTCTTCGCAAAGGATGGTCGATTAGCAGGAAGAAGTCGAACAGAACTTATACAGGTTTTTTCAAACTACATAAAAGATCGTTAAAGAACGTGGTTTGCAGGAGTATTATAACTCGGGACGCATGATGTTCAAATTAGCTGAGGCTTTAGGAAGGCTGGCCTTAGCTGGTCGTGAAATGACTCGGCTTAGTGGATTTACTACTCGAGTTGACACTTTAGTTAAAGTTTTGGACGATCTAGACAATGGTAAGCCTTTTAAAATTAATGAGCTATACCTGTTTCAATAGGTCAGTATGAAAGAACAATGGTCGGCGATAAAGAAACAAAAGCTCTTCAGCCTAACAAGATAGACTTCAGACCTGGTGCAGGTAAATGTTAATTTCTTTTCTTATATTCTCACAACTAACACCTAGGAGAACTTATAATCCAGGACAATGTTATTCGTTTCGAAGACGTACCATTGGTTACACCTAACGGCGATGTTCTGATTGAAAGTTTGAATTTAGAGGTAGTTATAATCTTGTTCAAACTCGATTGAACTGTGGACTGTTTGTTTTGAAGGTTCCTTCTGGAACAAATGTTCTTGTTTGTGGTCCAAATGGATGTGGAAAAAGCTCATTGTTCCGCACACTGGGAGAGTTGTGGCCTCTCTTTGGTGGTCGCTTGACGAAACCTGCTAAAGGAAAGCTCTTCTATGTTCCTCAAGTAACTTTTTTGTCATAAAAAATATCATTTAAATGTCATTCTGCAGAGACCCTACATGACGCTTGGAACATTACGTGATCAAGTTATATACCCTGATAAGCCTTTGGACATGTGCCGAAAAGGATTGACTGATAGAGATTTGGAAGATCTTTTAGAAAAGGTTCTATTCAGATCATGACAATGTGCTAACAGCAACTGTAATAGGTACAACTCTCTCATATTCTCACTCGCGAAGGTGGATGGAATGCTGTGCAAGACTGGATGGATGTTTTATCTGGAGGTGAAAAGCAGAGAATCGCTGTGAGTTTCTGTTTCAAACGAGGAATGTTTCATTATCTCATGTAGATGGCTCGTCTGTTCTATCATCGACCTCAGTTCGCTATCTTGGATGAATGTACATCTGCCGTTTCTGTTGATGTTGAAGGTAGTTCGATTTTTTTCATAAGATAGTAACATTGTGAGGTTTCAGGAGCTATGTATCAGTATTGTCGTGAAATGAATATCACACTGTTCACAGTTTCGCATCGCAAGTCTCTTTGGATTCATCATGAATATACTTTACAAATGGATGGACAGGGTCATTATAAGTTCCAACAAATTGACGAGAATACTGAACAATTCGGTTCATAATCGTAGAATATCTTTCGCACTTCTGATCTTCTGAACATATATGTTAAATTTCTGGTTTCTTCAGTAACTTAAGATACTTATTCTTACAGCTTTGAACAAATCGCTCTGATCAATCACTTTGGTCAAATTTTAAACTTTCAATCGTTTTAGTCAAAATTTAAACTTAATCACTCTTACCTTTGAAAAACTACGTGCCATTGTCTTTTATAGGCTCAGCCTCTTTTCATTGTACATTGCTTGTATTTTTCATTTCATTTTTCTATACATAAACCTTTTCAAATTTTGCGCTAATTCAATGGAGTAGTTGAACTCTTATCATTCATATTAATTCCTTTTTCAGCCATCAATGCACATCCATCCACATGAGAAAGTCCAGTTTAAAGATAACCCCAGTCTGTCGAGCCCTCTCTGCTTTTCATTCGGTGCCTCTTTCTGAACTCCTGGAGGAAATGATGTAAAGTATGTCAGAAGGTCGATTTCTGATGCTTCACAGTTTAAACTCGAGAGAACCACCCACCATCCCACAAGCTGGATGGAGAGAACTTCAACAAATCAAATCATTTACTACTGCTAATCATGTTGTTGTGACCATTTCATGTCTTTACTATATTACTTCTACTCTTAGTGTTGTTTTTTTAGATGTTGGCTCCATTTTTCGAGAAAGCTCCTTCTCTTCTTCAAAAACCAGATGGATCGATTCTGTTTGAATGTCTTTGTAATGCAAACCCTCAGCCAACTATCAAATGGTAAATCACATGTTGTCTTCTTTCATATCTATTTATTTATAGGATTTTCAAAGATAAGGAACTCTCAGGAGACAGATATGTTCAAAAAATTAAAAAAACTGTAGGAAAATGGACTGTTACAATGCAACTAAAGGTGATTGCCTATTATGATCTTCGGATATTCTCATTTTGTTTCAGAACCCAAGCCAAGCCGATCAAGGAATCTACAAAGTTGTAGCCACTAACGATCGCGGGAGTCACAGTGTTGAGCAGCAATACATTCATTGCCAAACCGCCAATGAGATTTTCAAGACTCAATAACTGATACATGTGTTAGATATGTGAGTAAAAAAATAAATTATTGAGCAAATTGAGAGGCGTATCAAGTAGAGGCTGTGATGCTGTGTTCATCAATCAAGAGCATGAATCCCCATAATATCCATAGAATAATCATAGATGTTAATAGGTTTGCTAGTAGTTGTGAGTAGGAAACGAGCAGCTGATTTATACTCTCGAAGCATATCCACACACTTTTTCAAGACCTTCAACATGTTTCCTTGAGGGTGAGAGATAGGAGAATGAAAACAAACCTCTTGTCTCTCAGCCAGAACTTTCTTATCCCACATACAATAATCTGGCATAACGGCTGTTCGATGAATGCAGTACGCTGTATTCATGAAAATATGGAAGAACGTTTGAGCTTGATTGACTTCTGTTTTCTATACAAGCACAATAAGGATTGATCAACATAAAATATTCTAATTACTATTTTTAACTGTTTGAAACGGCTCATCCACATGCCAGTAATTAGATCCATCAAATCTGGCTGATCAGCAACGAAGGGGAAAGCGGAGAGTAGTGGGTCTGATATCATTTCTAAATAACTTGGCTCTCATTTACACTTTCGAACTTATTCTTACCAGCACTCAAAGGGTTCGATCGGTCTCGGAGTAATAAGGTTCCCGCTCGTCTTCTATAGAAATATGTAATTCTTATAAACATTGGGTTGTACAGGAGGACATCTGGTAATGCACTGCAATTATTAGCGTCAATAAGAGAATTAGCATATTTCACGTAAGTTATGACGCTTAAACTGAATCCATTTTTCTAATTCAACGCTTGCAACACGGTTGAAATCAATTACTCATTGCATCATACTAATGATTATAATATTAAACTGTATAACTTACTCAACATACTGAACAAGGTCCTTAGGAACGTCTAATGCTTTCAAAACTATTTTAAAGTTGGTTTTAGAAGGAGTTGATTCTCTATCGAATATGTTCTCGCTGGTAAGGTAATCAGTGTAAGTTCTAAGATGAAGAAGATGTTATGTTATGAGATCTGATGTCTTTGCTGATATTACTTTTTAGCAATGCAGCTTTCGAAGTTATCCCCAATCATAGACAGCTTGTATGATCCCAAAGCATTTTCAACATAATGCCCCTAAAGCAAGTAGTGAAAAAATAGTTATGTGTAGTTTGTACCTCTTCAAAAGTAATGACACTTGCTTGTAAGAGCAATATAACCTCTTTCGACTTATAGTTTGAACGTAGCAGGAAATCACTGAAGTCGATGCCAGTATTTGCGGTATCCGCCTGTAATCATTCGTAACATGTCAAGTATGAAAACTAAGTAAAACGTACGCGTGAAATGAATGTCCATGTTGATCCTTTGATTTGTGCTCTTATTGTGTGAACGTTGCTGACCTTCAACGATTTATTTAGTGGCTGTGATGATATACTAGATAACTAACCAATTGCTTTCCAGTTTTCTGACTGGTATCATATAAAGCTACACGTATTAGGCCTGTATGAATATCTCTCGGCATTCCTTCAAATCGAATAAGACGTATCAAGCATGAAACTCTTACGTGTCGCTTCCGTAACTGTAAATGTTTAATATATGATACTTTATATAATGGTTTGTACCTTATCGTCCTCATAATTCCAATATAAGTCATGAAATGCCAAGTTAGAATGACTCAATCTAGGTGTCAAGTGACAGGCATATGTTAAATGAGGATCAGCCCGTAATGCATCCCCTAGACACCGAACTGGTCTATTCATAACCATTGCTAATGGCTGAAAAGAAGTAAGGAATTATTTTTTTAGAGATCGACTGTATAGTTACAGGAATGGAGGTAGACGAAGACCTAGGTAAAATTGATTCATCTGCAACTTGTGCTTTTCCCATGCTGTCGTGAAGGGTCTGCATACGAAAATGAGAATGATGATATGAAAACAGAGCTTTACCTCTTCCGTTTCAGCTTTACTATCTTTCTGTCTTGAGTTCTCAGTGTCTCCCTCGCCTCTTTTTTCTAGAATACGAAGAGCTTGACTAAGCTCTTCAACAGGAAGATGTCGGAGAAAGGTTTTAGGAACAAGTCCCGAGCGATTTTCAGAATTCACTCCAGTCCACCAACCGTCAGGTCTGAAAATGGATTTAATTTTTGATGTTTCACAGCAGATTATGAAAGAAACTTCCAAAGCATAAAGACAGTTAATTAAAGTATGAACAATTGTCGGAAAAATGGCAGAGAATAATAGAATCTAAGTTCTATCGTTGCCTTTTTCCTCGTCGTCATAGCAGCTCTCGTAATGAATATACGGAAGACAGCACGCAATTTCAATGTTCAGCAATGTTGATTATGTGTTTCATCTTATTAAATATAGATTAAGAAACCTCGTTTGGATTATGCTGAGTATCTCTCCTTTGTTTATTGTCAAATCGCCTTCTTCTTGAGCTTCGAAGTTTCCCAAAACCAAGAACTTGTTTCCTTCTACAAGCCCTGTTACTTCACGCATTTCTTCATTTTCTTCTACAACGATCTGAATATAAGGTCAGTTTCTTTCTTTCAGTGTCCAACGTACAATAGGAGGTGATTGCTGTTGCATGACAGATGAAGTCAATCTTCGTGGGTGTGCTTGGGGAGGGGACACCTGCTTTTTCGATTTCTTAAAAGGAGCATCATTGTAGAGTGGGTAAAGATTTTTAACACAATATTTGTCTAATCTTCGCTTACTTTCTCATCTTCTTTCTCATCTTCGTCATCGTCAACCTCATCATACATGCTCGGTCTTCGATTTGGTGGAGCTGCCTGAGCAGGAGGCTCCTCGATAACTTCTTCTTCAATGACTACATCAACTTGAGGTCTGAAAAAGAAAAATGAGCATGAAACACCAACAATAGAAACAGACTCTTCAGTAGTCCTCTCTTCAGCAATTGATTGCTCTGTAGTAGAAATAGCAGATATATCCATTAATCTGTTCTGTAATCATGCTTTGTGTATATAAAATGATAAACTATGTTACTTGAATGTTTTGTAAGTTTTCCATGGCTTTCTGTGCCAGTCGTTTATCTTCAGAGCCTTCTTTCATTTTCAAATTAGAAATGCGTGTTTGTTGATTGTCAATCTTCAAACAGCTTAATCATCGGAGTAGAGATTATGATTGTTTATACCTGCTTATTTAATTCTTCACATCGTTTGATGAAACTGCTTCTGTTTTTGTGTCCTTTTTCAAAGTCATGCTCCTTCTCCAATTTTTCAAGCTTGAAATTAACAATCGATCATGTGACGAGAAAAACAAAATGATACCTGAGCTTCCAATTGAGGCACTCGCGCCAAAATATCTTTTATTGGGAATATCCGTCCAAAAATACTCATTTCGTGATTATTATTTTAGAAATGTTCAAAGAGCGTGCGGTTACGCGAACCTTGACCGCTTGCCAGTCGCACTCAGTAAGCATATAGCCATGGCAACGGCCACATGCAGCTCTGCCCTTATATTATAATGAACGACAGATGTCGTTTGTTGTGAATTCAGTTAGGTAAAACGTATACACATATCAGCAGATGGTTCTTTCAATGCATCTTTTCCCGCACATCAGTTCATAGAAAGCTTTACATTCGTTCTAACTTTTAGCATTGAAGCGCTGTCATAGTTTTACTTAGGGTCAACTTAACCTTGTTTTTCATGGATATGGATATTGAAATAATGATTGCTTCAAGCATAGTTTCCACGCTGAGGAAATTGAAAAGCTCAATCATTATTGCGAAACATGCTCTTCTCACCTATGATATCAAGGTAAAAGAACAGCTGTGTCCAAACCGCGTTCTCGATCAGATCGAATGCTTAACATTGGTATGTAAATTCGTTTGCACTTGTTCCATCGAACAACTTCACCTCCCAATGGGTTTTAACATGGTTTCTTCATATCGATTTGTATTGAAGAAGTTTCGATTTGATCCTATCAGTCGTTGAACCTGTAGTTCGAGAGTATAGTTTGGGTGTTTGTGTCGGTAGCCTTTCCATATCTCCTTGTTATCCTTCTTGTCTCTAACAACTACCAAGTGAACTTTTCTTTTTCAAAACGTAAGCTCTGAAAAGCTTTGTTTGAGTTGAATTACATATTCATATTATGCGTTTTGAGGCCTCATTCGTTGTCATCCATGCTATGTAATCTGCTGTTTATTGTTTTATTAAAACTTCTCGCTTTTTGAACAGTAAGAGGAATAGAATTCCAAATCAATCGATATCACGTAATTTTTCGTTTTTCGAACTTGTGCAATTGTGGATGTTATTAGAACTTTTGAAAGATTGTTGATTTGGGCTTTTTTGATTTTTCTTTTTGTTAACAGTGTAGTTGACTCTGCCATCCAGTCTGACCCAGATTCGTATTATTCCATTATTTATTTCTTTAACGAACATTTGAAATATCTGTTCTGTGTTAAGTGATTGCCTTTTCGATATTGCAGAGTTGCATAAATGGAAAAGTCTTGTTTGCTATTGAGAGATTTTTCTTCTATTGAACGTTTTAGTTTATTAGCTTCTTTTTTCATGTTGGTGGAGGTGTAATGTAAGAACTGTTTGTTTGAACTTGGATTTTCAAAGCCTTGGTCCCACCTTTGTCTCCAGTCTGAGAAGATTCTGGATCAAACGGAGAGAGAAGCTGGTGAAGAAGGAATACAGAGAGCAGAGCGAAGAAAGTAGAAAAACCT